CAAAAGCACACCCCACATCTAAGCCCAAATAGCATAAAACTTCTCATCAAACTGCGTCTTCAGCTTCCTAAACGCCTTATACACATTCATCAACTGCTCATACTCCTCATCATCCGTCACAGCACTATTCTCCATGCCCTTCTCCTTCAGATAGTCTTCCTCCGCAGTCATGGTATCCTCACTCGCGTCCCAATCATCCGCGACTTTCTTGCCTTTCTTCATCACAGGAGGGGGTTGGATGGGCGTGCCGATCTTCATGGGTGCGGACGATTCTTGCGGTTCCGTGTTGACTGCGAGTTTTTCGTCGCCGTCGTTTTCGATCGTGTCGCCGCTGCCCATGACGTCGAGCATTTCCGGGTCGGCGTCGGTTCCTAGGCCGAGGTAGACGGCGAGGGAGGTTACGATTGTGGCGAGGATCATGGAGAAGTCGTTGAGGACGAACCAGACCTAGATATAGTGTTAGTGGTAGTTACGTGAGAGGACTGAAGACGAGTTCTTACATCGGATTTTCTGATGCCATTGGCAAGCTCAAGTGGCTCAAGAGCACCGTGCATGTAAAAGTCGAGCAGATATGCGTTCAAAGGGGTCCTAGTTTCGTCTGGATGAATCTCCAAATGCGGAATGACAGCTGCTTCAAGGAAGACTCCTTCTCGGGTAGAAGAGCATAGATCTTCAATGGTGTCAAATTTATCACCAAGACCAGAAAGCGCTACAAAGGCGGATCGCGCATGCGGAGCCGGCAGACTTGGCAGGTAGCTATCATTATTTGTCTCGGTCTTGGTATTACCATTAACCTTTGCTGATCCATTTGAAAGAGTTTCGCCATTTGTTTTCTGGGCCGCAGAACTTCCACCAACATGTGTGTGGGTAAGAGGTAACGAATTTTGCTCCTCTTTGACATGCTGTGCGGCGAATGTTTTGACATATGTTGAAAAGATTTCGAGGGTATCCTTATTATGCTTGCGTAAAATTTGGGTAGCTTCTTCGGGCATGGATGGCAAGTACACAATGGAAGGAGATCGTTTGATGGCTTCCGCCTCTTCTGGATCATCAATTTCTCTGCACACGCGTCGTCCAAACAGATGACTGAGAACCAAGATCATCTTTTGTAGAACCATATCAGTCTTGGTATCAATATCCGCACAAAGTTCATGGAAAAACCTTCCTTTGAGTAGAGCTGTATTCAATGTTAGCATTTGAACTCCGAAACCGACATCTGGCGACAGGAGTATGCGAAACTTACCATGGAACGCAAAACTGGAATTCTCCGTGAAATAAAGATGGGAAACACAACTCGTAAAATTTACAGGCTCTCCATTCGGACCAAGTAGATCATTTCGACGCAAATACTCGATAGAAAACCGAAGATGATGTAAAACCTGCTCTTTGAAGCTTTGGCCTCCGAGATATAGTCGTGGCTGTGACAAAAGTGAGTTCACGGCCTTCTCCGCATACTCGGACTTGGAGCCATTCAAGAGTGTGAAAAGCCGGAGGACTAGAGTAGTTGTAATTGGGAAATGACCGGTTAGCTCGGGCAATCTTGAGCTCAGTAAGCGACTTGCTCTTTCTCTGGAGATTCCTTGGAACACAACATTTCCGAGCAGATCAAAACCACGACGACCTGAACGACCAGCTGCTTGTCTAAAATTAAGAGCCGTCAAAAAAACAGAGTCACCACTGAATACAACAGTAGCACAAGGCATATTGATACCCAAGCTCAGTGTGCCAGTAGCAACTACGACTCGTAAGAAGCCTTTTCGGAACAGCATCTCCACACATTGTCGGTACTTTCTGTTCATACCGGAGTGATGGATACCTACACCTCGCTTGAGTAGTTCAATTAATTCTTCCTTAATATCTTTCCACCGAAGAGCTTTGATGAAATCGTCAAGTTCTGATTTTTGGAGTTTCTTGGGATCAGCAAAGCTAAATTCCGCTTGAGGAGCTTCCGGATCAAATAGATCATATTTGGAGGAACCATCTGTAGCTTCCTCACGCATACGATCCATTTTGGATCCACCCTCATCATCTGTATCCTTTGTCTTCTTTGCGGGCTTAGCGGGCTTCCGTGACTTTTTGTCTTTCTCTGCTTTGTACACTTCGTAGCCTTCCATCCACCTTTTCCATTCCGAACCTTCTTTCCATCGGGACTCTGCCTCCTGAAGTTGGGCAAGAATGGCATAAGCAATGGATTCACACTGCCCGCGATCATAATTAAATAATATAGCAGGAAGTGCCCGACGGCTGTGTAGTTGATAAAGGAGTGGTAATGTCGTATCTTTCAGGTCGAGTGGATTTATAGTATTGTTATCAGCAATGGATGATGTCGGTGAAGATTCTTCGTTGCTATTCTCCAAAGCCCCGGTCTTGGGCATCAATTCTGCAACTACCTGATCAAAGGGTGATTTGGAATCGGCCATCCACTTTAAGAGAACCTTCTTTAATTCCTTCTCCCACGCAAAGATGTCCAGTTTACGGATACACTTTGGGAGTGCTTTAGCTGGGTCCAGCGAGCTTGGTACCTTGAAGTTACCAGTTTGACACTTCACCATTGCTTTCCATAAGGAAAGACAATCACGTGGCTCCAATGCAAGATCATCTGGCATCCCTCTAGATTTGTCAACCAGACTTGCAACGGGGTGAAAGGTCTCGAAGCCGGTCAAGCCGTCGAGGCCGAGACCAGCACGGTTAGGAACACCAAAACCTTCAAACTTGAAAGACTTTGGTGGCTCATACATATACTTTCGAAGATCTGAATATCTCGTACCGTGCTGGATCATCTTCAACTCTGTACCAGTAGCCTTCTGGGTTTCGATAAGCCAGTCATTAAACTGCTCTGGGTTGCCAACAGTGGCAGAAAGCGCGATAATTGGGCATGGGGCGAGCAACAGCAATTGTTCCCAAACAACACCATCCTCTGCCTGTCCAATGGAGTGTATTTCATCGAAAATGATTCGTCGAACTCTCGGCGCCCACGACTTCGAATTCGAGGGAGATAGAAGCATGATTTGGAGAATATGTGGGACCGTAACCAGAATCTGACATCCTGTAGAGTTACCAATTCTGTAATCACGTGTATGAATTGCCCAAACACCCTTCCCGGTAAGGTTGAACTTTTTCGAGAAACGACCCTGAACTTCTGCGGCAATTTGATTGACAAGAGCTTTGGTTGGTGCAACGTAAATCAAAACTCCGTCATTATCGGCTCGCAAGACTTGTTCCATGGCGTAAAAACTGATGAAAGTTTTACCGGCCGATGTTGGAGCTACAACGAATACACTCTTATTTGCGTCGAGTTGATCTAGAACGTCTCGTTGCCATCCATCAGGAACGAAACTTGAGACTCGAGCGTCAGGTTTTGCATCCAGATTTCGGTCCATATATGGGCCGCAATGATTGAGCTGGAATTCAGACTGAGACATGTCAATTCGAAGGTGTTGCGTTGAAGTAGGATATTTGAAAGCGAAAGAGAGTTTGCGATCGGTGGGCGAAGAGGAGAATTGAGTTAACACATCTTCGATGCCCAAAAGTTTACAGACTTTTGTGACCTCTGTTTCAATGTCCTTGCTCACAGCGGATGTTAAGCCACAGATGGTCCGAATTCTGGTCCAGATCAAGGCTACAATGTGATATCCTGCGGATTTGTTTTTCGTCTTGGCGACCTCAGACCACCAAGATAATAGAGATTGAAGAGCGTAAGTGTTAAGTTCGCCCTCCAAGTAGTTTGTTTTCGTGGCATCCAGGCCTTTGAGATATTCATCGGTTTTCAAATATCGTTCTTGATCGCTGGAAATCAAATCGAATTCCTTTTTCTTCATAGCCCAGGCACTGAATGCCTTGTTACCTTCGAGAACGTCGCGACGTTTTTCATTATCAGCGATCATCTTATCTTTCGCCGAAAGCCCCGCCGCAGCGTTCTTTGAGCCCTTTTTCGCAACCGCCTTGCCCTTATCTCCTTGTTTGTTGGCAGCCTCGAGTTTCTTAGCTGCTGGTCCACTTGCAGGCTTGCTCTCCACAATCTTGACGAGATGCTTAGGACCGACAGTGATGGTCTCGGGTTCCAATGCTTTCCCTTTGGCTCCTGTTAAACTGGCCGCATAAGCAGTCATTTCTTTCATGTAGAACTGATTCATTCTTAGAGGGTTTCTGGAAATCCGTTAGCAGCTATACCGAAAATTAGTTGTGGACACCAGTTCGGTCCCAACCTGGATGCATATGGTGAGTACTTACCTCCATTTTGATACCTTGACAACAACTGGAGCCTTCGGATTAAGTGGCTTTTTGTAATTGTGCCAATGAGTTGTCTCTCTGAACAATCGCATAGAGCCGAGCTTAGCGGGGAGCGAATTGTCGGTTTCCACATGGATACACTCTAGGTGCTTATCAAATACAGGGTGAGAGAAGGGCAAGACAGCTAAGTTTTCGGTAGCTGGGTCAGCCTCCTGCTTTACTTTCTCGATGTCCACACTTTTCACTTTGGCGCTGCCCTTCATGGAAAGCTCTTCCTCGGCCAGGTGCATGACTATGCGAGACATCATCTTCCAGTCTTTAGTCGCGCCAGCAGACAGTTTTGACTCAATATCCGTTGTTCGCATCGCTTGTATGACCGCACGAAAGACGCGCCCGTCGATGATATCAATGGTATCAATGTCGAGCTGGCGTTCCTTCACAAAGTGAGCCCAACTTTGATCTTCTAGCGTGTGCTGAAAGACATTTGATAATTTTGCCAGAAGTTCGTCAATTACGATCTCGAATGCATCATCAAATTTAATTAGCGGCAGACGGCGTTCAGACAAAGCCGTGTGCTTCAGAGTGATGCTGTGCAATATGAATGCCGAAGCTAATGGAATATCACAATCCTCGTTGTTGAGTAATTCAGATACCCCAAAGGCGGCGAGAAAGTAAGATTCGGAGGTCGTGACACCAGGTGGACATCCCGATAGATCTTCCAAGTCTGTCTCGTCGGCTTCCGTTCCTTTCACATCACCTTCGCGGAGGTTCTGCAATTTTTGTCCCGTCTCTTTAATCTCCTTAGTAAAATTGCTGGTCATTAAAAGCTTGCGCTTGCTGGAAGCGGTGAAACTCTCAACAATCATGGTGAAAACTTTGGAGTCTCGGAACTCGATGCGATTAATGAGCGACACATTCAGCCTATGTGTATTCCACCACCAAATCGCGCCCCTGAGTAAGATCTTGACGAGATCTTCATCCTCCTTGGAGTCGGCTTCCGTTATCCTCTTGGACCGAGAAGAGCCATCATGCATCATCACAAAGTGAATAGGCGTGTCGTGGAGATAGTCTGCAAACTCCTTACTCTTCAAGGCGGGAAATACATTGACCTCCACATCTGGATAAGCTCCAGGTAGACGAAGAGATAAATGGTGCTTGATGACAGTTCTCGCTAGTAGGTATCGTGATCGATGTGTGGTGTTGACTCCCGGCGGAATACATAGTCGGGCGTTTTCTGGCCAACGAGTCAGATGGGTTCTGACGCATAGAGATATTCCTTACCTTCAAAGAATGCAATATGAAACGAGCAATGGCGCTTCTTAAGATTCTCTAAGAATTTTTCCACCACATAGACAAAATGAAGAATTTGAAATCCGGCTGAGATAGTCAGCTGATTGTCCGGCAAGGAAGCGCGCATAATCAAAACCAAGAGAAATCGCGAGGCGCGGTGGCAACTAAAGATTCAGAAACCCTCCACCATGATTGTCTAGGCATTCTTATTTCATTCTCATGCGTATCGATAGTGTAAAAGACAGAAATTGTTCGCGCAGGAAGCAACCCAAACTTACAGTCAAAATCGATGCGTTCATCCTCGAAACACTCTCTGAGAAGGGAATCGCCCTCAACGAGAAAAAGTTCTTTGCCTGCATAGTCGCCGACGAGGTCGATGAACATCGGCCGGGTGCTATCATACCAGCTAAGAACGGACGCGGTACCGCGGAGGGGATCCTGGTCCCTTGTTTCGATCACCACAGCCATGGTGGCGCGTTGCGGGGTCGGACGCCTAAAATATGACGAGACAGAACAAAAGTTCTTAAATCAATCCAATGTCTCAACTCGACGCAGGAAGTGAAAGAATGAACGAATACGATCTAGAAAGCCAAAGTCTAAATCAAAAATATGTGTCGAGCTTCCAGAGTCACGACGGAGAAATTCGAGAAGTGGGATCGTGGGTGTGTTGATTTGATTTCTCGACGTCTCTTTTTCCATGAGGTGTGGACCTCACCAAGTGGGATGTCGCTTAGATCTTCCGGAAAACACGCTAAGACCACGTGTCACGTGGTGCGTCCCATCAACTATCCCGCTTCGTCGCGTTCTTCCTTCCTCGTCCAAAAAGAAATGTGTCGACGCTGTTACATTTACAGGTGCAACAACACAATCAGATCATCCATTCCGCTACTTCAATATTGCACCATACAGTCTTCTCGTTCGATGCATCATTTCCTCCAAATATTATCTTTACGGTTTTCTTTAGTTGTGTTTGATTGCTAGTGGTCGTCGCAATTTGGTCACGTTATGTCCAGAAGCCATCGATCGTCTTCTTCAAAATTCAAGTTACTGATATAAGTCTAGATATGTCTACCTCTCTTCACGGAGCCAATTTGTGCATATATGTTTTCTTCTCCTCTTCCGAAATCTCAATATCAGTACAATCCTCAACCACTCACAAGTACACGTAGCAGAACGGCCCTTTAGTTGTGCTCATCACCTCTCTCATGGTTAAATTGGTTCCTCCGGAATAGCCTACATTTATTAAGAAATCAAGCGTCGTGTCCTCCGAGGGAGGCTCATTGAACATCGTGTTGGTGCCACTGAGGGCATACTGTCGGGTGTCGGGATCCAGTCCTTGCCTAAGAATAAAGTTGAGTGGTGATCATGAGCAAAAATTGGTAGGAGACTCACCACAGGGTCCAGAGCCTATCTACTTGAGCATGGTGCAAGAAGAAACCGGGGTCGCCTGGGCTCACACTGTTTCCATCAGTCAGCTCGAGCATGGAGAACCTTATGTTTTGCCTCCTCTGCGCAGGGTATACGAAAGAATTTGAAGACTGCTTACTATGGGTCGCCTCCAGGATCACCACTAATTGTGTAATGCTGTTATTCACGTTAGTTGCGGATCGGACTTAAGAATCTACTTTCGTACCCCTCCTCCATGGACTCCAATACCACTCTCGGTGGCCGTTTCTGTTCCGGGGCCTTGAATAAACGTCTGGAAGTTGCCAATGTCTTCCCTCTTGAAGGTTTCTAATGGACCAGTATTAGTAAGGATATTTGAACTATCATTTCGCAGCGAGATACTGACCCAGTACAGATGTATAGTTCGACCATCTCATAGCCACGGCTGGACCAACGTCTCTTTTTAAACATCTTGGATTGTACCCGAGACCTGAAGGCAACGGTCCTGGTGTTCCAATAAGAACAGGACCCAAATTGACCACCATATCCTTGAAAGGCCCCTTCGTGACGCAGCCTCCTCCCAACCCAGCAGGTAGGACTGTTGTGGTATTTCCAAAGTTTAAGGTCAGACCTGGATGGCCAGGTATAAAATCTCCGTTACCTCCAAGAGAGTATGCATCGCCGTTGAACAGCGGAGAGTCTTGAGGAGCGTCTGCCCATTTGGGCCAATCCCAATATGGTATAGGGCCCTTGTAACCACATTCGTTACGGAGAGCCTCTTCGTACACCCAGAGATAGTAGCGGTGCCATCCAAGGAATGTGCCGCTCATGTGCACATACGGTGTTTGCTATATGGTGGTGAGGTCAGTAATCAATCCAACATCCAGGAAAGCAGGCTGCCAGCGGATTTCCTACTCACAAGAACGTGTGTTACCACAAAGTCATCATTCTGCAAAATGAATCAGTCTCTTTCACGTTATGCAACATAGAACAACGTACACGACCCCTTGCTCCGGGCGCTATAGCAGCAGGCGTTTTTGCCTTTAACTTTTGGAGACAGGTAACAGCATCCGTGTAGCCTTTTCGATCCTTCTTTTGCATTGACCCGCTGCAGGAGACGGTTCAGTAACTAGCAAAACTGCTGGATGTTTTCAACTTACAACTCTAACTTATATCGCAAAGTCTTTCTGGTGCAAGTTGCTTTCTTGCCAGCTTTCTTCAACTCTTCCTCATCTTTATCAAGCTTTGTCAAAATCTTGTCAAGCGCCTTCTGGGTCAATTTTTCTAATTCTCTCTTGTCGTTTCGAATTTTCAACTCCGCTGGGTCTGCGAAGGTCACTGCGCCGAGCACATTTGGTAGCTCAAGGAGGGACAGAGCCGTCAATAATGTCACGTAAGAGAACCTCATCCTCGCAATCGGGTTGAAAGAACTTCTGCCGTGCTAACCAAAGAGCAGAAATCTGCAACTATATATTTCGCCTGAAGCCTATGAAAACTGCCAAGTATTCTTCCAACGACTTGACGTACAAAGTATGCACACCATTGCGATGGGGAAAGCCAAGGCTAAATCCAATTTTACGAATTTTTGTCATCTTCGCCCAGATGATTGTACTAGGACTGGTTATTTTTATGATAATTTTGTCATTCCTCTTCGATCTCGATATATTAAACTGGCTGTCTGTCTTCGTTTTGATTGGCGGGCTCGTCCAGCTATGCACCGCGGCCGTTGAAAGGTTGCTGAACCTTGTGATCGGGCAGCAGGAATGCCACCACACTTTGCTGAAATGTATGCATTTGGCAAACACTGGAAATTGTTTTTTCCCCTTGCCCCTTCAAGGACTGTCTACATGCATGGCGCCCATGCGAACATGTCCCGCCGGTCAACCAATCACAAACAATTCTTAGGAAGCCACTGGTTAAGAGATAACAGCCAACATTTGTCTGCTGGGATATACATTAATCCGCATGTCAGCACAACGTATTGTACTACCATCTTTCAAACGTCAAGGGTGATCCTCTACCGGTATATACCCATATACCGCGCAACTTAGGAGTTACCTCGAACACGGAGAACAATCGGCCTCCAAGTTGGCTCGAGAAGCTGCTTTTCCCGACATGTTCCTACCTAGAGTGGTCCATTAGTGATTTGTGCTCCAATGTCAGTATTTTGATGTCTCTACTTTTCAGAGGAAACCTTTTTGCTAGGACAACCCACTATCCAAGTCGCCGTTCAGATTGCTCACAAGCTGAAAGACAACGGCTCTGCTCCAACCAGTACCAAGCCAAATCCTCGAAAGTCCATCCTCTCACAGCTTTCATTGATATTAACGACCAGGTTCCAAGACTGTGGGGTGCTGCACGGCATCCTCGCTACCACAAACCGACCTGCATGGAAGTTGGAACCCAATCTACAGATGACAAAAAGAACAAGACGACAATGCCACCATGACTGCAGAATTAACTGTCCTCCCTAACAGCCACGTCCTTTTTGAATTGGTACAGCAGAAAGACGGTGAGTTTGAATTGGCCAATGATCGTGTTGCTGTTAAGAAGATATTGACTCGGTGTTGAGTTAGGTCAGAGCTTCGGGACGATTCGCACATGTATGGCATTTTAGCCGGGAGATGGCTGCAGCGACATACCCGTTGAAGAAGAAGATTCGGGAATATGAGGCTCAAGGTAGTTGATCAAAGTGGTCTCGAGAATGAGCATCTGACAATGGCACGACGAGGATTCGCTGACTCCATTACTTATCTTCTGCTTCTCACAGCGTCTTACAACCAACCAACTCCAACTCCCAAAAGTAAACCCCCCCAAACCACAAACAGTAGACCGAGCGATATCACTCTATCTCTCGTCGGTACACACACCCGAGCCCCGCTACTCGGTGAAGCTCCACTCCCCATCTCGGTAGTGTTCGCCTCGCCTACGCGGTACTTTCCCTTTACCCGTTCCGCCTTTTGTGGGGAAATTACTTTATTAAGATTTCACTCGAGATGAAGTGGGGTGTTATTTGGGGTTTTGGAGAATACCCAAGACAGACATGTGAAGTATTTGGCTTACTAAGTGCGTCGGGCTGAGGTTTGGGGTTATGGTGTTGATGGAAAGGTGGAGAGGTGGACAGGTGGGCATTTGAGTTGTTTGATGAAATTTGACATGATATTGGAATGCTATTTGGGTATTTCAATTCATCAGGATGCTGACCGGGTTATTGCTAGGTTCAAATCTCCAGATTTACAAGGTGTGCTTTGTTTTCGACGAGCGTGCTTGAGAAACTCGAGGTCATTCCAGTCAACAAGAATCGCACGTCTATTACCAACAATCCAGCCCTCTTCCCTCGCATGCATCGTTCTCGCCACGAGGGACTCCAGCATATCCAACAACGCCGACCCTACAACCCACACGACGCTATTGAGTCCCAAGACGTTATACAGCATATGATCCCACCAACTTCAACCAACTCATTTTCATCTAGCTCTGAATCGCCCGACATATCGTTCAAAGTCTCCGCTGAACTCGGATCCCGTGAAAGCGGCCAACGGATCTTGGCTCTCTGTACCACATCCCGTCGTAGATTTGTGAAGATAGGATGTCACTCACATTGCTTTTGTTGCTTTTCTTGTTTCTACTCGTGAGGCATAAGCACTAGCAGACTAACTCTCTTGGTATTTCACTCGAGGTTTTGCTTGGGCTTTGGTCGATTGCGGGTTGGGGCTGGCTTATACCGTTAGGTAAAGTTTGTCGATCATGATTGTGAGTTTGTTGTCAATAGAGTGCTGGGATTGTGTCTAGGGTTGTAGAGAACGTTGTGGCAACTCGAGTGGATTCGTTGGATCTAAGTTGTTTTATTGTTTCGAGGTAGATGTGGGATTGTACGATGGTCAGACGTTATCATAGGTTCTCCTGCATCGATGTGACAGCTTTCAGGGGTTCTCATATTTGGTAAGGTAAGTGGAAAGCTGTCGCTTTCACAATTTCTTTCCGTTTCTTTTCCTTTTATCAACTTGACTTGATCACGTCCTTTCATTCGTGCAAGTCTCAAGAAAGCAATTTCATAATCCAACCAGGACCGAATCTTCCTTCTTGAACAGTTTAACTCCAATATCCATTTTGTGTCCTAAAGCCAGGATATCAACCTTCGAAATAAAAGCGCAAAATTATACTTTACGAAGATTCATCAACCACAGGCACGAGTCTAAGGAGATATAGTATCAAACCTGAATGCTCGTCTTAGAGTACATACTGGGCCAAGCCTATTCATTCAAGATCCAATTGAAACCCTTGTTGTAGCGGGGTAGAGGGTTCGTGAATGAGAACTGGAGTCATGGGCAGGATGAGACGCTATCTATAAACTTGTGGTCCCGAGTTATGGTGAGCTCTCCGAGGACGAGAAATTCGTATGGTGCAAGAAGACTCTCGATGTTTACCTAAAACGAACTGTGACAACGTAGTCAAAATATCATTCTGTGTCGATGTCAATGCAATTAAACGAGAGGGTTCTGATTTTGCTGTCAACGCCAGAAACAACTGTAGGCAAGGAAACTTGAGTCGCAATTTTTCTTAATCTAAGTTTCAAGCTTTCTTATTTACAAAAATTGTCAGAATTTTTACTCTATTGGATGTACAGTAGGATCTGCCAAATACCCACGAGACTCAACTTCCGATTCTCGATGTCACGGGAAGCGCAGTGCAACCTCATCTGCACTGACAACAAACAAGCGGTCGTAGTAATGAGGCTCTGTAACATGGCAGGTTTGATATTTCTTGCAAACGCAATCTGACCTTCCGAGAACACGTTTTGCTAAAGCATGGCACCGGTACCGATTACAGAGGATTATTACATGGTCCTTGAAGTAGGACAAACTGCTGCACACGAGCTAATCCTCAAATCTTATAAACGGCTGGCGCTGAAGCTCCACCCGGATAGAAATGCAAAACACGATGCTACTACAGCTTTTCAACAGGTGTGTCAAGTTTCTAGGGCTCAATTAATCCTCTTGTCCATCGTCAAGTTGTGCTGTGCTGAAATCAAACATTGAAGCTCGGAAGATCGTACGAGACATTGAAGGACGAAAGCAAACGCCGAGCGTACGACCTCATCTACCCGTCCATAATACGAAGTCGCCACTCTCCTGTTCCACCTCCTGCTTCAACTCCGCAATCAGAAGCACTCACCGAAGCGGCGCAAATTGCCGCACTTCAAAAATCGAAGCAAGAACGTGGTGCACGATGGAGGACCAAGAAGAATGCCTTCGACTCCTCGATCTGGGAGCTGCAGAGAGATATTCGGCGGTTGGAGCTAGAAATTAAGAATTTGGATGATATTGTAGCTGCTGAGGCGGCGGAAGAGGCCTAGAAGAATAGCTGGGGAACTTGGTTGTTGTCACCACTGTTCAAGAAGGCAGAAGACAGCGAGGAGGAGAAAGCATGCAAGGATAGAAAGAGGCAGGAGAGGAAGTTGAGAAAGATATGAAGGAAAGGCGACTGGGCCCAAAGAAAGCGGACTTAGTTAAAGAGGAAAGCTTATTGAGGAAGGCGAAGGAGGAGGTGGATGCTGCAGATCTGGTCGACGATGGGAAGATATGCGTGATTCAAAATCGGATATGGGCCAGAGAAAGTTTGGAGAGACAGGAGAGGGAGAGGGCGGAGAGACAGAGAATGGCTAAGATTTTGAAACAGCAGCAGGAGCAGCGTGAGAGGGCGGAGAGAGAGAGAATGACTAAGATTTTGAAACAGCAGCAGGAGCAGCGGGAGAAACAGGAGCGGGAAGCGGCAGAGGCGTTGAAACAACAAGAGGAATATGAAAAGAAGTGGAAAGAGATGATCGACAAAGCCGAGAAAACCCGGAGACAATACGCACGAGTCAATCGCTCCGGACTCCCACTTACAGGCGAGGGAAGCACTCGCCAGGCTTCTACATCATCCTGCGTGCACAACGGCTGGTGGTCAAAAGTACAGGGTCGTACAGCATGCCCAAGGTGTGATGAGGTTTGGACTTATCTGCTGCAGTGCCCGGGCTGTAGGATGAAGGCGTGCCCGAAATGTCAAGCTGTGGTACGGCCGAGGATACAGCGCCATGCGGGGAGGACGCATCAAACAGCCTCTCCAAAGGTGAGGACCCCAAGTCAGGATTTCTTTTACGACGATTACTACTAGGTTTTTGAAGGAAAACGATGAGGAAAATTTATTGGTCTGGGTTTTGGCGTTGAATTAGGATATACTTTCTTTCTAGAATAGCTAATAAACTAGCTGGACATTAAGGGCTATCATCTATTTAAGGTATGATAATATATTATGTAGTATTGTGAGAATTATCTCTAGCTAGCTATTTCTGGTTTATTATATATATTGTTGAGTGGCTAAGGCTACTGGATAGCTACTAGTCACATGAGATATCACAACAGACCACAGCAATGTTTTCAATGCCAAAGAACATTCGGCACCATAACCCACCTGAATCGCCATATAAACGATGCTCACGAAATCATGAAGCATTAACATTATTCTGTTACGGCTTGTAAGTACGCCGAAAGTCTGGGCGAGAAGTCGTTTCCCCGGAAAGATAATTGTAAAAGGCATATGAGGGAGATGCATGGGATTTAGGATGAGAGTTGACGAGTAATGAGATTTAACTTGCAAAGAGACTCAGTGGAATGAGACCTAACGCCCACTGCTATTTATATCAAGTCACACGGTAATAAAGGTGTCAAGCCCCCTCCTAAGTCCAATTCCGCTGCAATAGTCTCTCGTTTGAGCCCTGACGGCTCACGTGATTCTCCTCCTCTGCACTAGTCGTACCATTGATAGTCTTGCACTACACCGTGACAAGACAACGGAGAACCGGGAGTTCTAGGAAGCATACAGAAAACATCAAATTTAATCAAGGAATTGAGGCTTTATTTCTGGATCCGAGATTTGCTAGAAGAAGACAATGTTCAAAATACTAGGAGCAGCTTGGTATGTGCCAAGGCTTGGGAATTATGGAAGTTCTAAAGTTTCTCACCCCGTATTCTTGCGTCAGAACGTGCGCATAGAGGACTGGAATGGAGCTTTTGTTCTGTGGGTACTTATTTTTTAACGACACGCTATTATGCCACTAGCTCGTGGTGGAATCGCTGAGGCTTGACATTGAGGACAGGTGATTTGATTTATTAATAAACAGTTCTAAGTCTAGGCTGTATTAAGCGTTATGATTTCTTCCATTAGCTCTCTCCCACGTAGTGCGGGACAACAGGATCCGTCCCATAGAGCTTGAACGCATTGACATATTCAAAAAAGCTCGCTTTGTATGCTCTCTCTTGTGTCGTGAAATTAACATATCTGCGACATATTAGCGGAAGTTATCCCCAGAATCAAGAAATCGTGAACTTACTGTATACCAAAACGACTCTGATATCCCGCCTGCCACTCCAAATTATCCACAATCGACCAAGCAAGCGTGCCAACTACATCAACACCCTCACTAATAGCAATAAGAATCGCTTGCATATACTCGCGATAATAACTGCTTCTAATAGGATCCGTCACGATATCTTGTTTGAGAACTTTCAACGCCTCAAATGGCTCTGCGAATCCGAACTCGGTGATCGCGATGCCGCCTGCGGGTTTCCATGTGTCTTGCATGTAGTGGAGAAAAGCTGGGACCCAGTCTGTGGCTTTATGGAGCCATGGGGAGAGAGGATCGGCTGCGGCTCCTATAGCCCAGCCGCCGGATGATGAGGCGTAGGTGTAGGTTGAGTTGGCGCAAGTTGGGTAGAGTGGGTGGGAGGAGTTGGAGACGCATGCGGCGACTCCGGAGTCCGGTGCTAGATTCCGTTAGTATTGGTAGCAAAATTGCACTTCGAAATCATGGCTTACCCATGTAGAACTGTGATGTGTAGGCATCGTGTGCGAAAACGTCACTTGATCCGTTGATCATTGTTTTTTGCTCCTCAGTGAACGCTGGTAAGAATCCGGAAACGTAATCCTTCACGTTCTGCGGATAGTCGCCTGTCAAGAATGTGGGTTCGGCAAACCATCCTTCGTTGAAATCCCAGGCTCTTTGGGTCGCAAGTGCATCGTCACTTGAATCTAACAAACATAGAATTAGTAAAGCATTTTTCGCTAATCACATATGCCGATGATTAGGCAATCAGCGAGGATGTCACTTACTGGTCAGTGGAATCTTGTAACCACCGTTTGTTTTGAAAGAAATTGTCCCGTTCAAGCCCATGGACTTTCCTAATCGATATGCCTCTCCGTGCGCGAGTAAGACATTATGGCCACACCAAAACGGTTGCTGCTTTTTAGGAATCCCTGTATCTCTGAAATATCCATCCGGTAGTGGATAAGTGTTGCTTCAGAATAGTCAGTCGACCTGTTGCGCCTCATGTTGCTCAAACTTACCAGAAAACAATCGGTTCATTGACAGTGAACCATCTATTGACCTTGTCACCATATCTTCCGAACACAAGACGAGCGTATTCGACAAAATCGCCGACAATTTCCTCGCTAAGCCATCCACCGTACAAGTTTTGGAGATAGAGGGGTAAATCCCAGTGGTAAAGTGTTACTGATGGCTCGACTCCATACTCGAGACAGGTATCAATGACATCTTGGTAATGTGCGAGGGCCTCCTCATTAACAGCGCCTCTGCCGAATGGAAATACACGTGACCAACTTATTGAGAAGGAGTATGTCTGAACACCAAGTGCAGCGATGCGTGCAATATCTGTTGATCATCAATTTTGGGACTCAAATTTATCATTTATGCAGAACACACCTTGTTTGTACAAGTAATACTGGTTATCTGCAATATCTCCCGTTTGATTGGCAGTCGAAAATCCAGTGACTCGATGCAACAGCACATCCCAGATACTGGGACCTCTGCCTTCATCTTTCACTGCACCCTCGACTTGGAACGCGGCACTTGCGACTCCCCACCAAAAGCCGCTCGGGAACTTCCAACTCGAATTAGATACCATTGCTGGTATCTGTTGGCCATTTGGAAATGAGGGATAAGCGAGACCTGGTGGTGGAACTAGTTCGGATGTTGGAATAGGTGTCGCTGAAACAGTAGTATTCACAGCGGCTGTAGAGACTGGGCCAACAAAAAGATTCCATAAGTCTTCGACGTTAATGTCGAGTTGCGTTGCTACTGCTGTCGGTGGTACCGTGGAAGATCCATTCGAATAAGTGGGAGTCCCTGATGTAGCATTTTGAGCCAAAGCGACTCCCAAGGGAAGTAGAAAAGCTGTCAATCGGGAAACCATATCGACCTAGAGAGATATTTCGATTTTTCTGTCCTGCGATACCAGAATTGCCCGGATGGTTTCAATCACTTTATACCCCATCCCCATCGCGCAAGGTTCGGCCCTTCTAACAAAATCCAACATTTAGTTTCGGCTCTACCCCAGCACCAACACCAGGCTTAACCATTCTTACTCAAATGAAGCCTGCTAGGAGTGAGAAATAGGAATAGTGAGTGTTGTGACAAGTGTGGTAAAGTGGAGTTCAACACGAGGAAGTGGACGGAGCTTCCCCGCAATTCCCCGCTTGTGGGTGCTGTCAACCCCGCGCTCCGTCATCGATGTCCACCTTCCATTTACTCGAATGATAATAAGGTTTTAGAGTTTCAAGGCTATGTCGTTGATGTGAAGCAATGTTTACATGAATTGAACATTTCATTGCCAGGGTTTGTTATTGTTCTGCTAAGTTTGCCGCGAAATACATCGGTGGCTGGGGTGCAATAAACTCCTCATTATTCTTTAGACAGGAATGATATTTGGCGTAGTTTCTGGTATACCTTTGTTCATAGATCTGAAATCGATATTTTGAGGTTGTATCTGGTAAAAAGTATGGAAGAATTAGAATGAATCTTGTCACCTTTGTCGAATAAAACCGCCTTTAATTATCAGTTCGGCTTACTTTCTTCGAAAGTTTTCCTCGACAAGAGCTACTTAAGGCTCAAACCCAGTTGAAAGATACTACATAAATAACATGAAGCTTTATACAGACTTAGATCTAAAATTTCTTCTTCCAGCTCGCACGAGTTCATATGTCCTGGAGTAAACGCTTCTGGGGGAAGTGGGGGGGTGATACACCCCACCATTCAGAGTGGACGGTCTCCAATCCTCCACTCGCTGGCACCTGAAATCTATATCTCGGCCAATGCCAAGCCGTAAAGTTTGGGTCAAGCATTACACGTATTCGCTACTCGTACCATCGTAAAATATCGCGAAGCGGACTGGTGACACTCCTGTAAACGAGTAGACCTTTGCCGCGGGCGGTCGCTTATGGGATGCTAACCATAGCGCTTGGAAAAGTGAATGTAATGATCTCATAATTATAAGATTATAAACAAAACGTGATGTAGTTAGCTGATCTAAGGCTGAATATATAGTTACGCCTAGTTAATGAAGGAAGTATAGTACCTGGTTCTTTTGCGAAGGTAAAAATTCGGTTTGCACTGTGGCCAGGACCCGAGAGCTTTCCATCATCAGTTTATCACGTCTTGCGCATAAGTTTGTCTCTAAATATTGACGGGAACATCCATTTAGAAATGACAAAATGTTGAGATAACCCCCCTTAAGGATCCGAAAAGTAATTACTCGCGAAGAGTAATAAAGCAAATAAAGATGTTCATATCAGACATGCTCACAATCAGTCGTCACTTGGAGTCGAATTGTTCCTTCGATCTGACAGAGTCCTGAATAACCGAATTGTTCTCTCACCCGATCTTTCCAAATTCGAAATTTTACTACCTCTACCCACGAAAGAGGAGGAAGGGGATACTTCGCTTGTATCACCAATTTGATGTTACCAAATCTTCGGAAATCATTTGCACAGATAATCTCATTCCGTCGTCTCTTTGGCCGAAGTCTTGATTAACCGATTGTTAGAACTCTTTACGATAAAAGCTGCTTAGGATACACTGTGACTTTTTCAAGGAGGTAAAAAGGTCGTGAGTTGGGAACTTGGGGATAGAGTACTATTGGGTATTCAATAGATAAGTTATTGAAATAGGTATTTGAACTAGTGCATCTCGCAAGTCGCAACAAATTATCACTCAATCATGAAAAAGCACCGCCTTCCTTTTCCGAAAACGTCGGGAAGAATTGAACACCAGATACTACATCTTGGCTATAGCCATTTCATTTCAGCCTCATAAGAAGTCTCCGACCGGTGTTAACCCCGTCTCGGATTTAATCGGATGGTCCCGGAGTCGAGGGGTTATGTCCGCGTTGCTTCGCTTATTCTTTCAGTGGGCGGATGCGGTCAATAGGGAGGAGAAATTGTACGTGAAGTCGGAATTAGGCACGAAATGCAGGGGAGGGAGGGAAATTGGATTGGAGATGGTGGATTCTTGAGGGGAGGTGGTGAGATGGTGAAGTATTTTCGAAGGTTGACGTTGACGAGGGATTATTTCTGGGATTGACATTCTTGATGATGCTTTATGGTTGGTCGGATTGTGCAGATCTATTAAAGAGAGGAAGTCTTTGGAACTTAAAATTAATTATATTACTCTAAAAACAATCTTTCTATGAGTCGAGTCTGTACCCTTTAACCCTCACAATACCCATCTAGGTCTTCGGATTTTATCGCTGCCCACCCATACGCCATCCCTATTAAAGCAATCTCAAGCTACCTCCCAATCACAAAAGAAACTCATTGTGTTTGCACGCCTACGCAGCACCACCAGCCTGCACCTTCCCCTTCAAATTCGTCCACTTACTCCCCATAGCAATGAACACTGAGATTCCCGCCGACGCAATAGCAATCGCATACGCAACCTGTAGGCCATCCATGTAAGCTAGCACGATGCCCGGGACATCCGATGCTGCGAAGTGATTTCTGATTTCAGTTACACCGATCGTGACGACTTCGGCTGGCGAAACAGCAGGTGCCGTTTCAACGAGACGCGCAACGAGGATATTCGCGAATGCGACCTGGCCAGCGGAAACGAAGAACGCACCGCCGATGGTTTGACAGAACAAAATCATCGCGGTGACGGAGGCGAGATCGGTGGGTTCGACGATGGCTTGACCAACGATGATGGGGACTTGGAATGCGGCGCCGAGACCGAGACCCGCGAGGACTTGATAGCCGATCCAGTGTGCGGAGGTGGAGTGGACGTCGAGGGTGAAGAGAAGGGCGGAGCCGATGGTCGCCATGACACCGCCGACGAGCATCCAAGGGACGAAGTGGCCAGTGGCAGAGATGGTGCCGCCGGAGGTGATGGTTGCGAGGACGACGGCGATGATGAGGGGGAGATTGCGGATGCCTGACTGAGAAGCGCTGACGCCGTTCACGACTTGGAAGTAGATAGGGAGGTAGTAGAGGAGGAGAAAGAAAGCTCCGCCGAGGAAGAAGATGAATGCCATTCCGAGTGCGATGTTGCGGGTTTTAAGGAGGCGGCCGTTGACCATTGCGCGCTCACCTTGCCACCATTCGACTACGCCGAAGAGAATGAGGATGAGGACGAAGCCGACGAGTGTGCCGATGACTGAGGAGTCGCTCCAGGATTTGGTCTGTCCTCCCCATTGAAGTGCGAGGATGTAGCAGACGATTGCGGCCATGATTGTGAAGGTACCTGGGAGATCCATTTGAAGGAGTTTCTCTTTTAACGATGCTTCGACTGGTACCGCTTGGGATGGAGTTTTGAAGAAGAAAACGATGATGGCTGCGGATACTCCACCGATGGGTACTACGGAGTGTTAGTTGGAACCTTTTGAATACAGGAATAATAGATTGCGCTTACGATTGATATAGAAACACCATCTCCATGTGACTTTTTCAGCGAATACTCCTCCGAGAAGAGGTCCGACGACTGAAGCGAGACCGTAAGCAGCTCCCATCAGACCGGTATAAGCAGCACGCTGAGCTGGAGGAGCACTGAACGCGATAATTGTATAAGCACCAGATGCGATACCTGCACCACCCAATCCAGCGATGGCTCGTCCAACAATCAGAGCTGTACTATTTGGTGCGACCCCTGGGGTGAAATTAGTATCTAGAAGTGAAAGTTGACTGTATTGAACTTACCACAGATCAAAGAGCCGACTTCGAACACGAAAATGGCAGCCAAAAATGCAAGCTTTAATGGGAAATACTTGTATGCCTTCCCCCATGTAGATTGAAATGCGCCGACTGTCAAGAAGAAAGCACTTCCATACCATCCAACCAAGTCGAGACCTCTGAATTCATCTGTAATTTTTGGGATTGCGGTTGCGACGATTGTCATATCAAGAGAAACCTATCCAACATAAGCACAGCATATACGAGAAGCGAGTTGTTAACTTACCAGGAAAATACTGAGCAGTAGCGAAAGAATAACCAAAGCCAAAGGTAAACCGGTCGCATATTCTCCATCATCAGGGACATTCTCCTCAGCTTTCAACGAACCCTCATTATCCGTAGCCTCCGCCTCAATAGTCTCCTTTCCAACACCCTCCTCTTTGTTGATAGAAGGCAACGGCGATGGAGTGACACTTCTTCTATTCTCCTTCTCATCCGCCAAAGTCGCCGATCTGGAATCTGAATCAACCATCGCTTCGAATTAAAAGATCACTAAGGTTAAAAGTACGAAAGGTGAGAATATTGTGCTGACACAAAAACAAAACAACAAAGAGCGGCAGCAAATACTTATATCAACCCCATGCCGTATATCCCAGGGGATAGGTGCTCGACCGGAGAGTCATCATGTAAGCTCCGCTCACCTCACGTAAAGTCCGTACTCGAAAGGGAGATGAGCACGATTGAAATTTGGCTACCAGATGCGTATTGGACGTGCCTTGAGGCGCATGTTTCAGGAGATAAGGCTGGTCCGCCGGTCTGGAGGTCAGCAAAGAAAAAGTAATTAGCAACCATTATGAGTCGAAATGATGGAGATGAGATGAGGAGCTTGGCGGCTGCCCAACTGCTGCAGGCGGAATCCTGCTGAATAGGTTATTTTGACATCGTCCGAGCCAGAGGAATAGGCATAATAGAGCTGCCAAATTGCGTATCGCGGAGGTGCAGTGAGTGCACTCTGCACTCTGCCTCTGCACTCTGCACTCCGTATTCCGTTTGCACTTTCAAGTCCGCCGGCGATGGACGTTAAGGACCCCAGATTGCTGACGAAAACCAACTCATCTTGGCAAATTCTTCACCCAGAAGCCCAGGCCACCGAGCGAAATTCGGCCGAAGAAGCGACGGATCATTCCCAGGCTGACTCACCCCCTTTATCCTCTGACACCACTTCCAGGCTGAAGAACTTTTTAAGTTTTGTCGTAATTGTCATAAATTAACTTTCCAAGCCATCAAGACTGTATTGGGTCGTCGCACTACATGTCTCCGACAGGTTGGTTCGGTGCGAGCACGGGGAAATGCGCGGTTGGGAGATGAGTTCGAGGGGATCGATTGAACCGAACACGAATTCGAGGTGATATCTACAATCCGATATGTCAACGATATCTCGGAATAAAAAGTTGTTGCTTCACGTCAATTCGCACATGAGATGCACATCCCCGCACTGAACATCTTTGTCTCCTCGGAGGGTCAGTGAAATCGTGTCCGGGGTTAAGTTTGAGGTATATCCGAAAAGAATATCTCGATGGAAGCGAACATGAATTCCAGATAATATCGCCAGAAATTCAAACAGGAACATCCATTTCATCATGCTCGTTAAAATCGACACCATCGCCCGTTGTATACAAGAATTCACACCCCCCATTTGGGAAGATCTCACTTCCTCGGACGGTCACTCGGATATACGTATACCAAAGTACTCCTGTTGGTGCTTACGTGTATATGCGTACTTCCAACCAATAGTGGAAAGTCCCGAGAGGCTTGGTCCTCTTTATTCGAATATAAGCTTACAGGATCGGCAACATATAGAAAAAAAGTCTCCGCAGATGAGTTGTCCGATGACTATGTTTTGATGGTGAGATTTTAACGCTGCCTTGGGCTAAGGATATAAGCTGGGTGAAGTCGCTGACGATCGGTACTGAAGATGGCTATTGACGCGATGGATAGAACTCTGTGATAAGAAATTTTGAATTTCAACTCGAGTACCAGATTGCTAGGTAAGTAAGAATCGAGGAAAATAGCCCTTCCAGCGCCTTTTGACAAACTTTACTCGTTAAACCCATTTGCCTCACCTATCATTTTCCTAGGCTTATTTCGATTATACTATTACTCGCTTCCCAATAAGCCTCCTACCCGTTCCGTTCAGAATACCTGGGCTCGCAACACAATTCACTGTGAAAAAGCTTAGATTGTGGAAAATTCGCGACGTGGGGTTTATTGAATGGCATAGGTGCTATCTGCCATGTTGAATACCATGAGTCATATGTATGATGTCTTTAGCCTCTCTTCTGTACTCTGTCACCGTACATCGATTTCGTCCCATTCATCTAGGTAAATAACCTCAATTTTTGAGCCCAGAATGTTAGGGCCAACTTGTTGTCAATTCAACCTTTGGTGGGTAAATGGTAGCGGAAATCATGACAAGTTTATGATCTTCGCCAATCTCGAGCAGCCATGATCGTCGACGTACCGTCCACACCAAACCAGTATAACAATTAGAACATTTCAAGTACGGAGAGAGAATGCTCATTCTGGTACTGATAGTATACAACGAGGGTCCTGTCGTCTAGGCTTAGGAAAATGCAACTGTAGGTGCGGCACCTGTTATCCCCTGCCTCAAATGGTATGGTGATCCTTTCGCAGCTAGGTACGTACATCACTCAGTAATGTGTTCTCTTCACTTTTGAGTGGCCAATACTCTAACACGGTTCAAGGCTTTTATGGAGCAAAAAAGGGTCAAAGGGCTTAGCAAAAATAGTCTCGACGAGAGGCGTTCCTCGAGGTCTGACTGTATGTTTTTGTGGGCTCGAGGTAAGGTACTCTACCCAATAGAAACTGCCATATTTAGCCCCGTGGAAATCATCTGGAGGGTTCTCGAGGTCTATACCTCGTCATTTTAATCAAACCTATATAAGAACACAATATTGTGTTAGGTGAGTACTGTGTCAGAGCCAGACCTCACGTGCGCAGTTGCGGTCTGCTCCTGAGCTCCTCTACCGAAGATCCGAACTACCGAACGCCCGAAACGCCATTATAACATGTCGTTCGGCAAGCACTCAGTAACTTAGTAATCCGCCCAGACAATCCACATCTTTTATAGCTCAATAGTAACCATGGACCACCATGGAGATCGAAATGAGAAAACCCCCTCCCACACTCTTTTGACAGAGTCCGGACGACTTGAGGAGCTACATACTGTTCTCGACAATGGCGATGAAACGACATCCTCTTCAGCCAAGCAAAGCACACATATCGGAGACAAAAAATCAGATGTGGAGAAAAGTATCTCCCTTGGAGAATACGTGGACAACTCAGACGTAACCGAGAAGATTGAGAGTAAAAAGGGGGAGGCTCAAAATACCGCAGTGATGCCCAATGAGCAGGAGAAAGATCCCAACCTCGTCGGATGGGAAGGTCTGCTTGCTTCCAGTCTAGATGTGCGATTGAACCCGACTGATCATTCATTATAGGTCCTGACGACCCTCAAAATCCCCAGAATTGACCCAAAAGCAAGAAATACCGAATCACGGTCCTCTACGCCATCTTGACTTTCACCCTCACCTTTTCCAGTAGCATTTTCAGCACCGCAACAGAGGTCACGTCAAAGGAATTCGGTGTATCTACGGAAGTTATGACGTTAGGCACAAGTCTGATCGTGCTCGTCCGTCCACCTTCTAACCGTTTAAACAACCAAGAACGCTCTCGCTAACTTTCATTTCCAGGGATTTGCTGTAGGTCCTATGATATGGGGTCCCCTCCTTTTGTAACTTTCTTTTTCCTCCCTGCGCTTTCTCAATCCTCCAAATGCTTACCTGCTCCTTTCCACAGGCGAATTGTATGGCCGTCGAAAACCGCTCTTCGTCGGATACTTCATCTTTGCAATTTTCCAAATTCCCGTCGCTGTCGCCCGTAACGTCGAAACAATCATGCTCTTTCGATTCCTCCAAGGCGTCTTCGGCGCTTCAACGATGGCTATCATCGGGGGTGCGCTCGCCGACTTCTGGGGCCCCGTGGAGCGAGGACTTGCACTCGGGCTATTCACCGGAGCAGTATTTATTGGGCCAGTAGCAGGTCCAATTGCAGGTGGCTTCATCGTCATGAACAACAACCTAGGGTGGGGATGGACGGCATGGATGACATTCATCCTAGCAATTTCCTTCTGGCTTATTGCACTCTTCATATGCAGCGAAAGCTACGCCCCTGTCATTCTCCAACAAAAAGCGCGCCGGCTCCGCTTCGAGACGAAGAATTGGGCTCTACATGCTCCGGCTGATGAACAGCAGGTGGATCTCCGAAATATCGCCCAGCGGTACCTGCTCCGCCCTGCTGCAATGTTAGCTCAAGAACCTATCTTGCTACTTATTACTCTCTATATGGATTTATTTATGGTGTTGTTTATCTATTTTTTGAAGCCTACCCCGTGGCCTTTCAAGAGCAACGGCATTGGAATCTGGGTGTTGGGGCACTCCCCTTCTTAGGTATCACCGTCGGTGTTATGGCCGGTGTGGCTGTTGTAGTCTACACATCACAAACCCGCTTCAAACGCAAAATGCTCGCTAATGGCGGTAAACCTATTCCCGAGGAGCGTCTTCTGCCAATGATCCTCGGGGCCATTCTCCTCCCCATCGGGCTCTTCTGGTTCGCATGGACAAGCAGTCCATCTGTGCATTGGGCGGCCCAAGTCCTCGCCGGCATCCCGATTGGCTTGGCTGTCGAGCTCGTCCTCCTACAAGGCATGTCCTACATTATCGACGTCTACCTCATGTATGCCAATTCAGCTCTTGCCGGCAACACCTTTGTCCGCAGCTTGTTTGGAGCTGGCTTTCCAATGTTCGCAGCAGCAATGTTTCATAGCTTGGGTGTGGATTGGGCAACAAGTGTGCTGGGGTTTATAAGTATTGCATTCTTACCTTGTCCGCTGTTCTTCTTCTTCTATGGGAAGAAAATAAGGAGTTGGAGTAAATATAGTCCGAAGACGTGAGAAAGGTGGGGACAAGAGGATGTAGCCGGCTAATGGATGGTCGACACGAAGGAGTATAATGAAATGGTGAACAGAGAAGGGGGTATGGTGGCCTTGTGCGAGGCCAAAGCTGTCCTGATTTGTTGCGGAAGCGGAGCTTACCATTTGCCAACAATCATTTGAAGTTGGGCAAATTGCAAAGCCCAAAAGACCAACTTCATAAGCACGCCTACACGAGCGGACCATGTATTCACCAATCAGGAGGGAAGTTTCGGACAGTAAAAATGAATGTGAGTCAGATGAAAGGACTGTATGATAGTTTCAAAAAGCTCCTCCCTCCATTGCATATATAGGTGTATGCTTGTAGCTTGTTGTAAATCACATTGGCTCGGTCTATTTGATCGTCACTAGATGCGTTCAAGTACTAAAAAGTACCTTAAGGCTGTAACATAAACCCGCATGAGGTGTTATACTTGGAACATATACCTGAGATTCTGGTAAAGACTGTACTAGCCTTAGCGCTCTTGAAGTTCTTTGACTGGTATAGGCGGGCCATTCACGGGCAGGGACGGACCGGGCCATGATTCGGGTCTACGGCGTCACTACACCAAAACCTTAGGTATTCCTCGCTTTTTTTGAATGGTTTCAATGAGAAAACTAGTCTTTAAAGAATTCAAATAGAGGTAGTATTTGGAAAAGGTGTTCCTCTATCATTTCGAGGGCTTGAGTCGTGTCGGAAAGCCTACATTACATTTGACAATTTCTAGTTTTAGCTTAATCTGGCCGTGAAAAGGAACCGTATGATAATGAGAAGTAATTAAATTCAGTTTACTTACCATGGTCTAACTACTAGGATGATATTTGGGACATTTCTAAAGCTTATTTGTTGCCTAGCGGATTCCCGCCCTCCTGTTGGTTGTTGGCGCTCCAGGGTTGAGGTTCGGCTGCTTACACGCCGAGCGCAAAGTCATGCACACAACCTTTACTTTCTTTCCGAAGTTTATTCACTTGGACAAGCGCTGGTAGATTTTGAAGCAGATCGTGCTTCCTGCAGCCTTATTAGAGGGTGGTAATGGAGCAGCCTTGGTATCAAGAAGGCCAGACAGCTTCGCCTCCTTACGCAGTTCGAAATTTCAAGAGTCTGTCTACGATAAAGGTTCCACCGTCGCTAATGGACCTTGCAAATGAGCCGTGCCACGATGGTTTTGCCAGCTGGTACAAGAATAATGAAACCCTTATGGGAAGCTGCAAAGCCGGTACGTGTTATTGTCATGTTTTCATAATCCAACAATGTGTTAATTAGAATCAGCCTGCTTCCAACAACCAGCAGGGTAAATCAAATCCTCCCTATCTTCTTTGAATGACCGCGAACGCTAATAGTATTCCGAACTTCTTGACAATGCCATATCTCGACAGTATTGTCAGAGAACACGTAGGCCGGACTCAAGAGGGGTCAATTTCGATGTCGCTGATTGATTCTGTCATGGCCTTTGGATATCAAGCCTACCTCACCTTCTCCCAGCGCCCTATCACTTCAGAGGAACGAAACAGCGCCCTTCAATATGCGAAAATACCACTAAGATCTCGTGGTAGTATTTTACGCTCGCCCAACACTCTCCTAAAATTCCAGATAATCCGAATCCTCGACCCCAAGTATTGCCTAGTACTGACTGCCTAGACAATTTTAGCAATGGTCTGTCTAACCCGTCCGCGAACTCACAGTTTGACTGATTGGCCATTCAGACAACTATCTCGGAGCAAATTGATGAAATAATTCATTGTGAGCTTATAGCAGGTGCTGTCAGCTGTGCTAGGGCAATGAAACTCGATTACTGTAATTTAATGTATGGATCGAGTATGAGCAACGGGGATAGAGATTTTGCGAGGAGGAGTCTTTGGTATCTATACTCAATCGAGGCCCCTCAGTGTCTACGGCATGGAGTTTCCCCTGTAGGAGCCGCTTTTCAATATTTGGTAAGAAGAAATTTTGACAATACGAATAGGTGATTAGCCACAACTGGATTGACCATGCCCCACCTGAATCCGGCACGGAAGTAGACTGGTTCTCCGTCCAATGTCTTTATGCCATTGTCATCAGCTCTGCAGCAGAGATGCTGTATACCCAGCGAGCGCTCAGACAGTCCCTTACGGAGCGGGAGCAGAAGTTGAAGACAGCTTTCGAACTCTTGGAGAGTTGGAGAAAACACCTCCCGACTCCTCTGCAGGAGATTCATAAACAGACCACGCACCTGAACCTCGACGACATCTACGTGCCCGATGCCACTCTATCCATCTTTCGCCAGTACCATGAAGCTGTCTATATGATATACTTCCTTGGGTGGGCAACCGGTCAGACGGTCGGGTCTCGGAAGACTGTCGAAGAAAGTGCGGGGAGTTATGCATCAACTCTGCCCAAGTGGTATTGGCGATCGCAAATCAGATCCTGAACATGGAAGTCATCGATAGGTATGCCAGATATTGCCGATTCGATCCACGATATCTTGACCCCAAAGACTGACAACATGGACCACCCATAGTAAATTTCTCAACCTGATCGCGTCGTCTATCTGCATTATATTCCTGGACGTGGCCACAAGAGGCACCGCCGAGGAGAGCTTTTCATATCTAAGCATAGGTTGTGGTGTTTTCGGTAGGTTAACGGTATTGGATAACGAGGTGCCGTTTGCAGATGTGTTGGAGCTCGCGCGTACGGCGCAACAACTCAAGGGCAAATGAACGTGTGACTATTCTGATATAGAGAACTTGACCACACGAGCTCTTGAAAATCAAGCGGCATCTGGACATCTCATGGGTCTTGCCTCATGTGTAAGGTAGCCAAGGCATATTCTAGCGGGAACCATTGATCCAGATTATGGGTTGGCGATAGTTGACGGGGTTATCAAGATATCAAGGCTTTACTTGACAACGATACGCCAGGGGCTTACCGAATTTGTTAACTTTGAAACAAGAGAGGATCATGGGTCGGAAGCTAGTCAATACCCCAATGGAGGCTTACCAAACTTCATCTAATTTCAATCTGATTCCTGCTATGTCTTGGTCGGAGGACTAGAGGCCTCGTTCGAGTAAAGGCAGCGTGGATGGTAGAGAATGGTACACGTAGCATCATGTTCCTATCTCGCTTTACGAAGGAAGGCCCGAACACTACGCAGTTCCTTGACGAACTCCGAGCTCTTGGATGTGAGGTACTGCCATTTTCTGGGGATGTGATTTGCTTAATGGAAGTTGAAAGCTGCAATAAAGCAAACGACGAGGCCCGTGAAAGGTATCATGCAGATGTCATCCATCATGAGGGTTTTTGTATTCTTAAACATTTTCAAACTGACTTTGACTTTGATAGGATAAACCGTTGTCCAAAATGACCTTTTCAGATCGGGGGCATTGCGTGCGACCTAAAGTTTAGGGCACCTGGAGTCTTCACCAGGTTACGTCTTCGGCTTATTTAGAATTTTTCCTGCTCTTTTCCTCTACATGTGGGATCACAGGCCAGCCAGCTCAGACTTACTACAATTCGGTAAACGCACTTTTGGACGGATTTATAGAAGCCAACTTGCTCTTGGGCTCAGATCAGCGAAGCCAATGACTGATTCTTCCAGTCTTATTAAAACTTAAAAGAGCATTGTGGTAGGTTGATTCAATCTCATAGTATTCAAACTCTTTTTAATTTGGTGTTGCACGTGCGCGGGAGGAATCTTCACCACGACTAATAAAGCTAATGGCTAAAATCTCGGGATGACCTGCATATGTTGAGGATACAAGTAGAACGACATAGCATATCTCTGTGCAATGTTGGATTCATTCGGCTCAATCCTTGTCCAAACGAAGATCCGAGCATTACTGTAACCCCGACAAAGCGACTTTACGGATGTCCGAACTCACTGCAGGTATATAATTTCTGACACAACAATTGAAGTATTGCCAACAAAGACATTGCCTTCTGATGAGTACTTTAGACTGCCTGTCAAGACATCTTCCCTGAATAACTAACCCAATCCTATCCATCCAGGAGCAAGAATGGCTACCAGCAATGGAACAAATAGACAAGCGAGCCAAAAGGTGGACATCTTCATCTGTGGCAGTGGCTCAGCTGGTCTCATTGCTGCAACGTGGCTGGCACGCTACGGAGTACGCTGCAAGATCGTAGATTCTCGTTCTGGTCCGCTGGAATGGGGCACGGCTGACGGTATCCAAACCCGCACGACAGAGATCTTTGAGAGTTTTGGTCTCGAAGATCAGCTACTACGGGAGGGTTTTCATAATCTTGAAGTGGCGTTTTACAATCCAGTGGGCAAAGATGGCGCTATTGAGAGGACGAGGAGCGTCGAAGCATCCAACCAAGGGTTGTCGCATTTGCCTCGTGTTATTTTGAGTCAGGCACGAGTCCATGAGGTGTTATTGGGGGCTATGAAGAGGTTTAATGGTCAGGATGTAGACTATGGGTATAGGGTCCATTCAGTGAAGGTCGATGAAGAGAAAGCAAAAGATCCCCATGGTTACCCCGTCACTATAGTGACAGAAAAAGATGGGAAAGAGGAGAGGTTCGAGGCAAAATTTGCCCTGGGCTGCGATGGCGCACACAGTACAGTTCGAAAATCACTTGGCTTCAAATTGGTTGGGGACGGGTCTGATTCAGTGTGGGGTGTCATGGATTTCATTCCTCGCACCGACTTCCCGGATACCAGGAAGCTCACTGTCATACAATCTAAAGCAGGCAGTATGCTTAACATACCTCGAGAAGGAGGGTTTATGAATCGCTTTTACATGGAACTTCCCCAGGGGACTGTGGCAAAGGAAGTCAAGCTCGAGGATCTCCAAGGAACCACTCGTCGGATCTTCCACCCATATCAGATTGAATTTGCAGAAACAGTTTGGTGGTCAGCCTATACGGTAGGACAGCGAGTCGCAGACCGTTTTACACACTCGGATCGTGTCTTTTTGACAGGCGACGCATGCCACACGCATTCTCCTAAAGCTGGTCAAGGAATGAACGTCAGCTTCCAGGATGGATATAATATTGGATGGAAACTCGCAAGCGTTCTTAAAGGAGAGGCCAAAATAGACATCTTGGAAACCTACACTACCGAGCGGCGAAAGGTTGCTGAGGATTTGATTGAGTGGGATAGAAACTGGGTGAAATCCATGGCCTCGAAGGGGAAAGATCAGGGTGGCGTCCTTGATGCGAATAATAATGTCGACTTTAGCGAGATCTGGGTTAAAGCAAGACCTTTCACGGCTGGTTTGACTATCAAGTATGACGACTCTGTTCTGACTCGGGCGAAAAGCAGTCTTCAGTCACGGGCCAAGGGTCTGAAAGTCGGGATGCGGTTTCCAAGTGCGCCGGTGATACGATTCTGCGATGCTTTCGAAATGCAATTCCTCAAGGCTTTCCCTTCAGATGGACGTTGGAGGATTGTGGTTTTTGCTGGTGATGTTCGTCAGATTGCTGCTTATAAAAGACTAGCTCAGGTAAATAATATTTCCACTTGATGGGCGCCCTATGCTAACCTGCCAGCTCGGCGAATACCTTTTTTCGGAACATGGACCCATCAAGAAATACACAGCTCCTGGCTTAGATATTGATAGTTTCATCGAAGTGCTTGTACTTCTCTCAGGAGAACGGTTGACGACAAAGCAGGAGCAAATACCGAAGCATTTTTGGCCGGAGACTGGCAAGTGGCATGTAAGAGGTAAGACCAATTCGCACAATATATCTGAGCTATCTGACCATATGTTTAGACATGCACAAGATCTACATCGATGACGAAAGCTACCATAGTGGACATGGACACGCATACGAAGTCTACGGAGTAGATCCCAAACATGGTGCAACTGCAATTGTGCGTCCAGACGGCTGTAAGTCTAAGATCGCCTTATAATAGAATTGTTTCCGTATACTGACTAGATCAAGACGTCTCGATGGTTCTGGATATCGAAGATTTTGCAGGTATCAGTGAATTTTTTGCTGGGTTTGCTGTTGAGAGACTACCTGCTGTAACAAACGGAGTAGCAGATCATTAAGGGTACTATAATAGGATTCACCAGATTCAATGAAATTGAAGAGAATGAGTAACATGTATCATCACAATATGTCCGTTGCTCCAAATCTGCTACCAGTCGAATGCAAAATCCAGAGCACTCTGGTATAACAGAACATTCATCTGGTGAAAGGTGATTTCAGTTCAAGACAAAATCACAATCACAAGTCAAACGCATCCATGAATTAGAATGGTATTTCCATTTTCCCAAAATATCTACAAGAAAACTTTCGCTCTAGTATAAAACAAATATAAACACCAACACGAATTCCCCAATGCAATGCAATCTCATCTAATGCAAATCATGTCAAAACATTTAACATCTCAATGTACATAACTCCCCCTCAAATTCCCTCCATTAGAAGAATCTCACAACACTGACGCTCGCAAGCTCGCTCATTTAAACCCTAAACCTCATCCCCGCCCCCAACGCCGCGCTCGCCGCATTCAACGGCTGGTTGTTCGATATCGCCTTCTGCCTATCATACCAGAACAAACTCATCTTGCTCCCCGCACCACAGTACTCTGTGCTATTTCCCGGACACAAGAAATTGCACTGACTATCCGTCAGGTTCTGGGACGTGGTGCCGGTATTCAATTTGTTTCCGCACCAGCACTCACGGCCGTATTCGACGCCCGCGTAGAGGTAGTTGGAGCAGGCGGTCAGACACATGGAGATGGTCATCGAGGTGCCGTTGTTGAGGATTTGGGAGGGGAGGAGACGGCCGCTGGAGGGCTCGGAGGCGCAGGAGTAGTAGGTGAAGTTTGCGTTGCCTTCGGAGACGACGGGGCCGGTTGGGGTGGGTTTGGCGGAGGAGGTGGATGAAGTTGAGGTGGAAGAGGTGGATGAGGAGCTGCTTGTTGAGCGGATGGAGGTTGACAGGCTGGTGCTTGAGAAGGTTGAGCTTGTGGAGGTGCTGGATGGCACGGTGCTAGAGCTGGAAGTCGAGCTCGCGGAAGTGGAAGTGCTCGTCGGTGTAGCACTAGAGCTTGAGCTTGAAGACGAAGCGACTGAGCTCGATGAAGAGCCAGCGGTAGAGCTGCTTGATGGCACAGTGCTAGAACTGGAAGATAAGCTTGAAGATGAGCTGGAGCTTGTCAAAGTGCTTGATGGAGAGGTAACGGAGCTGGACGAGGAGCTCGTGGAACTGCTAGATGGCGACGCAGATGAGCTGCTAGAAGAAGTAGAACTTGGGGCCGAAGATCTTGCAGAAGAACTGCTGCTCAGAGTGCTGCTCACACTTGACGAGGCAGCGCTGGAAGAACTTCCTGTCGAGGAGCTGCTCAAAGACGCGCTCGACGACGAAGAAGGCAAGCTAGTAGACGAGGAGCTCGAGCTGCTAGAAGATCCACCAATAGTTCCGTTCTTGATGTAAACATTCAATCTGTTACCGTTTCCACAGTAAGTGTTCTTGTCACCAGCACAAGTCATCGAGCAGTCGGTATCCTTGGTGAGGAGGGCACCTGTTCCAAAGTTATTACCACACCAACACTCACGACCGTACTCAACGCCAAAGTACATGAAGCTGGAGCAGGAAGCGGCACAAGCGGCGACGGTAAGGGTATCGCTTGGGTAAGAAGCAGAACCAAGAGCTCGGACTCCATTTCCTTCGGTGTAACATCCTGCGTAATTGTAGAGGCCAACGGATGGAACGATTGTTGGTCCGGTCTGGGTTGCGGTCGTGGAAGTGGTCGAGCTTCTGGTTGAGCTTGAGGTCAAAGTGGCTGAAGACGAGGTTGTTGGGATGACCGAAGAGCTTGAAGAGCTGGATGCTGTGCTGACGACGGTGGAGGAGCTCGAGGAGCCGATAACGGAAGAGGAGCTGGAGGTGCTGGCGACTGAGCTAGAAGAACTGCTGGCAACAGAAGAGCTTGAAGATGAGCTTGTTACAGATGCACTAGTCGAGGCAGCGGAAGATGAACTTGAGCTACCTGCGACAGACGAGCTGCTAGAGCTAGATACCAACGACGACGAAGAGGATGACGACGACAAAGTCGAGCTTCTCGATGTCGATGAACTGGCGCTGGGTGTAAGTGCATACAACTGGATTCTGTTACCAGCTCCACAGTATGAGTACTTGTCGCCTGGACAAAGGAAGTTGCAGTCGGCTTGGTTTGCCACCAATTTACTGTCCGGTGACAGAGTGTTACCACAGTAGCACTCTCGCCCATATTCAACACCGAAGTACGTCTTGCCAGTACAGAATGCAGAACAAGCTTCGAGAGTCATGCCATCGTCAGCAAAGGTGGTAGTTGGCTGGAGTGCACGTCCACCGACAGTGATCTCGTTGTAACAACCTTGGAAGGAGTAGCTTCCGACGACTTGTTTGACAGTTGGTCCTGTGGGTGTAGGAGCAGCTGAAGATGAAGATGAAGTTGATGACGAAGAGCTGCTGCTTGAAGTGATGGCGCTGGAGGATGAGCTGATGGTGCTGGAACTTGAAGCGGCTGTGCTGGAACTTGAAGATCCAGTGCTTGAGCTTGAGCTGACGGTGCGGGAAGAAGTACCTGTGCTCGAGCTTGCGGCACTGCTAGAGCTAGAAATGACACTGCTCGAGCTGGAGATAACACTGCTAGAGCTAGAAATGACACTGCTAGAGCTCGAGATGACGCTGCTAGAGCTTGAACCCAAAGTGCTTGACGAAGAAGAGACAACAGTGCTACTTGCAGCGGAGCTGGAAGTAAGAGAAGTTGGTGCGGCACCCTTGATATAAAGGTTCAATCGACTACCAGCTCCACAGTACTCTGTAGCATTATCGTTACAAGGCATGCTACAATCAGTGTTGGCGACCTTGAGAGAGTTGGCGTTGAGAGTAGCGCCACACCAACATTCACCACCATACTCCATACCAGCGTACTGGATATTGGAGTTAAGTGCGGAACATCCAGCAATACAGCTGGCAATGGTCTTCTTGGTAACTTGGATCTGGTTGGTGAGTGCTCTGGCACCGGTTGGTTCGGTGTAACATCCCAAGCTGGTGAAGCCTCCAACACCAGGGTTGATGATTGGAGCTCCTGGAGCAGGTGCAGGAGTGCCTGGAGTTGATGGAGTAGTGGTGTTGCCGTCGAATGTTCGGGAGTCTGCGAACAAGGACATGTAACTTCCGGCATTGTCGATACCGTTTCCACCGCAAATTTGGTTCAGATCACCAGTACAGGCGAAGTCGCAGTTGGCTTCGTCGACCTTGAGAGATGGAATGACGTTACCACCCCAGCATTCTCTGGTATATTGAGTTGCGCAGAATGTGTATCCAGCGGTAGCACAAGCATCCATACATTTGGCATTGGTGTTAGTGTCACTGCCGAACAGTTGCTGCTTAAGTTGACGTCCAGGATTGTTCTCCTTGTAACACCCAGTATAGCGATAGTAACCGAGACCGTTTGGCTGTAGAGGAGCTGCCTGTTCAGACACGGCCCCACAAACGAATTTGATGTCCTGTTTACCAAAGTTGGCATCGTTTACGTTCATTGTCCATTGAGCTGTGCCAATATATGGGTCTACGTTCCATTGAGACTTTGGTACTGAGCAGTAAAGGGTGGCAGTGGCGCTCTCTCCAGGTTTTAGAGAAGTACCCTCGGCAAGATCGACTTGGTTGTTGGCTCCAATGATACCTGCGAGACCGAAAGGTGGCTTGGAAACAGTCAATGAAAGAGATGCTCCGTTGGTGGTAGCGTTGTTTGTGACTCGCAATTTCAATGAACGAGTGTTCTGCTCTGTTACGTTTCCGAACGTAAAGTTGGTACCAGCCTTGTAGGGTACCCATCCAAGTCCATCTGGCGTTTGGAATTCAACAACAGCTGCTGGTGCTGAACCGGCCGTCCCAACAACATCGAAAACTTTGGTTCCACCGTTGGATATCACATTGATGTAAGCACCAAAGTTACCTTCCAAGGTAGTATCAAAGTTGATGATGACGGTAGCGCCCGAATTACCAGGAATTGAGGTAGGAAGTCCAATCAGTGTGAACGGACCAGCCTGGGGACCAGATGCTGTTTGATTGGCAGCGATCCATGGTCCAGTCTCACTGACGAGTGAGTACTGGTACTGAGTGATCGTGAGTGGTGCGTTACCCAAGTTGTTGAACAATATAGTCTGGTTGACTCCACCAGGTTGACTACCAGCAACAACGCCAGGGAATGTCACCGCAAGAGGTCTGACTTGGAGAAGAGCTGACGGACTTTGACCGGTTCCACGCAAACTGACGGGGGTGCTGATACTGTATCCAGCAACGCCATTGGTAGTAGCAATGACCACATCCGAAGACTGAGCACCGACATTCTTAGGGTTGAAAGCAGCTTGGAATGTAAAGGTTGAGCCAGCGGCGACATTGAGACCAGCTGCGGGTACGTTTGAAATGACAAAGTTGGCGTCTCCAGTGAGTGTGACATTGGTGATGGTGACGGCAACGTTGGCTTTGCAAGTGACGGTCTTAGCAGCTGTCTGGTTGTTGAGGTTGGAAGTACCAAACTCGACTGGAGTTGTGCAGTTGAGTGGAAGGTTGACAGGAGAACCAAAGCCATACAAGAATCCTTGATTGGTACCGAGGTAGACGCGGGCATCTCCAAAAACTGGTCGGGAGAACTTGGTGACACCCGGAACGTTGAATTGGTTGATTTGGGTCAATAGACCATTCTGAGGAACAGCGTTGTAAATACGAAGACCGTAATTCTGAACATCACTTGTCCAGAGGAGACCAGTACCCTCCTGGCCATTCAGAGAAGTTACAGTACCGTGACCGGTTCCCAAAATGTATGCGTTGAGAGTTGGGGAGTCGGCGACCTTGGTAAAAGAAGGCACTCCAGCATTGCAAGCGAATTTGAAAACGTGAGTCTCGTGTTGAGTCACAGAGATGTAGACGTAACCACCTTCCAGCGGATACACACCAGCACCTGCGTATACGGAGTTCTCGTGTTCAGCAACTTGAATGACCCTGTCGAGGTTGTTTGCACCATTTCTGTATCCACCTAGATCGTCAAGGTTCAGAAAGTAGGTTTTTCCAATCTTACCCGTTATTACACCAACACGCTTGATATCTCCGCAGGCAAACTGACTAGGAAGCAGTTGGAGAGGAGTAGTCCCCAAATCCTTGTCCATACCGTCCAACTGTTGTTTCTCCCACGGCATGAAAAAATCGACAGTGGTAAGGCTTCCGTCGTCTGCGATAGTCATGTGGACAGCTGCTTCCTCGAGGGCAGAGGGTGGGTTGCGACCGTTGACAGGAATGGTCGCAAGTTGAGATGCGTAACCGTTTCCAGTACCGAAAAAGATAGAGCCTGCATCATCAGAGGTAAGACCACCTCCAGACATCCAGATACCTCCACCGGGAGTTGTGTTTGGCACCGGAGCACCTTCCATAGCGATACGCTCCACATTGGCACCAGTGGTCTTGTCCCATCCCATGATCCATCCAGTGAAGTTCCATTGGACGCAGTGAGACGCAAAACCCGCGTAGATGAAGTTTCCAGTGTGAAGGAGAGCTGGTCTTTGATGGTGGATACCTCCGTTGAAGCTTCGGAGTGCGTTGTTCTTCGCAACGTAACCTTCGAGATTGACTGGGAAGTTTGGACGCTCGGTGAGATCGTTGGTGTTGATAGCATGGAGATAGTATCGTCCAGCTGGTCTGCCCTGAGCGACCCCAACTTGGCTCTGGTCTATATAGGTCTTGGAAGTAAGGTAAAGGGTATCTGTCGCAGGGTCAATCACTCCAGTTGCGGTAATACCGACAAGAGGATTGATATCCGTGCAACCTTCCAGATCAGCTGTCAAGAATGGAAGATGTAAGTTTCGGGTCAAAACGATTGCACCGGTCTTTGCGTCGATTTTGTAAACATTGTTCTGGGTCGTCGCTACATAGACGTATTGCACGCCATCCGCACCGGTATAGACCAAAGGCTGGGAGTAAATCTGTTCTGCGGCACCATTGTATTTCCCTGGCAACGCGGTCTTGAAAATTTGTCCAAACTGTGAGCTTCCTACCACAGATGGATCCATATTATGATTACTAGCATATGTCAGTCGAGTTACACCCGCAGTAGCACAACATCTCGTTCTACTCACGTTTGATATCCGGCACGTGAATTATCTCCTCCCCAGGTAATCGTATCGGTGGCGCCAAGAGCATCGACATGGCCAAAAAAGAGCGTAAGAAAGAGGTTGAAAACGAGTGTGAGGGACACGATGCGAGGCATCTCTGTCCGTGATGGCGCTGAAGCCATTATTATTAGTTGGGTCTAACGAGAGTGATACAACAAAAAGATCACAACTCTGTCAATGGCGACGACGACAACCCAAAAGTCGATACGAAAGATACAAGATCAGACGAGCCCCCTAAATGCTCACGATCTGATCTGTACTTAAGTAAATTGTCGGATTATCGAAAGTCGAGAGTTCGCGACTGCAGACCGAGTTTAGGTGGCGCTACCGCTGGAGCTACGGCACGAGGCGTTGACCGGAGCCGGGTTATTGCAAGACAGTCCCTGACAGCTGGTGTTGACCGTGGAGTAGCGCGACGTCCAGGCGAAATGACTGGGCGCAACTCCAACTATTTAGTCTCCGCCGACATATCTATGTGAAGCTAGAGAAGACATCTACGGAAAAAATTCTAGCGTTCCGATACCCAAGGCCGTGGGAAGACTAACGCGTTCCGTATAATTAAACTATTCACTTACTATTTCGGTGGCTGTTCCCCAATGTCGTTAGTCGACCTTAGTGCTGCCCCTTGGCTGCTGGGCCCCCCTGAATGAGATTGTCGATAAGCCCATGACAGGTGGAAGTCGATCACACCCGACCAATACGAGTCAAAATAGAACTCATAATGGTACTTTTCCATGCAAAGTTAAGAGTTGCTGCAGAAAGAGAATTCGATAATACTACGTGGTGAGGAAGAAACGTGCCGAGGTGATACTGGAGTGACTTGAGTCTCTGCTGCCCCTTCTGCAGCGGGCAGTCGCACAATCTCACGGGTCTGCGGCCTGCAGTTCGTCCCGCTCAAATCTGTACCTTTCAATGCAGGAACTCAGGGATCCGAGTGGCGCCTACTTGTATTCTGCGCTGCTGCAGGTAGGGTATTGCTAATTAGAGTACATGATCGACATCCACAAGGTCTGGAAGCGAGCACTTTAGGCACAAGATTCTGACAGAGTGGGATAAATCGTGTACCAATCCGGATGGACTGCCCGAATATCAATCTAGAAAACGTGTTAGTCATGTATGGCGCTCCGCCTAACACCAAGGAATCGTCCCAAGATGTGAATTATGACTGAGGATGGTGTCCCGCTACCTTGGACCACTAAGTACGGAAAACCCTCGCTGCAGTCGGGGTGCATTTCATCGTTGAAATGTACAAGGCTATACGTATACGTCTTCCAGCGAGTAACAATCTGTAGTCGGACGAAATGCTGTGATGGCTTCCAGTTGGACACTCAGCTGTGACTCGTCGTACTGTTGTGCTTGAAAACAGCAACTACGCGTGTTTTCAGGTCACCACAACACCAGCAAGCTATCTCTTTCTGTAGATTGATGCGAGAAGTTTGTCCACTTCTGCACGTCGAAGATACCTGGTATGAGTCCAGATGATCTTTCACAAGCTCTCAAAACACTGCATGTCGCATATTGCAAATAGTGGTCTCTTCGAATTGGCGCCGACGTTCTCGATCATTTCGTTACAGCAAAGAACCGTCTTTCTCTTTCCCATACATGCGGGAGACAGCATTCCGAGGACTGACGAGGAACCTTCGAACCTAACTCGCCACTGATCACACAGATCACATGTACTGGCAACTCTTTCCCCATTGCCTTCAGAAGTATCATTGGCGGCAAAGGTGTACCTTTTGATAGTCCTTTTGTAGCGCCTTGGATTTCCACTTGTACAAAGTACTGTACATTGATCTGATGGAAACTGTGGAAGCCCTAGCAAACTCCGCATCAGGGTCGCCAGGCCATGCCCGGATTGCCTATCTTAAGCTTTGGTCCCCTGAATCTCGGATCCACCACCCGTCAACAACCTTCTGTGTTTGGTGATCGACCAGAGCAGACCAAGCTCGACCAGGAAGCTTGCACGCAGGCTCGGCAAGCGACGTCTCCATACCAATCTTGCGTGACACGGGGTTGATGGAAAAGCTCTGAACTTCATCATCAACCGTGATCCGTGGTAGCCGGTGCGGAGAAAATCATATTGAGTCTGGAGAACAGGAAATCTTGATATGTGATTGTGCTTCAAGATGCGGAGACGCAAGTGCGGATAGGGGAATTCGACAATTCTCCATGTGCGAAGCTTTGGCGGTGAGAAACGAGCTGAAAGCTGCGATGCGCTGGGCGAAAAGTCCAAGCATCTTGGTTACTTTCGAATTCTTGACTTGTTAAGGCTATCCGCAGACGTCGAAATGGACAGGACTCGATGTCTCACAATGCTGGTGATGGCGCAACGGATGAAAGTTGTGGACGGCGCAAGCGCCACCATACTGTATTCGTGCAACCACCAAATGATGCTGTGATTCACAGCACGGCAGTTAAGAATTTCATGTCAACAGCGTGTGGCGAGAGCAAGAGATATTTTGCTTCCCTTCATTCCGAGAAGCAACCATAAAGCGACCTTGGAGGTTCGAGTGCGGGCAGCTTGTTCAATTGTCTCGTCATGTCAGGAACTGTAGGTAGCAACAACCTACACAACAACAAGCCCCTTCGAGTATTATTGTCTCAGTAAACTCGACAACACGATTGTTTCCTCGGTTCACGACTCACAATGTGAGATGTACCACCGCATCCCGGCAGCATGTGTACGCCCTCAGATCTGGAGTCTCAGCCACCCGATGCTCTTCAACCTCACGCAACACAAAACCGCCATCTACCTCAGCGGCTCGGCCATCATGGCAAAATATATCATAAACCACAAACTATCTTTGGCAATTTCAATAGTGTTAAGCCGGACGTTTCGACAGCACCAAGCCACTGGCGGATTGCCCCTTTTCATGGCTTCGCTAAAGAAGTACATAAACAGGTAAAGTCTCACTGTCAAACAGCGCTCACTTCTTGACCTAATGGTACTCGGCCTCATATCTAGAGTAAGTGTAATGCCACAGACCTGAGGCTTTGCAATGTCGAGCTGAGTACGAGGGTACATACAATCGCACGTCTCCCCCACGCTTCTATTCTCCAAATCCAGTAAGCGCGTGGATTTCAATGGTGGCATCCGCTATCTTTTTTCTAAAAAGCTTAAGAACGCCACAGCTGAGCGCTCTGTGCTGAAAAAACCACATGTTTAGGGTCTAACACATGGAAAATGGGATTGCGTGGTCCAATAGAAAAATTCGGCTGGCGACAAAGTTTTTATGGTGTTGAGTTTATTGATATTTTGGGATTTGTGGCTTGCTGTGGTTGTCTGTTTCTTGCTTAGCACGGTCCGCACCGTCAGAATAACCATGGATGGAGATGGAACTTGACATTCGTCATTCGTGTCTTCGGAGGAAAAGTTTGATGGTTGAAAGCGCTAGGAAGATAATTCTCTGGTTCAATAGTCGCGCCGTGACAAGTTACCGAGTAAATCATCCGTGAGAAAAGGGGTTCCTCGTCACATGTGATAAATACAACAACAAGGCTGTTTTCCAATCTAGGTTTATTTCTCAGCAAAAATATACTAATATCTTCGATTTCCAATGCACATGAAACATCAAAATAACGTTGCAAATGACAATTATGGAATCATGTTCGCACGTGCAGATGTCTTATCGTTATCGGCGATTAGTCATCCGTGTTTTACAGGAGAAAAAATATGCCCGGATGAATCGTCTTTGTTAAGAAATATCAAAGAGCCGATCGAATCTCGCTCTCATGTTCAACATCGCAAACTTAACGCTCAAACGCAGACCGCTTCTGCAGACCATCGTCAACATAGCCATGGACGGAAACAAGAGAAACCCAGCTAGACGGCATCCTTACAGAGGTAAGAAGGCATTCGGAACCAACGCGACACCACGACAAAATGTTGCTTCCTCTGCACAATCACCAGGAATACCTCGAGTTGCGACTCCGCCTCTTACAGCACCTGTGCCTGTTGATACACCAAGATTTGCGGATTTAGCCAAGGGGAATTTGCTTCATCCTGAGCTTGTAAAGACAATTACTGAAGATCTCAAGTTCGACCATATGATGCCAGTTCAAGCCGCGACTCTTCACGATCTCCTCGCGAATCGCATCGATTGCTTAGCACAAGCAAAGACCGGCACAGGAAAGACCATTGCGTTTCTCCTACCCGCCATCCAAACGATGATAAATAAGCGGAGGAGTGCTGGCTCTGGTGTATCTCTCCTCGTCATCTCTCCTACTCGCGAATTGGCTCTGCAAATTGCCAAAGAAGCGAAATCTCTTCTACAACGATTCCCACAATACAAAGTTGGAGTAGCTATAGGTGGAACAAATAAGAATACGGAGGAGAAAGTAATTCTCGGTGGCTGTGACATTCTTATTGCCACCCCAGGACGTTTGTTTGATCATTTGAGTGATGGGCGCATCAAAAATCAATTCAGTGATCTCAATACTCTTGTACTCGATGAGGCTGATAGACTCCTTGATATGGGTTTCATGAATGCTCTCAAAGATATTGTCAAATGCCTTCCTGATAAAGAGGAATCTGGAAGACAGGGAATGCTGTTTTCTGCCACAATTGCTCCTCATGTCGAGAAAGTTGCGCATCTTATTCTTTCCAAAGGCTACAAGTTCATCTCAACAATCCCAGAGGGTGAGGCTCAAACCCACGATAGAGTCCCTCAGCACCTTATCACTGTGCCTACATTCTCAGATGTCACCGCTGGTCTGGTTGGATCTATCAAATCTGAGGTAAAAATTGAAGGGTCAGACAGTTTCAAAGCCATTATTTTCACGCCAACAGCTGCTTTGGCAGATTTTTACGGCGAGGTTCTAGAGAAAATCCCAGGCATGCCTAGTGTTAGCGTTCTGCACTCGCGGGTAAGTCAAAGCAAACGAACAAGCACTACAAATGCTTTCCGCAGCGCAAAGAATGGAATTTTGGTTGCGACTGATGTTGTTGCGAGAGGAATGGATTTCCCAGGTGTCACAAATGTGTTCCAAGTCGGCATACCTTCCGACAAGGAGTCTTACATTCATCGATTAGGACGTACAGGACGTGCTGGCGCTGAGGGCAGGGGAACATTCATTGTGGCGAAGTGCGAGGAGTTTTTCCCTAGACACATCTTGAAGGAGATCACATTCGAGACGACAGAGGCAGATCTGAGCGCTAAAACCGAGGTCGTGCAAATTACGGAGAAGATGGATAACCAGTCGAGGACGTATCAAGCTTGTAAGTTCCTTTATCTCTATATCTACATTACGAGTACTAATCAATTCTACCCCAGGGCTCGGATACTATAAAGGCCACATGAAGCCAATGGGCTTCGACTCTGAGGAACTCGTCAACCAAGCTAACATGTACGCTCGTGGCGGTCTTGGTTCCCCGGATACTCCTACGATCAACAAGACTACCGTCGGTAAGATGGGTCTCAAAGGAACGAAGGGATTGAATGTCGTAGCCGACCCACCAAGAGTCTCAAAGGGTGGGCGTCGTGGTGGCGGCGGTGGCGGTGGTGAAGGCAGAAGTTTAGGTTCTGGCGGACAGGGAAGTCTTTCGAACCAGAGCAGCCGTGGCCGTGGAGGAGCTGGACGTGGTGGTGGACGTGGTGGCGGTGGTGCTGGGCGCGGAGGCGCTCAGAGAGAGGCTCAATGGTAATAAGGTCGCGAGAAGTGATATAATTTCTCGTTGTGTATGATTTATTGGGGTAAAAGCTGTTTTGATAGTGGAAATTGGTTTCAATAGAGATGAGGTAGGCGCTGTATTATAGTGGGCGTGTATGGGTAGTATTCTTGGGTCATAGATGGTGTGTTGATAGAGAGATACCTTTAGCGTCGGTGTTTGAGAGTGGGTTTAGAATGTAGAATGTTGTGTTTTTTGGAGCTGAGTTGACTTTGTGCTGTGATATACAGGCTTATGGTATGAGCCAGCTGATGGCATGTATATTTAGCAGCCTCTGGCTCTTTTCCAATTTTAAGAGTTGTTCAATTTATGATAAGTAAAGCGCAAGATTGGTTGGAAGGACTACTCAGCATGCACAGTGATTTTCTTGCTCGGTAGGTGTCAATTCCTCTTAACATTAATATATCGGGTCGGAAGGCTCGATAGCAACTTCGACGACATGTAGCATTACGAATTAACTTAATACCTACTGATAGTTGATTTCAAGTTGCTTGTCTCGGGGAGATGAAAATTGACATTTTTACTTGGGTGGTTGGGTGTGGTGAAGTGTCGATGTAATTCTATTCAAAGGATCCAAATCATTCAATTCTACAGTCTCGTATGAATTTCTTACGCAAATCCCATTCTCCACGCGATTCAGCTTTTACTGACTTCTCCTTGCCTATTCAAGTACGTCAGCAGCTATAAGTGACTCCCACAATCATCCAATTCTGTATTTTGCACTCACCAAATCACAACATCGCAACAATGACAACATTCCAGACCGATGAACATAATCCAACCAACGACTTATACAGAACTCGCGATTCCATCAATCATTTCCAATCTATTCAAGAAAAAAAGTCTCCGAGCCTTGAGCTCGCTCGGAGACTTTAAGATGATCGGGCTGACTGCGTCGAATGCAGGTCTTTTTCAACCGCTACCTATCATAAATCGTAGAAAGGGTAAGCGAATGTTGTTTTCCAACAACAACAACATATTCTATAGACAATCGGGTAGGATTCGATGATATCCGACCAGTCTTGGGAGGGAGTGCATTACCTTAGCCATGTTCATGCAATTAGTGCTCTACATTTGTGTTGGAATTTTCTAGTTATAAAGCGAGAAATTCCCCATATCAAAACTCAATTGTAGAGCATCACTCACTCACTCTCATCATCGACTTAAAATCTCATCTCAAATCATTTCTTCAAATAACCTTCAATCATGACTTCCACCTCCGGTCTCAACGACGACAACATCATCTTCGCCGCCGGCGAAAAAGAAGTCGATCGTCTCCAACTACAACACGAAATCATGAAAGACGCCATGAAAGATCTAATCAAAGCCCCCCTCAACCTCTCCAAACCCGGCCTCCAAATCTTAGATCAAGCTACCGCAGACGGTCCATTACTTCCCAACACTCCTCAAAACTCAGCCCATACTAACATACCCTCAGGAATCTGGCTCAAAGACGTCGCCGCTGTCTCCCCCGCCCAACACGAATACACCGGCACGGACATCGAACCTTACTACCCTGTCCCGCCCCCGGCGCACATGACATTCTTCGATCAAAGCATGACCAAGCCCTGGCCGGCGCACATGAATGCCACATTCGACCTCGTGCACTCCCGTCTCGCGCTCCCCGGCGCGGGCATCACGCCCATCAAGACCGTCGTCACGCAGCTGATCGATCTCGTCAAACCCGGGGGCTGGATCCAGCAGACCGAGATGGTATACAGTAAGTGGCCGGACAACGGACCGGCGATGGACGGGATGTGGCGGGTCGCGGTGGACTGGATTGGGTTCGCGGTAGGCGGCCAGAGTTTGAATTTCAAAGATGATTTGGAGGCGTGGTACAAGGAAGCGGGAGTGGTAGATGTGCAAACGGAGGTGTATACCGTGGGGATTGGGAAGAAAGCTGGGAGTGAGAGGATGAGGGGGATCAGTACGAGGAGTATGCATACGACGGTTAGCGGGTTGTGTATGGGTGCCAAGGCGGGGAAGAGTGCTGGTGAGTTTAGTATGGAGATAGGTGAGGAGTGTGATGTTAATTGTGGTGTAGATCCAAATGCTGTGAAGCTTTCCTTTGAGGAGCTGGATACGTTGCCGGAGAGGGTTTTGAAGGAGCTTAATGAGGTGGGTGGGTATTGGCAGTTTTTCACTATTTGGGGTCGTAAGGAGGATTGAGCTGGGGGTGTAAGCGGGCTTGGAATGGTTGTTGAAAGAGTTCCTAAGTCCGGATCTCTGATCAATCACCCTCATTTACTAGAACGCTATTAGTCAGAAACTTACTCACCTCTCCATTGAAACAAGAGAGATAGTGAAAATTTGAAGTTCTTGAAACCCTTGATAGTTATCTGGATAACTTTCCTTTACGCTAAATAAAAGAAAGTTCATTAGAATGAGAAGGTAACTGACATGAACCAAACATCCGATTCGTGCTAGAAATCTATACTGTCTCAAACCGTCATTTCCACATGTATACAACAGCCTGCCTGAAGTCATATTGCTGAATAGCACGCCGTACCAGTAAAAGCTGGATGCTGGTGGATGCCTCTATCGCATACATCTGGTAAGCGAAAGTCGTAGAAGCCGCACCAGTTGGACATCACACAATTCCAACTGGCAATATGCAGCTATGGGGACGTGCATTGTAGCATTTAAGGTTGGGAGAACTTGAATGGTGGACCTGTTTTTGATGGCAGCATAATATGCAAAGAAAACGTGGTATAGCATGTCGATGGCACTTCGATATGCGTATCCCTACCCGAATCCAACTCAGCGGCCCAGTGTTTGATCCTCTCGCGCCGCATTTGTCTGCCGGCTTTATGGCATCGGAGAGATAAAGCTTTTCAAGTTGCGTTCCCGCTCAGAAATCTGCTGTCAGTTCTTGGTATCGAAGTGTTGAGCAGCCAGCTCTTTTGGACCTCTCACCATATTTCTCGCGATTCTCATCTTTGCGTTAAGAGCAATTTGCTTTCTCAGTTCAGAAAAGAAGCTGTACCATTGTCCAGCGGCGACATAATGGCGTTAATTTCAGCAAAAGAGACGATGTCTGACTTACACCAACCTGCAGCTGGAATACCACCCGAAGGAGTAGAGCAAGACTTCATCGACCCATATTCCCGAGCACCAATGGTAGTCGGATTTTGTATCGCTCTCATCATCTTGACAGTCCCCAGTGTCGCTACAAGAATGTACGTCAGAATTCGAATAACGAAAAACGTCGGACTAGACGACTGGGTCGCTCTTTTAGGCGCTATTCTCGTTGTCACTTTCACCGGATACTCGATCTGGATCTTTTCACTTCCCGGCAATGGACCACATTCATGGAATATACCTCTCAGTGTGTACACAGCCCCGGAATCGAAATATTTCTTGAGGATGCTGTTCACTCAAATCTTGTATCCCATCTCGTCGTACGTCGTTAAGTTGTCGTTGCTGTTGTTCTATGGACGAACCTTTGTTACTGGAGCAGGAAATCAAATGGCGAAAGGATTCATATACTATGGTGTCGCAGTACTGACAATCGTCTATGGCGTCTTTATTATCTTGTCGCTTGCATTTTGTGCGCCAGACCCCAACTTGACTGATGAAAATGGAGCGTGCTGGAAGAAGGGTGGTCCTGTCTCGTGGCTGCTTTCGGCAACTAATATCATCAGTGACCTATACATATTAGCCATTCCTGTTGTCATTGTTTATGGGTTGAATATGAGTGTCCAAAAGAAATTGGGTGCAATAGCAATTTTGATGATGGGTTTGATGTAAGCTGTTCCTGCCTATACTCTTGTTGCTTATCAGATCTAGAAACTTATTACTCTCAACAGCGCTACTGTTGTGAGCATATTGAGTCTGAAGTATCGTCAGAGGATTGCTACGCAAAATGACATATCCTGGGATATGGTTCCATCAGCAATTTGCTCGTAAGATCTCCTTTCACTTTCGCCTCGCAGAATATTCCGACTGACCACGATTAGGCTCGTCGAGGTCAACCTCGGCGTCATTTGCTGCTGTCTGCCGGCTTTGGCAATATTTTTCAAAAGCACGAAATCTGCAGTGTCGAGGAAAGGAAGCAATTTTGCCAACATCCGTGCTCACAAGCAGATCCCAGAAGTACCCGAGTCACTGACTGGTGTGAGAGTTACTTAGAGTATCGGTCAAACACTGATAATGTGGAACGACTTATCTGATTTGGGAGTCGAAGGAAGCCATTTAGAGCTTAGGAACCTGACGCAGATTATACCATATAGGAATGATGCAATTGAGTCCTGAGGTGTATTTTATAGTTTGAAGTGAAAAGTCTCAGCATTGAACAAAGATGTAGACAGCCGCCGCCTCCGGCGACGTGCTGACCCCTGAGGTGTTGCAAGTCGGATTTGTTTAAAACAGTATGGAAAAAAATAGTTGTTGTTCCGCTCTATGAGATATATGTGCTTTAAAACGACTGCGAACACAGAAGTAAAGTTCCAAGTCCTCACGATCTATATGGATACGAATTAGTTAATAATGTCACAATGTGATTTTCGCGTTCTACTCCGTAGGACTTCCTTCCGATACGACCAATCTTCTACAAGTAACCCCACTTTTCATGCGTCTTCCACGTTTCGTCAGCTGATTTGCATCACGTATCATATTACGTATGATTTAAAGAGGTTTATCTGCTTTATTGTTAGGAAAGTACTTATGTAGGGATTTTCGGCAAAACTACTACTAAGTTTTGGTCAATAGTACAATTGACACAATCTTTCAGTCACATGACTTTCACATGAGTTTCACATGACTTCTTGCTGTTCTACGTTTGCAAAGCTTGTTGAATCAGTTACACGTTCCAAACAACGTCCACACGTGGCAGTCTGTGGAAGCAACTGTTTAGCAACACGAGGTCCCTTCCCTATGATAAGTTCTACGGATTTACCTTGTTCATCAAACATGCTCCTAATATTTTCTTTTTCCTTTAGCGTGCGAATGTATCCAAATGCGGCTGAGCGGCTGAAGATTGGGTATCGCTTGACTGAGGCGGTACGTACTCACGAAGAAAAATCCAATACTTCAATTTATTACAGTTGAAGTCTTGCTATTTTCATCGAAATCAGCTACGACCAGCTTTAATATATCGTGTTTACAGTTCAAACTCAAGGGTTGTCCGCAATGAGCTTCGGATACAGCGTGGGCGACTTCATTGCAGTCGTTCAACTTGCCTACACAGTGAGCCTCAGTCTATCTCTGGAAGCTTTGCATGCGCAACTTTGCATCTTAGTAGGCTCATAGCTTTGAGACTAATAATAAAACCCCAATAGGTTTATGAGCGGTGCGCTTCGTCAGTCGAAGAGTTTAGGGATATCGGCCGGGATGTGGGCAATACCCGTATTGTACTCAGCGCCATCCGACGATACTGGGAAGAAGAAGGTTCTCGTGGTCATTCATTGATCGTCGCACAACAAGAAGAACTGAAACAGCTAGCTGAGAACTCTTACGGAATTTTGAAAAAGATTGACACAGTGTTGCAAAAACATAGGGGTCTGGAAGACCGAGCCAAATTGAAAGACAAACTGAAGTGGGCACTGACCGGATTTGTCCGTGACATTGGACCTCAAAGGCAAGCCTTGCAAGAGAATACGAATGCCTTGGCAATCTTCAACGCTACTCTCACTGCCGAAAATGCTTCTGGAGTGGCGAATCAGCAATTAAAATTACTTGAAGCTCAGGGCCAGCTCCTGAAATTTCTTGTCACTCAGTACTACGAATTCCAGACTGGAACGGGTGGTAAGGTAGCGCCAGCCTTCTCACAAATTGCTGTGAAAGATACCACAGAAGGAGATGATCATTGGAAGAATATCGAGGCTGAATTTGAGGCAGCCAGCTTCAATCCAACGGTCGTCAGGAGAAACCAGAAGTTCATAAAGGATTGGATCGTTACGGTTATACCAGAAGAGGGAGAAAAAGCGCTCGTGCCGTTGACAGACACAGCCACTGCGGATCAGCATGGTGGTGTAGCTGAGGCCACAAATACTATTACTCTGCCCTCCAGGGAGGTCAAAAACGATACTGAACAGACACAAGAAACCAATACAATGAGCGTTTCCCCTCCCAAAACCAAACCGCCTGCGACTGTCGAGCAACCTCTCGTTCCCTTAGTTCCAGTTCGGCCAGTCAGTGTAAGCTCACATCGAAGCAAATTGAGCACATGGCAGGATTCGAGCGTTACAGACTCTGACTATGTTGCCAAAATGATTGCCAAGGTACTGAAATCAAAATACGGGGAAGATTGTGACGACTACTACGCACTTCCGATCAAACGTGCTTTCGATCACCTCGACTGGACACGACGTGGTTGGATCTCATTCGGAGAAGTCCAAAAATACTGTTCGAAAGCAGGAAAGCTTTCTGGGTTTTCACTAGATCAGTCAGGGATTGGGGCGCTTGCAAAGACATTAGACAAGAACAAAGACAATCAAGTCAATCGAGAAGAATTTGTTGAGATCGTCATGGCCCTCAGGCAGCGTATTCTCGAGCAAGTGATAATTGCTGAGGCTAAACTTGAGGGAAGAATGGAAGCTGGCTTCTTGTTGAAGAGATTTTTCGATAACGCTTCCGATGAATCCATGATGCCACCATTTTGGCACATCTTCACTAAAACCTTAGGTAGCGAAACATCTCGCCTTTATCGACACGATCTGAGTGCGGATTATCCCTATAAACAAGGATCTATTCCACCGTTACAGTGCAACTTCACAAACGTTGCCTTTGTTGCAACGGCTCATTGCTCTCTTCGAATTGCCGCAGCTTCCCACGACTACCGCACTACTATTGTAGCTCTATCAAAAGAGGAAATGGCGGAGTATACAGTGGCCCTTGATAATGTCCTCAAAGCTACTCAAATGTTCCACCTTGTTGATGGGAGCGAGTTCCCAGGCCAACTCTACCCCCTTGATCGCAGCCTAGTCCAAATGGATCTCCTTTCCCCGGGCACACTCCAGCAGTGGGCTGACTGTCCTAACAAGCAGCTCATAGAGCTGGCTAAGCAGTGCTGGGACATTCTTGACCCCATCCTTGCATTCGTGTTCGACTTGAAAGTGAAAAACTCGGCGAAAGTCATTTCGAAAAGTCCAAAACAATTGTCATCTGGAGTTTCAGTTGAGCCCCCAGACCTTGCTGAGTGGCGGCGACTGCGAATGCTCGAGCGGTCCAAAAGAATCCTGAACGACATCCAACAGTGGGACACAATACAAGTAATCTTACAAACATGCCGCGAGTGGTCAGAAGCAAAGGCCACGGAGCTGGATAATCAAACAAAGCTTACGATCGAGGATACTAAATTGTTTCACACGCTGTGCCAGATAGATTTGGAGAACAACAACCTCACTGTGAATAATGTGGAACTCACAGGACTCAAGCGCGACATTTTTCGTACGTCCATTCAAACTTTAAAGCTGCCATGACTGAATTTTGACTTACAGGGCGGTACCCGAGTACTCTTCTCGGGATCTTCGTGGATGAGAAAAGTGTTTTCGTCGGAAACGTGTTGGCAGATAAGACTGACACTCCTTATTGGATATTGGGCAATGGTATGTAAGTAGAGCCTGTTCGAATTTATTTATAACTTGACACTCAACCGCAATGTAGGCTTGTAAATAGAAAGAGTAGAGTGGTGCTCGAGTTTCACGACAAGAAAAAGCTCGATAAGTCCACAGTAGGAGAAAGCTTTATTGGGTACTTTGGGTTCAATGTTTCGGATGTCACCAACTTTTCGGGCAGGGCTACAGGTTATGACGCTCTTCTTTTGTGGTAGTGTAAAGACTAACGCTGTTGTTAGTGACTAAGTCTGGACAATTGGTTTCAGCCAACGGCCTAGAGAGTCCAAAGCTAGAAGTTAAAGTCACTGTAAGTACGGATTGGAAAGTTAAGGAAACTTGGAGCTCCACTACATCGGGAAGCCTTGCACACAATATAGCAACATCTCCCATTCCACAAGGCTGGGAGGCTCAACGGACCTCAGCTGGTGACGTTTATTTCTTCAACTCGGAGCAAAATAAGGCTACCGCATGCTTGTGGTGGGATCCAATTCCTAACGATATTCGAAAAGACCCGCTACGTCCTCTTCCACCAGGCTGGACAGCAGTAGTGGAAGACGGCGCCCTGAAGTACAGAGGTCCGCGAGGCATAACAACAGAAGTCTTCCCCGCGGCCGTCAAACAATCCACCTTTGAAACCGTCATTCAGGCGAAGACATTTTGCCAGCCTCTAGAATTTTTTTCACAGGAACTTATTGCTGTTTTCGAGAAGGCAGCTGCAGGCTTTGAGGCACGAGCACTCACCAGTCTCGGCATTCGAAGACAGGATGCATACAAGCGGCAGCAGGCTTTAGAGAAACAAGAGATTACTGCCCTTCTTCAACCAATCCGACAGAAAAAGTAGTCACTAGCTAGTCTTTCTCTACATACATGTATTTGGCTTCTTTCTTTCGTACAACATCAGTCAATTGAAGTAAATCCTATCAACTTCCTTACATATACGCGCACTTGAAATTAATTCTCGGATTTTATTTAAGCGTCTGAAGCTTAGGAACTAAAGCTCCATTTATATTTATTCGAGCTTTTTGTCGACGAACCGAAGGCCGATTAGGCATTAATCTAATCAATCTTCCCTTCCATCTAATGGTAATTTTCACATATAATAAGAATGAGCAAGATGTTCATTCTAACCCCTCTCCGAAGTCTCCGAACAACTCTCCTTGAGTTATTTCTTTCTCATGTTTCCTAGATATCAGCTCATTTGTAGAATCTATAGGCTTCATATCAGAAGGAATGTTTTGATAAGGTATTTACAAGTGCCGGGATCATGCGCCTTTACCTGGGCCGAGTCTTTACTCCTCTTTTTACTAGCGCTTCTACAGGGATTTGTAAAGGCTGCGGTTGTTTGATTGTCTTTTTATGTAGCTATGCTAACGTGGAATAGTATGTACGCTTATTATTTTGCCTGGTCCAGGCATCCAGGTTATTTACTGTCACCCTTCGCTTCCCCCGCAGCTATTCGCTGTGATAACCGAATCGCGAATGCGAAATAAACATTTTGGTAGATCTGTTTGTGTTGAAATGACGACAGCTTACTCATACTTCTGGCACAAAATCGAAGTTTGAGCTAAATTTCAGGGAGGGTTTATGGCATGTGGTATTCTTGCTGGCTGGTGGTTGATGGTTGATGAAAGTACGTCTTCTTTATTCCAATGTAACGCAGAAAGTGAAAGCTTCTTGTAAACTTTCGAGCGATCGAAATTCTGTGAAAGAGCATAATTAAATGTGAAAGCTAAGTTCCAAACTCGAACGACAAGAGAAAATATCATCATGTGACTTCTGAATTATGGTTTTGGGGTGTCCGTACGACACTACCAATCATGTGCATCTGATCCACTTTATTGCGCCCCTTCAATTCCATTCGCGACAAACGGGCTGTCTTCACCAATGCTCCTCCACAAATGACAATCTGGGACAGGATGTCCATACGACAAATCCAATGTCGATGACAATAGGAGTGGGATTCTCCATCACGGTTATTTTAAACCCACAAGTGTGGGAAATCCAGCGCCCTTACGAGGGCTGAGGACCTTGTTGTTGTCCTTACGAGTGTTTGGACAGGCATTTTATGAAGGCAGACAGAGTCCCACAGTCCTTGATGTCTAGACATGGCAACGAAGAACATTATATATGTTTCTGTTCAGTCTTTTTCTCTTTGCTTCCTCTCAATCTAGTTTCTGCTATTATTCTCCCGCGCTTGACATTGCAATTATCTTATCATTCTCGACTCTCTTCCCTCAGATTCTCCTGTTATGTCTTATTTTACAGCGACAACGTCCAAGCGAGAGTGGCAATGCGATGGTATGTCCTCTAGATCTCTATTGATAAAGGAAGAGGAGTGACTTATGTCTTCTAGCTCTCGCAGTTAAAGACACTATGTGGTCTTTCTGTCCAAACCTCCGCGCAGCAGACGTCTTTGCCGTCCTCTTTGGCCTCACTACCCTCACACATCTCGTTCAAGCCATTATTTACAAGAAGCCATACTGCTGGGTAATTGTAGCTTCCGGCATGGCCCAGACACTCGCATATGTCCTTCGCATTCTCAGCATACTCAATCCGGCAAGCTTTGGCTTTTACGCGGGCTGGTTTGTGTTGATTCTGGTCGCGCCTCTATTCACGAATGCGTTCGTCTATATGGTTATGGGTAGAATGATCTGGAACTACGTACCAGAAAAGAAGATACATCGGGTGACAGCTTGGAGGTTTGGGATGTATTTTGTTGTATTGGATGTTTGGTACGATTTTTCTGTACGGTGTATCACTTCGTACTAATCATTTGTAGTGCTCTCGTCATCCAGATCATCGGTGCAGTTCAAGCGACAGGAGAAAATACGACAACGAAACAAGTGTTAAGAGGTCTTCACATGTATATGGGAGGTGTTGGTGTTCAACTAGGATTCATTCTTCTCTTCCTCTTCTTCGCAGTCAAATTCCATAGAATTGTTCGTCAGCAAAACAGCACTTCATTCGGTTCACCAGGATTGACGCATGCCTTGATACTGTTGTACAATCTGTACACAGTTCTCGGGTTTATCATTGTAAGTCTAACTACTACACCCTTTGCAACTAATTATTAACACTTCTTGTGCAGCTAAGAATCATCTTCCGACTCATTGAATATGCGCAAGGTCTCGACAGTGGTATCCCAAATAAGGAAGGATATCAATACGGTCTCGACTCTTTGCCAATGCTGATTGCTTTGGTACTGTTGGACGCTTTCCATCCGGGTCGGATTATGAAAGGTGAGGAGAGTGACATCCCGAGTCGCAAGGAGAGGAAGCTTGCTGGAGTAGCGTCCAAGAGTACAACCCGCACTACAGAAACTATGGAGATGGTGTAGCTTTGGCCGGAGGGATATTGGTCATGCATTGTTTTATTTTGATGGAGTTGCTGTTGTCACAGAACCTTTTTTTTTCTTTGCTACAAGATACATATTTAAATTTATAGGGGCCCATATACCCATTAGCAACGATTGCTTTGCTGTCATGTTATAGATCATGCCAAATCGAGAAGCATCAGCTCTATCAACTCAACCCTGTAACTCACCTCAGGAGGTGGCACAGCCTAGAAGTCGTCATCATGGATGGTGCGTAGGACGCCTAGCAGAACGCCCAAGCCTTAGGCAGAACCCAGAATAGTAGAAGCTTTTCAACGAAACATGCCAGTTCGATATCTAACACGATTCCAGTCATTCGAATATCCGTATAAGTCCAGCTCTCGCTAGTTTTTCGCGAGCTGAAAAGTTCAGACGTAGTTACAAAATGCCAAGAGTCGCTCCAGGGGATAGGAAGAGGGCGAAGAAGCCTAAAACGCGAACCGGCTGCAAAACCTGTAAGTGAGTAGATCCAGCTTATCATGACTTATTGGTTTTTGCGCATACTAAATTTGAACAGAAGTAAGCTCATGCCAATTCGGAGTGCTGACTTATACTTATTCTAAGGGTAGTTCGCCGCGTAAAATGTGATGAACAAAAACCATCATGCCTCAAGTGCACCTCAACTGGTCGCGTTTGCGACGGCTACAATAATGAACTTTGCATCAAACTCTCATCACCAGCCACCTTCACAAGAGAAACGACGCAAACTATATCACCGATACGTTCTCCCTCCCTCGAGGTTCCGGGCGATTCAAGAGAGCGACGTGCATTGCATTTCTTCTGTGAGAGAACAGTTCGGCAACTCAATCCATTCAGGGCTGACGACTTCTGGGACCTCCATATCCTGCAAGCAACGCAACATGAACCATCGATTCGTCATGCAATTGTCGCCTTAGGATCGTTACATGAGAAGTTTGAGCAAAGCGATGGGTTGATACTTCCTCAGAGCGATGACTTTGCTTTGCAGCAGTATAATTTGGGTATCACTTCGTTACTAGAGCCATTTTCTAGAGGTGGTCAGCAAAACATGGATGTCTGTTTGACAGCGAGTATTTTGTTTGCTTGCTTTGAGGTAAAGCATTGTAATTCTTCGACTGGAATTAGCTAACAGCCAGGCTTTCAGACATTGCAAGGACGACTTGGGCTAGCCATTGCACACATAAGAAGCGGCGCCAGACTTCTGTATGAGATAGAGTATAATGAAAACCAGAAAAAGCATAATCACAAGACACTCAAATGCTCATCATCGCCATTCGTACCTATGGAAATACTCGAAGACCTTTTCCTGAGAGTGTATCTACAAATTGTGGAGGTCAGTAATTCTCCTCCGTACCAAGCGGCATGCTAACTAATATAGATGGTAGGTCCAATAACTGATCTTCCAATCCATAAAAAGACCAGTCTGGGCCGTCAAGGAGGGACTCCACCAACTGCCTTCTCCTCTCTTGGGGAAGCCCGCAACTGCTTAATCTACAATTGGCACGAACGAACCACGCCGCGAGAGTTCAAGACTGGTAAAACCACTGAAGATTTGCATCGGGTGGTAGCACGGCAAAATGAATCACTCGCCCTCTATGACCAGTACAACTCTGCTTTCCAGTCTTTTCTTGCTACGAAAGGCTCTGTGTTGAATGACTCTCAACGTAAAGGTGTGCGGGTACTGGAGATACACCACCTTGCCGCATACGTAGCTCTCAATTCCAAGAAAACGACCCTCGATGTTCAGACAGTATGGGACCAATACGTCCCTATATTCGACAAAATCGTGACTCTTGCAGAAGAAGTCACTCTTCTAGACAGCTTAGATACAGCAGCTCCGGTCTTCTCCATCGACATGGGTATAGTCGCTCCTCTCTACTCAGTTGCACACAAATGTCGAGACCCCATTGTCCGGCGACGAGCGATTGCTGTTTTGAAAGCGGCGCCAAGACAAGAAGGAGTCTGGAATTCAACTTTGGTTGCTAGAGTTTGTGAACGAGTTGTTGATCTTGAAGAGGCGGGATTGGGAATGGTAACCAGTTGTGCAGACGTGCCTGATTGGGCGAGACTATCTGCTGTTATACCGATCTTTGCAGCGGAAGGTAGGAAGGCTGTTCTTACCTATAGTCGAGGGATGAGCCCGAACGAATTTGTGCGAAATACGTACGAGGAAGAGATCGTGTGGTAGATCAAGAAGCAGGTCTCGGGGAAGCGGAATCGTTTCCAGAGGATCCTTCTTCTGTATTTCATCATGGGCGATTGCGCAAAAGGCTTCGACCGAGAAACATCTTGTAAGAATTTGAATTCAAACGAAACAATGGGCGATGTTACGAACACTGGTCTTCCTTCGATGAAGATAGTAGCCATGAAAACAAGCTCGTTCAAAAACGTGTTCGAGTAATTCAAGCTTTCGAGTCAAGACAAGTCACGCCTCGGGAAGACGATGCCCATCTCCATCTTCAGTCCACAGACGATCGTCCGAAAGTGCACATATCGAAGTCAAAGCGAAGATATTATTCATCGCCTAGATATTGAGGAAATCGCTCAACCTCGGTTCTGGAGGGACTTCCCAGAATTTTCCTGCACGTAAGTACCCGTCAAGGCGTGGCAAAGTGTTCCCATTTTCCTTTAGAATGGTGATGAGGCTCAAGATGGAAAAATCGCCGACGACGTCGAAGCATTTTCGCCTTCCGGTACCTGAGTGCCAAGGACACGACTCGCCCTGTGCCTGCCTCTAACTCTAATCCCGGGACGGACTGCCACATTTGAAACAAACGCGGAGAACCGCTAAATAGCCTAACAAATCAGATGATTTAGACTTATTATTTAGCTTTTGGGGTCTGAGCAGAAACCCACTTCAAAAAGCGGGAAAGAACCCCTTTTTTGCTAGTTGGGCTATCGTGCTCCGCAGACTCCAACTTCTTGCTTCGAACCATTGACTCTAGCTTCCGTGACGGGGCAGTGTTCGCAGAGCGGCACTTCTGACACCTTTCCAATATCAAAAGAGGTTGATTTTGTTCGGATCCTTCATACATGCGATTCATCCCTTCGAAAACGTGGTTAAGCAAGCGGGGCTTTCGGAGATGTCGCATAAAATAGTGTAAGTTACGAGGAATCGTACGGACGACACCTGAGTAGGAGATACTTCCGCAAGAGCAAGCAAGATGGAACGCAGTACATATAGAGGTGCTTTTGGACATCCTCTGATCTTTCCTCCTCATCCCTCACCGGTCACCACATTCTTTTACCCCACGGTCGTTCTCGTTTAGCCAAGATGAAGGTCTCAGCATTCGCAGTGGCAGCAATTGCCCAAACCGTTGCCGTTCAAGCCAGCAGTGCGCACCGTTTCTATGAACATGCAGCCAACGCCACCAACGGTAACGCCACAAGCAATGGTAATTGCTATTGCTTCCCCGGTGACGCCTGCTGGCCATCTGAATCCACCTGGGCAGCCCTCAACACCACTACCAGTGGTCGATTGATCGCTACGACGCCCATTGGTTCTCCTTGCCATGCTCCAAACTACGATGAAGCAGCTTGTGCGGCAATTCAATCAGCCTGGACAGGCCCTCAAATTCAGTAAGTCGTATCCCTAAAAGTTTAGGAGTCAATTCTGTATACTGATCATTCAAACAGCTTGTCGTCCTCGTCCTCGGTTATGACCCCGTTCTTCGCTAACCAAAGTTGCGATCCTTTCACCCCACAAACCCAGGCCTGTCTGCTGGGAAACTACGTCCGCTACGCAGTTGATGTTCAGACGGTTGACGATATCGTTGCTGGTGTGAAATTTGCAGCTGATAACAATGTTCGTTTTGTTGTCAGGAACACTGGTCATGAGTAAGTTTTCAACCTAAATGATACTTGTAAACTAGACTCCTAACACAATACACAGCTTCCTTGGAAGATCTACTGGTGCTGGTGCTCTCTCCGTTTGGACTCACAACTTGAAGGATATCGACTTCATTGACAATTACTCCGACAAATTCTACACTGGCAAAGCAGCCAAGGTCGGAGCCGGTGTTCTCGGTTACGAGATGCTTACTGCTGCTAAGGCTAAAGGCGTTGTCGTCGTTTCAGGAACATGCCCAACTGTCGGTCTTGCAGGTGGATACACACAAGGTGGTGGTCACTCAGCATTGAGGTTTGTACTTGCAAGGTTTCTCTCGAAGTTCAAATCACTAATTCGCCTGCAGTACCTCTTTCGGTCTTGCTGCTGATCAAACTCTCAGCTTCGATGTTGTTACCGCCGCTGGAAAATTGGTAACAGCTTCTCGCACCAAAAACTCAGATCTCTACTGGGCTCTGAGCGGCGGTGGTGGTGGAAACTACGGAATCGTCACCTCCATGACCGTCAAGACACACCCAGATGCCAAGATCGGAGGTGCAAGTCTTCAACTCTCCACAGCCTACACAACCAAAGATACATTCTACTCCGTCGTCTCCGAATTCCACAGACTCCTCCCCGACATGGTTGACGCTGGAACCATGGTCGTCTTCGTAATCAGCAGCACCTTCCTCCAAATCAGCCCGGTAACCGGCTACAACAAGACCGCCGACGAAATGAAAGCCATCATGGCCCCCTTCGTCGCAGTGCTCAACGCCAAAAACGTACCTTTCGCAGCAACCTACACAGAATTCGACTCCTACTACGACCATTACGCCCAATACATGGGTCCCCTCCCAATGGGCCACGTCCTCGTCGAAGAATACCAATTCGCCAGTCGTCTCCTCCCTCGCTCCGTCATCAAGAACAACAACGATGGAATCCAAGCCGTTCTTCGCAACGCCACCCAAGGCGGGGCCATGATCCTCGGTCTGGGTCTCGACGTCTCAAAACCAGGAGATGTCGACAATGCCGTCCTTCCCGCTTGGAGAGACGCCCTCATCCACTCCACCTTCGTCACCATCTGGGACTCCACCGCCCCTTGGTCCTCCATGGTGGCTGACCAGGACAAGTTGACCAACGTCTGGAATCCAGCCCTCAAAGCACTTACCCCAGGAAGCGGCTCTTACATGAACGAAGCCGATTACCGCGAGCCCGACTTCCAGACTAACTTCTTCGGCGCGAATTACGAGAAATTGTTGGCGATTAAGAAGAAGTGGGATCCTAAGGCTTTGTTTTATGCGACGGTGGGTGTGGGATCGGAGTTTTGGGAGATCAAGCAGGATGGACATATGTGTCGGATTGAGTAAGCGCTTCAATTTTACTTGGGGGTGATGAATTATGTGTTTTGTTATGATATCCTGGCTAAGACGAATGAAACTTTTTAGATCAGATGTTGGGGATGAGGAGTGTTAGGTCGTGAGAAGTGAACGGGCTTTCAAGGTCGATGGGTTTCCGCTGCGACAAATCCACAACCGAATTCACGTACTGTGATTGATGATCCGATCTTTATTAATGGTTATTGATACATGATAATTTTACTATCTGACATTCTCTTGTCTAGATGACCACCTTTCACCGACCGTATTACGAGTCGAATCAGCTTCCCTGGTTTACGTCTCGGCCCTACTCAACACCACCGATCTCAAGTCCCTTTTGTTTTCTTGTTATTTTCCCAATCGCTCCTTGTGATATCTATGGATAAGTGTGTTTATATCGATGTAAGTGTTGGGTAGTGATGATGTTGTTGATGTAATATTTGAAAGTCTGTTTGAGGCCCATTAATTTGGGGATAAGTAATTTCTGTTTTGTTGTGCCATCGTTGTTGCCGGGGGTCAATGATTATCAAGGTGAACTCGTTTTTTCGACCTCTTAATCGATACTCAAGTCGATGAGGCATGGTATGATATGGTACCTCCTCATCTGCTGACGCCTCCACATGATTCAGCAGCCGATTCATCCTCACCTCGATTGTCAAGTCGTGTTTAGAAGCGCCCTCAAACAATAGGCCAATGACTCTTCTGCAACCCACTCTCCCCATCCATCCTCTCCCTCTCATGCACAATAGTCTCGGTAACAACCGTAATCCCCCGTCCACTCAGTTCCCCATCACTAACCTTCCTCGCGACCTTCCCCAAACCCATCTCCTTATCCCCCACAATCCTCTCCTCACTCCCATCCCCAATCGTCGAAAGCGGATACAGCGTCCTCCCACCCCCAAACCTCTTCTTCCCATTACTCCCCTCCTGCCAACTACCACCATGGAAATCCCCGTTCTGATCCGCCTGCGACTTGGTATTTCTCGACAGGTTAATACTGTCAAAGAACGATGAATCGAGGAGTTTCCGGGTCGTGCGCCGGAAGAAAGGGTAGATCATGGGGATGTTGCCGATGATGACGGCGACGAAGGTTTCGCGAACGGCCCAGGACCCGGCTTGTTGGGCGCCGCCGATGGGATCGCGTAGGATGAGGATGCAGCGGAGAATGCCGGCTGCCATGATGAAGACGCCGCCGCCGAACATGCCGAGGAGGAGGATTTTGCGGGGGGTTGGGATTTTGGCGCGCCAGAGCATCTGGGGGGGGTTAGTGGGTTAAGGGGTGAGGGGTGAGGGGGGTGAGGCTTACAGGCATGGGGATGGACATTAGATACATGTCGGTGAGGACGTTGAGGATGACTGTGACGTAGAGGTCGATTTTGGAGATGGCTGGTTGGCAGAGATCTGGGAAGGTGTTAGGAATAAGGCTCAGGTTGAAAAGTAGGGTCGTGGTGATTGATGGTAAATTACTTACTGCCTGGGTCTGGTCTGATCTGCCAGTTGTGGTGAAATGGCTGGCAACCGAGAAGAATCGATAACTCTGTGGCAAGATATGTCACAGCTAGTGCTCCATATCCAATGAGGACTCTTCCTCTCATATCGTCGACACCCTCTCTGTCATCTCGTCAGCTCAAATGCAAAACATAATTTGGAAAAGTAGAGCTGACTTACGTGAGTCTTGCGTAGAAAATGCACATGCAAAGTTTTAGTAGCCAAAGCAACAAGGTGTAAAGTGACCACCCTACCAACTGCGTCTTCGAACCACCAATTCTCATGTTCCATTCCTCAGAGCCGACGACGATATTGAGTCTCTGCTCGTCACTCATTCCATTATTGGCGAGACCATGCCACCATGCACCAACAATGTAAGCTGCAGCAGTCTCAAAGGAGTAGACGACCTATAATATATGTGAGATGAGCTCAAGAGTCTGATAAGCGTTGATATCGGGAGCTTAGCAATGCAGCTTTCTGATGGTATTGAGATATCTTGATGGGGGAGTTTAACTCACTGCTGCAAGTAGCATCAGATAGTCATCTGGTTTGAAGCCTTTGAAACCCACAGTCTGCCATCTGGCATAAGTTCTGATCCCAATTGTGGTGACTCCAATTGCAAGCAACGTAAACGCTTCCGTTACAAAGGCGTTCATGATGAAAACTCGAGTAAGGAGCTCCTCGAGAACACTCGCCGGTAAAAAGTGAATCGAACCGTGATGCCAGAATTGTTCTCGAAATCGGTACTATCGTTAGATTTTCAAATGCCCATTCGCTTAACCAGTTCCGTAGAAGCAATGCAGAGAGTTCTGAATGCCAACTGCAATATATAAAGACAAAATGAAAACAGTAGACAGAAAGTGCCGGAAGATCTGGTGGAGACCGTTAATTCCTTCTTGGTCTGTTCACCTTACGTACTCAGGAGGTTGAAGAAAAACAGAATATGATCGTCGTCAGCATCCACACACACCCAGGGCTCGCCAAAAAGCAGCAAAGTTTGGGGGTCAAGCGGAGTACACCCAACGACTCCCGGAATCTCCACTACAGACGTTGAGCCGGCATTTCGTCCTAGGATCGGGCCGTTGGCAGACGTTTGATAGGGTATGTTGACGTTCTTCCCTGCCATCCGCGAAACGTTTGTTGGATACTGAGACTTTTATAGAACTCTAACGCTAACCTGGATTTATGAGCCGAATGCATGTGATGGATGTATTGGTTGCACACCCTTTTCTGATGAAGATATGGGATACCCAAAACTTGTCCCTCAACGCTGGACACAACCGAGTTGCTGCTGCTGTTGATACGCCATTCTTGCTGCTTCCCCTGAATGATGACTGTCCATTCACAAGTCTGGTATCGTATTTGAGTAAGGTTATTTGATGACCAGGTTTCTGCAGTGCCTGGTTGCGGGCAAAAGATTCCGGAAATCGGATCATGTCGTGGTCCTCCGTGTATAGTAACATCGAGATATAAGCGCTGCCGGCAAGCTCCTGCTTCGACCAAGTGCATGTACCAATCCGAAGACGGATGGCGTCAGTCACCTACGGGAATTTCAAAAATGATAAGGGTACAAACGGGGACCACTGGGATCGCGAGATGATTTGACAAGCGGACTATGTGAGTAGCCGGTTCCTGACATTTTGTCCACTTAGCGCGCTCGTCTCCAGAAGAGATGTTGGTTACCAGAAACAACTAATCGAGGAACGAACCAGGCAATAATACGTAACAGATATCGCACATTATTTTTATGAATTGCTTTTTCTGATGCTATCGAGCAATGAAGTGATAACGCGTACGCAATATCACCTCACAAACATGGTTGTTATCTTCGCAAAGAAAATCTTTCTGTTTCCCAAGATGGTAAGGCCGGCTGTGATGAACTTCTGAATTGCAGACTCGGCATTTATGTGAGACAAGACCACTTAGTAACCTCATAGCCGAAGTCAAGCGTGGCAGAAAGAGACGACCACCGAACATCACTACCACTGTTGCGAACGTTTTGGTAATTACCGGAAGGCTCCAAGCATTTCAAGGATGGGTTTGTTGGCAAACTTGGATTTCAAAACACAAAAGCAAAAAAAATACAACAGCATGTGGTCTTCAGGAGAAGTCAAATTCCGGCATTTGCATACACCAAGCGTTGGCAGGCCATTTCCTAAAGATCCATCGGAAAAAATTCGCAGTATCTTCCACATTGGGCCGTATCGTCACTAACCCTGGTGATAATGCAACGGTAAGTGCATGGTAACCCTACAGAGTTACATCCGAGTGGAGTCGTGCTATGGCCTGCAGGTTACCCTTGAGACCACGATGGTTGGGGGGTGGAGTACGAATAGCGGGGACTTTCCTCGAAGCTGTTGCGATCGAGTTGGAAAGTTTGCGCAACCTCTGGGAAATCGTTGTCGTTTGTATTTTGTTGTTTTGCGCGCCTCGCCTGTCTGAAGTTCCTTTTCTTTGCAGCCCTTGAGCCTGGTAACCCTACAGCTTTGCAATAATGGTTGAAACTGTTGATTTAGTCGTCATTGGTGCTGGTATGTACGACATTGGTCGAGTTGGATTGAATGAGACGAGTCGTGGGATCGAACAAAGCTGATTTCTGTTTGCAGGGTGGTTCGGTCTTGGAGCAGCAAAAACATATCTTCAAGTCCACCCAGATGCCAATTTAGTCGTTCTCGAAGCTGAATCGTCTGTCGGAGGAGTATGGAGCTCGAAACGCCTTTACCCAGGTCTGCGGTCCAACAATCTCGTTGGAACGTACGAATATAGCGATTTCCCAATGGATGAAGCTACCTGGGGCGTAAAACCAGGTCAACATATTCCGGGCCAAGTAGTTCATAAATACTTGACAGCATATGCTGAGAAATTTGGTGTCTTGCGCCGCATTCGCTTCAACTATAAAGTGAAGAGTGTTGAGAAGAATGAGAGGGGTGGCTGGCTACTGTCGCCAGAAGGAGACTCGTCGACGTCAATCTATGCGAAGAAATTGATTGTTGCAACTGGGGTGACTTCCCAGGCATTCTTACCTACTTTTGAAGGTCAGAATTCTTTTGGCGTTCCATTGTTTCACAGTAAAGACTTCTTGAAGCATGCCGACACTATCAAGAATTCCAAAAGAGTTACTGTTCTTGGTGGTACAAAGTCGGCATGGGATGCTGTATATGCCTATGGCACTGATGGTGTAGAGGTTGACTGGGTGATTAGAGGTAAGAGCACCTCCCGCAACTTTATTAAGACAGCATGTCAACCACTGACAATCAACAGAATCTGGCCATGGCCCTTGCTGGATGGCACCACCATACGTAACCCCTCTGAAAAAGTGGCTGGAGAAGTTAGTCCATACACGATTCCTGACCTGGCTATCTCCTTGTGTTTGGGGAGATGCTGACGGGTATGGCGGTATTCGTTCCTGGCTTCACGGCACATCAATCGGTCGATTTCTTGTAGACAAATTCTGGGGGGTTCTTGGCGGCGACGTGATAACGCTGAACAAGTACGACTCTCACCCCAAAACGGCGAAACTAAAACCATGGCACGATGCGTTCTGGACTGCAAGTGGTCTTAGTATCTTGAACTACGAGACAGACTTCTTCGAGCTGGTGAAAAGCGACAAGATAAGGATCCACATTGCAGACATCACAGAATTGTCCCCCGGAAAGGTTCATCTTTCTGATGGTAATTCATTCGAAACAGATGCACTCCTCTGCTCGACTGGGTGGAAACACACAGCTCCAATGAAATTTTCTCCTCCCGGCCTTGAAGCTGAGTTAGGCCTCATGAGCCAAAGATCATCAAGTGAAGAGGAAGCCTTGATCGCTCGAGCCGATGCCGAGATCCTCGAGAAGTATCCTCGACTAGCGAACCGGCCACCAAAGAACAAGAAGTTCGAAGCTCTGACCGATACGAATGCCAGAATACAGAATGAGGAAAACCTCTCCTCCATGGGTTTGTATCGTTTTATGGTGCCTCCGGAGCCCAGAATGTTGGCCACACATGACATCGCATTTTCGGGATATGTCATGACTATCTCGACTTCGATCCTAGCTCAAGTCCAGGCATTATGGATAACAGCGTATTTTGATGGAAATGTGTTGCCTTTTGATACCACAATTAGTTCGTCGGCTGAATTGGAGAAAGAGATCGCTGCAATCAAGTATTCTGCCACGCTTCACAATCGCTTTGGCAAATGGCGCTATCCTGGTGGAAAGGAAGGCAAGATACCGGATTTTGTATTCGATGCTGTGCCGTATGTAGATATGTTGCTCAAAGATCTCGGGGTAAATTCAAGGAGGAAAGGTAGCTTCTTGAAGGAAATTTCGGAGCCTTACGGTGCGGAGGATTATAAGGATGTTGTGCAGGAATGGATGGCTAAGGGGAAAAAGGATTTGTAGGTAGAACACTGTGAAATGATAATATATATGACCGTCCAGAATGTTGTTGAGATTTGCAGATGTGAATCTGAGACGCGCGGGGCGAGGATTTTAGGGGCGGGAGACTCCGCGGAGACTAAACTTAACTCCGGACTCATTCCCGTCACAAGTGGGCTTCGGAGAGAAAATAAAGGACAGTGCAGAGAAGTCAAAGTGTTAGCTCTTTTCAACAATAATTGGCTGGAATAGAATGCCTGACTTTGATGTTCTGAGGCTCTCCTCAGTCGCAGAAAGTCTTTTTCGAATAGAAGATAGTGTGAAAGAGTCAGATAAAGGAGGGGAGATGTGGAGGAGACTGGCCCAAAGTTTTACCTACAAACCACTGCGCGACTCGCATTTATTGATGGTTAAGGACTAACATGACAGAAGGAAAGTACCTCACTTAAATAATGAAGCCGAATTCAACCCCTAAATACTGTATCTAGAGAAGTAACGATTTAAAAAGTTAGATCTCTCCAATCATAACAAGCTGCAAATAGGAGAAAAAAGATTCACTTGGCCTGAAGTTTCCGACCGGAAAGACACGTCGAGGTCGCATATATTGCGAAATGTCAGAACAGTTGAAAATAAATACGATAGAAGAGAAACACTGACATGGAAGATTGATCTAATCGAACACTGGATTGACAGAACCGAAATTTCAAGATGTCAGTTCAACTGACTTTCAAAAGAATTTACGAATGAAAACATGAGACTTGCCTGTAAGATCTACCCCAAACGTCGAAATGTATGAGGAATAGGCCAATGTCGGATTAAATATTAAAAAGAATTGAGGGGAGAGTAAGACTTACATGAATGATCATCACAATGTCCAGATGTAAAGGCTGGAGAAATACATTGGACACTCCGGAATTGAATATGTTAGATGATTTCGTCAGACACTTGGAGGAATACTACAGACCTGAAGAATCGAAGAAGATGCCGGGGAAAAGATGCCCTTCGCTATGTTTCACACCAGAGGAATTGCACAAGATTAGATCGATTTTGGGACCAACCTGGGGATCGAGTATGACTTGCTTAATCGATTGATTCTACTTGACCTTGAAGTTGAGAGGAGAGATAAATGTCACGATGCGGATTTGAAAAGTCACATCAGTAAGACCAAGTAAGTTAGAAGGGGACTACTGACTTGGGGAAAAGGATGTAAATTTCAAAGGCGAACACTAATTCTAGCACCTCGCAAGTTCGAAATGTCAGAATCTTTCATTAATGAGGAGATGGTAGGGTTGACTTGCCTGGATGATTTAAATTGTTGAAGGCGAGGTAGGAAAAAGTGCGTGTCCGAACAGAGATAGAAAACGTTAGACCAGTTAAGCGAAAAAGTTCCAGAGTAGTACTGTAGTAGTAACCTGAAAGCTCTAGTAATAGTTGAGAGGCGAAGACTACATCTGATGCATTGTAAGCCGTAAGCTTAGACTACTTTCTAATTGTTCAGTAATAGGGGAGAACTTGCCTGAAGATTGATTTCGTTTGAGTTGAGCCAGGAGCAGTGATGTTGCAAGCCGAGTTACAAAGGTCAGCTGGGTTATTTCGAAAAGGAGAAAAAATCAGCAAGACTGACCTGATAAATCGAGTCGGATTCAAAGACTCGAGAACTTTGTTTTGCCACATTACAAAGTTTCATTTGGTCAGCTGAGTTGGGTTCAAAAGTTAAAATAGTGGTACTAACCTCAGGTGAATAACTTTAAAGTCCGATCGTGTTGTAACCTCGAAATCCATTTTCGGACATTTTGATTTAAAAGATTAGACCACTTCCCATTAGATATGTGAGAGGTACTAACCAGCTAAGCCAATTTGAGTTAAGCAACTTGGATCTGTATGTTACATTGCAAGGCCAACGAGGTTAGATTAGTTCCAAAGAAAGATAGGACATAAATACCAACCTGAACTTCCGAGTCAATCCAAGAAATCCCAGAACTAAAACTTGCAATTGCAAAGTTCGGAAAGTTAGATCATGTTCAAAAAGTTTGACCACAGTGTACAACTTACTTTTTTGATGGGAAAATCGTTCCACAAAATTGAAAGTCCAATGTGAGTGAAACTGTTCAAAGATATTTGGTGAAGAGAAATACTTACTTAAATGAAAGAGTCGAATATGGAGAGAGAAGTTAAAGTTCATAAACCGGATTTCAAACGTTAGTGAGACTGTTCCATGATAAGTGTGAAAGGAAGAAGACTTACTGGGAAAGATGGGAAAAAAGCGTGAGAGAAAAAATAAAAGTGAATAATGTCAGTCAAAGTATTCTGGGATATTTTGGATGAGGAAGACTTACTAGGAGAAGATGAAAAGGTGGGTGAGAAAAGCGAGAAGTGAATGGTGTCAGTCAAACTGTTCAGAAATAATGTGGAAGCGGAAGGAGACTTACTTGATAGAAAGAGCGGAAGAGTGAAAGCGAAAACATTTGAAACTCAGCGATTTTTCAAATAAATTGGGAAAAGGGAGATTACTTACTTGGGAGGGCTGAAGATGGTAAATACTGAGGAGTAAATTCGAGTCGGATGTTGAGAACCGTATTTCAAAAGTCAGTACTGATTGAAGATAATTTGGAGGAGGAAGAAAACTTACCCGAAGAAAGAGCTAAAGTGTATGTTGAAAACTGGATTGGAATGTCAGTATGCAGTTTTGAAGAGGAAGCAGACGTACCTGGAGTCTAAAGAATGAGCAAAGAGGAAGCATGATGCTAAAACCCCGGATTTGAAATGTCAGTAATGTTCAATGAGTAGAGGGAGTCGTACTTGGCCTGAAGAACGAAGAAGAATGATGGGAAAGAAAAAAGGGTTTCGGAGTGAGAGGAAGGGGTTTTATAATTAAGTGAAGAACTAGCCTCCCAGTCTAAAACGATGACCTACAACACTGACGAGCGCATGTATCAGATCTTCAATTTAGCGGATGTAACATTACTAAAATGTAGCATGAGCACGATCATCTTTGAGTTTTTAGAGGTTTAAGCTTATTTTCAAGGTTTAGGGACATGGTATGATAGCATCCAAGATGTTGGGTTTGATGCCAAGCCGTTGACGGATAGTTTTAGCGCATGTGAGAAGATGCGATTATTGGACGAGGGGTTTAAGCGAGGTTTTAGGGGGGAAGTCGCTGTGGAGGAGGATCGTGAGTTTGACGTATTGAGGGATATTGAGGAAGGTGGCGTACTGAAATTATGATCTGGGATAGAAGCTATAAGACACTTTGTAGGGAATCTTTTCATGTGGCTAATTCAATCTCAAATGGCTAGGAATAACTTGACTGAGCTGAAGATCACGATTTAGACCAACGGGTCAAAACTTTCAGCAACGACCCCAGGAGTTACTCACGATACTTCTCGAACCTATCGTGATCATAGTATGAAAGTACAACTATCAAAGTCCGCTTCGTTGCGGGTAGGTGTCTTTCTAGCGCGGTCTATCCCGTCACTAACTCGCACCCACTTGCCTACTATGATGCGAGTCCAAAGCACCGAGCTAGAATACAACACAATGACCCTCCCTCTCCCACTTTGTGCTCTTTTGATGTAAAGTCAAACCTAACAATAATTAGATTAAAACAAAACTATCCACGTAGACAGAGGTAATTGCTCAAATCCCGACAGAGGCGCTGATCAACAGCTTAAAACAAGTCACTCGTACCAAGACCTCCATAGAAACTTACACTCTATCCCAATGATCTAGCTTCTCGAGAAAGAGAACTTGCCCGTAACACACTCATTAAGCCCTCCTGCCGACCCGCATCTACCCATACTTTCCCCGCTAGATCTAAACCACAGTACCACCCTTTTCCTATAAGGGGCACCTCCTATCAAAGTAAATCTTTCACGACCCACCCCCCCACCAATCACACTAAGAGATACTCTCAAAACCATCCCTCATTTCCAGGGCCACAAACAAGACCAACGGCATTTGCTTGCTCGCCAAGGATCCCAAACGACAAGCTCTAAAAACGTAAAGTTTGCCAAGACGAATATCAGATACATCATTCAACGACATAGTGGGGTTCGGCAGAAGTACTGCAGGTCAAGGGTAGGAGTGAATCATCGGCCATCGGGTGCATGAGCAAGATGCAATAAACCATGCAACGACGTGAAGGTCATTGGCAAGAATCGGGAAGAGAGTCATGTAACGTTCACGTCTTGGGCCATGTTGGCGTTGGATTAAGAGCCAAAGTGGATAATTTTGCGAGGAGGGGTATGTACTTAAGTTAAATGCGTGACGTTTTTCACGAGATATTCAATAAGTCGATTTGCCCCAGCACAATGAGGAATGACGAAGGCGTTAGCAGCAGGCAAATACAACTACAACGCTCTCCATCGCCACTCGGAACTGTAAGGTTTGGCAACTAGATACCGCATGTATTGAACTTCATTCGATTTCTTTTCATCATTCAGACCACGCTATAATGATATCAACTTTATACAACGCTGATAATTCACCATCGTAAGCTTTACTCCACACATTTCCAAGCAACCGATTAGGTATCCTGGATCCCTTCCATTGAACGCCAAAAATGATAATCCACCAACACCGTACGCCCTCACTACATCCTTACTCGCTATTTCGGTCACGAACTTTTGTAGATCTCTTTGCCGTTCCAATATGTGTGTTATGAACCTTCATTTTGTTAGCATAATGAAAACATTCGGAAGACCGTTGAGGCATACCTTTGTGGCAAATTTCAAACTCGTCAAAGTCTCGCTAACGTGTTCTTGCAATGGACTTGCCATGACAAACATCAGTGTCTTCGAATTGCCTCCAAGCGAATATTGAAGCAGATAAGTCAACTAGCACAATAAGTTAGTTTTTCACTTGAAATTTCTGACCAACACATCTTACCTTTGAATTGCGATAAGGAATGTGAGCACCCTCTTTGCCCTGGCCGAGCGCCCCGATGACATCGCCAAGACAGCTCAAGCTCTTGTTGATATTCTGTGTTTCCTTCATTCGATCACCCTCAGCACCAGATTGCTTCAGTCTCTCTGATCCAGCCAAATCAACCAGGTTTAACGTGCCTTCAGAAGTCTCGTTTGTTGTGCTATTTCTGCCAATGAGCTTCAAGATGAAAACAGAATGAGATCTAGAAGAACGTTCATTAGATTTCGTTGCCGCTACGCTGCGGTTGTTGGCAGCCTGCTTCAGAATGGACTCCACGGTATCTGCTGAAGTGAGGGTGACGGTCTTAAGGCCAGTGACAATAGTCTGCTTCTTCTGATCATCATGTCGAATCTCGTGCTTCTTTTTATCCATGTCCTTGGAAGAGCCTAGTAAGTCGTGTATCTCTTCGTTGTAAACCTCAACGAAGCTGCCTTCCATCGTGTATGTCCATCCTTTGTCCTTCAGATTTTCTGCGGTTTCGTAGATTTGATGTGTAGCACGAGGAATCATGCCGTCAGCCGAGGACATCGTGTGAGTTTTCCCTGATCCTGTTTGACCGTAACAAAATATACAAACATTATATCCATCAAGAGCGCTCTGTACGAGCTGAGATATCTCGCCAAATACCTCTTCATTTTGAGTATTAGGCCCAAAAACTCTGTCAAATGAAAAGGCGTGCGTCTTTCTGGTAACTGTACCGAGACTGCTCTTCTCTTCTTTGCCCATGATCTCAAGTTCCTTTGACTCTTTGTCGATGTCTGGAAACTTGACCTGGGCGACTTCTCCTTCCGAATTATTACTTGGAACCGGTCGTACTCTGCACATGACGCGAATGTTTCCTTTGAGCTCTTGGACCTGGTTGAACAGAATTCTACGAAGCGTTTCTTCTTTGATGAGTTTTGCTTTCGACTCTTCCGCAGATCTCATAGCATCCTGAAGTCGCGACTCCATATCGGCAAAGCTGTCGGATTGTGCCTTACTGCCGGACTCAAGGAAGTGGATACGAGCGCGGAGGCTTGCCACAGTTGCTTCTAAGCTTGTGATGGTGGACGTTGTATCGATTCCCGTCCTCCTCATTTGTTCAGATAAGTCTGCTAAGCTCTTCTCGGCGTCACCCTTCTTCTGTTGTTCCTTCTCCAGCGCTGCCTTCAGATTTTCGAGCTCGTTTCGAAGATTTTGAATCTCTTGACTCTTGTCCTCCAAAGCTAAATTTTTATTCTGATCACCTTTGGCGATATGCTCCTCGAGCTCCTGAACTTCCCGAAGTCTTCTGTTTCTCTCTTCCCCAAGTTTTTCTTCCGCCTTCCTCTCGATATCTCGGATCTTATCATCAATTTCGAGCGCTGCCCGTCTCTCAGCTTCCCGTATCTCATCGCGATGATTTCGAAGCACGCGGTCCATTTCGTCAGTGTTGTCTCGACGGAGCTTTTCGACCTCATTCCGGAGGGCTCGATCCTTGTCGTCAATCTCTAACCGGTGAGCTCTAATCTGGTCGTCGAGACTAGTGGTGAGATTAAAGAGTCTCTTCTCAAGAATCACAGACTTCTCACGCATTGCATCCAAGTCGGTAGTTAAGGACTTATTGGCGGACGTCAGCCGTTGTTGGTCGAGTTCAAGAACCATTACTACCGCATAATCAATATGTTAGTCTCTAGGAACGTGCAGAATCCACTCACTTTTCTCTTTATAGACAGGAACTGCTTGTTCCAGAGCAGTAGTCTTCGAAGAGTCCTCTCTGATTTTATGATAGCAAGCCATCACCTCATCGAGTTTCGCTTTGGTGTCCCAATCTGTTGGAGCAGCTATGTCAGAGTCTTTTGTTAAATAAGTACTTTTCATTGGGGACGCTTTGGAAGGACTTGATGGAGTGATAGGAGCTCGTCTGATATTTCCATGCCTAGTCTTAGGAATGGGAATATGAGAAGGGGTTTGCGGAGCAACCAAGCCATCGCCGGGATCTTCCCACAGTACGACAGCTTGGTTGAAACTTTGCGACCACGAATCCCCGGACCCAGAGCTGTCTGGGCCCCTGTAAGATAATCTCGGCGGGAGCAGTAACTTGCTGCCAGCTGCTTGATTGTTTGTTGAATAGTAACAGTTGTTTTCATCGATGTGCATTTTTTGTAATGCCGTAGCGATGGAACTGTCTCTTGTATTGCACCTTGTGCTGTGAGACCTCAATGAAGAGACTGATTGCGTATGTCGCAGCTTATTGTTCTGTAAGACTGCAGGATTTTGAGATAAAAGAAATGAAGCACAGCGTGTGCTTTCTCGTAGCATACCATCTCGTCTCTCCGGGTTTGTTGCCCACGATTCATCTGAACGATTACTCATGGCTGTATTTGATCGTGCTTTGGTTGCGTTCGGCGGCCGTGTTCTTGTTGACTGACTGAACGATGGCGGAGGTCGTCCGTAATGTGTTGATTGAGATCGGATGTGGCCAGGACCCATGCTGCTTGAAAAGCTGCCATTAGAAGTCTGCCTCGATGAGTTTGAGGTACTGTGAGAAGATATTGTTGAGGCGGTTGAGGGGTTTCTCATGGCCCCAAAGGATGACTGTACTGCTTTCTGTTGAAACCCAAGAATGTTAGCCATATGATCGGTAGAAATACCAGTAGAAAGATCGATGCCTGAAGCTTCGGGGAACAGCGTGTAAGCCGAAGATATCTTGCGGATAACCATTTTCGCCTCGGGGACTATGTAAATCGCTGTTAAACGTCCAAATCAGGGACATTGGAAGAGAAATATCGACAAAACGCCACAGCCCCTCGCCATGTATATAGGCTTGCGCTTCATTTCAGATAAATTGGCCTTTACGTATGGCAAGCGTGCACGAACTTCAGTCGCATCGCACAACATTGTAGCATTTGCTTATTTGAATTCCGCCGCAAGGTCCTAAGTGGCGCATTGTGTAACACAAGCCAGTAATGTCTCTTGCAATCGACTCTTGGAAGTTTGTCGATCCTCCCAGTGGATGGTAGGCCAACGTCGTGCCGTCTTGGTCGCACAAGAAATTCATCACTCAGAAAAATTGAACTTACGCCTGAACTCGCGCTCACCAGTGATGTCCCCTTGACTGGTGGTTTGCCAGATATTGTGGGAATCGTCGGTTTTGATACTGGTTCTCCGCCTCTCTCTGCCAAAGTCTTCCGTTGCTTGGGTTCCGGTTGGCCATCGTCTGTTTCATCAAGATCAGCGCTACGTTCTCTAGTCCCAATCAAAGACACCTACGATAGCCCATTGCGCGCTTGATATTATTGGGAGCAGCCATTCGAGAGACGGGTTTGGCTCTGGTGTTATTCTCGGACGGAGTAATTTCCTGTAATCCTTTGCCTGGAGATGGAATTCGGATCATCGGGGGACGAATTCCAGATGGGCGATCACACTGTATCAATATGTTAGATTCTTTGTTCAGAGAGCAATTGGAGATGTGGCTTACGGCATTCTCTTCAGAGTACTCCATGATGTGATGTAGCAATTGCTACACGCGGAAAAAAGCTATAACATGCATCAATCGAAAGCGATAAAGTTGAGCGATGAATTTGCTGTGCGAAAGCAATCTAGGCAAGAATCGATGGGTGTTTGGCGTTGATAGAATTGAGGGTGTAAAGGTCGTTGCGATTTGGCGCCATCTAGATCCAATGTCAACAAAACCATGTCGCGATGTAAATACTGAATCACGTGGTAGCAACCGGTTGCCAGTTTCTCCGTAGCCGACCCCTGCTTCGGTTTGTTGACACTGACGGAGGCTTTCCCCAGCCCAGCCTCTTCCCGGCCCCGCGCATTTCCAGCAGCATCATCCATCTCACAACAATAAGACTTTTGCTTTCGCAATATTCGCAATCCACTTTAGAGCACGTCCCTTCAGTCGCATTATTATACAACACAAAACACCATCTTCAAAATGTCGGGCGCATCAAGTTGGTTGCAGAAAATGCGAAAAGCAGAGCTGTTAGAGCTTTGCGACTCAGTCAACTTTACAGAGTAAGAACTTCCACGCGCCGCAACGGGTTTTAGCAATTGAAGCAATACTAACTCTTTCTAGGTATGATGGACTGAAGAAAACGGAAATAGAGGTTGCTCTTGACGATTACCTCACTGAAAACGCGGCGCAATTTTCTGGAGAATCGCGACTTGAACCATTCTATAGAACGCGAGGGCGCGGCAACCACTCGCCAATAAAGAGAGAAGCTCCTTCTATCGTATCAGAGATTACCGAGAAGGCAAAGGTGGTAAAGCGCAGAGTTACAAAAGCTGCAGAGGAATTACTCGCGACGTAAGTGCTACGCGCCCAGGAAGTCGCGTCTGAAGTATATGCTAACAAGTAACAGTGATGAATCCGAAATCGAACAAGCAACCACACGCGCGCGTTCCGCTCTAGTCAGAACTCCAGCTCGCTCTACTGCGCTTTCAAATTTGAGTTTCGCGTCGAGTCTTCCCCTCCCACCTTCTCCAGCTGTTGTTGCCGACGTGATTGACCGCCGAACCTCGCTTTTGCGCTCGAAAGTCTCACAAGCCTACGAAGATTCGGGTATCACTGAGCAAGCAGAAGCTGCTCGCGAGACCCTATCTTCACTTGTTGCGATACATTTCGTCATCAACGCATTTGAGTTATATAGATTACGAGCGGAGGTTCTCCCAAGCCGATACGCGTTCACGATTCCCGAATTACCAATTATTCACACCAGCGAATACCCCGTCTCAATCCCAGATCTATTTCTGCTATTGACGAGTTCATTCTGGGGTCCAACAATTCTTTGGGCGTTTACCAGCATCTTTATCCCATTAGGATCGGCCTATTTCTTCAACCTCACCAGCAAACCTCGCGCGCGTTCCCACAACCAACATTTCAACTACACGTTCGATCCCTTGACCTTTAACATCGTCAAGGCACTCTTGACATTCGTCATTTACGGACAAGACGTGACGTTCGGTGGTCTCGTCGATCTCGAATACGTCGCGCGCATCAACTCTGCGCTGTACGGCGGTTGGATTGGACCAATCGTCGGTTCGGGTATTGGCGCCCTGGTCACCGTCTACGAAGCCATCATCAAGAAATAAACAAACGCCTGAAAAGGCGCACCGGTTCAGGAATGTGTACAGGATTGAATTCTCAATTGAAAAAGTTTTCGTAGCAGCACATCAGTTGGACGGAGATTTCATCATTTTTACTCACCCATCTTTTTCTCCGTCTCTTGTGCTGGCACGATGATCTCGTTTTACGGTGTCATAGGAAGGCGTTAAGGGCGTTTTTATTTGATTAGGGAATACCCCCTATCTCTTTATTCCAAATCATTATCAGTCAGACGGGTGTTCTAGCTTATTGTTTTCGGGTCGTGGTACAGTTACTTTTCTCTTACGCTTGAATGATTACGGTGAGGAGCTTTTCCGGTATTACAGCGCTTGGGGAATAGGAAATTCAGTTAGTGATTGATTGGACTGCATAGTTGATCGAGTAGGATGAATGTTATATGATGTGAAACTGCTTTCTTCCCGCAAACATTTGAGTTATATATGATCGCGCTTTCTGACCGTGTTCCAATGCCCCGTTTTGGACTCGATAATACAGACAGAACGGCAGAATGGAAGTGGCATCAGTGCAACGTGTCACATGATACTACGAATGTACGAGCATCTGTCAATTTCATCTACTTTCCAAAAATCCATGAAGACACAACAAAAGACCATCCTCTCCATACAAAACAATCAGTACAAACAACCTGCAAACCACAGTCCACAGGATTCCATCTCCACCAAGTTAGACAACGAGACTCATGCCCAAGAGATTGCATTCAACCATTCTACCCCAACCTCATCAGGTAACAGAAGCCCCTCTATCGAGGAGGCGAAATATTCTGATACTTCTCCGCCCTCTGCACAAACCCAAACCGTTTATTCCCCTGATCAAAAACCTATCACGGAATTAGCCTTCTCTACCCTTCCCACAAAACACAATCCAACAGGACATAAGAACTTACAGCATAAATTCCCTTCAAAAACGTATCCCCCAAAATATCAAACGGCAGATTGCCCCTCGATTGAATCCCACCATAAACATTCCCATCCCCAACACTAGCAAACCCGAGATCCTCCTTCTGAATAATCACCTGGTGTTGGCCGACGGCGATCGTGACGACAGGAAGGTCGGAGAGGGGAGTGTTCTCAGGGTAGACCCAGCCTTGACTATTGTAGTCGTAGTAGGCGTTTGGGATCGCGCTGTAGACGGCCTCGCAGACGGCGTCGGAGACGAGGGCGAGCGTGGTTCCGGTGTCTGCGATGGCGGTGTTGCGGGAGGATTGAGAGACGGTGGTGCCGTTCACGGTGGATTGGGCGGATGTGAATTGCCAGAATCCGCTGGAGGAGCTGATGGGGGTCCAGGCGAGTGATTGTCCGGAGGCGGTGATGGTGTCTTGGTCGATGTAGCCGAAGGTGTAGAAACCTTGGCCTTGGTCGTCTTCGTTGGCATCACGCCAGCTTCCGAGTTTGGCGGCGAAGACTTGAGAGGATGTTGGGATGCTTCCTTGTAGTATTAGGTTTTCGACGGGTGTGTGGACGCGGTTTGGTTGGACTGTGTTGATGCTGCCGAATGCAAGGCCTAGGAGTCCGTCACCCGGAGATTGGAGGAATTGGTCAGAGAGATCTTTGGCCAATTCAATGGCTTGACTTTCAACCGCGAGTCCTCCAAGAGTGATTGTATCAGTACCGACAGCGCCCGATGCGTGAGAGTTGTCCCCGTATCTGATTTCCCAGGACGCGCCGTTCATGGATTTGAAAGTAGATGAGTTTGAAGGATCATAGGTGGTATGTCCCGGTTGAGATCGTGCACTGGAATCAAGCAAGGTAGACCAAACCTGTAGATACTGTTAATAAGAAATTTAAATGCCTTTTTCAAGAGGAGCAATTACCCAGAGGTCTGAACTACCTGTGTAAAAGTCCAGATAGAGCGTTTGCGCAGGACTGCCAATCTGAACAGGGCAGAGGTAAAGCGAGTCATTTTGAATGTCTTCAGCCGGAACCTCTCCGATCTTGGTTGTTTGGAAATCCCTAGATGCAGGATCCTCGTCTATTTTCTTGATCAAGACATGACGAGTCGAGGGTTTGGTGGTATGGTGATGAAAAGTCGCACGTTTTTCACCTTCCTCCAAAGCCTTGACCATTTGGCCATAAGGCCCCGGCATGGTAGGCTCAAAGCCCCATTTGCTAAGTAGGTGAACGTAAGACTTGGTTCCGGATTTCTTGTAATTCTTGTTTGGAATGATGTTGATCTTTTGGAGTCCTTGAAGAGTGTCAGCCATGTTGATAAGATACTTGCTAAGTAGTTAAATAGTTTGTAGGTGGTTGAAGTGGTAGTGATGCTTGCGGATGTTCTTAGGAATGAATGCAGAATGTTGTGAGTGATGAAGAATTAACTGAGGGAACTTTGAGTAGGAGATATACATGCTCGAGCACTTCTTCGTTCTGGTACAAATCCCTAGGCAAGAGCATGTTACCGTTTAGTGAAGACGGCAGGTACCACCACTATCGAGGAAACAAGATACACAACGCTGCAACTCGCACAGAATTCTTGTTGCGCAAAACGCTTGTAACAATCACATAGTGATTGTTTAGTCTAGGGATTTCCCCTCGAAATCCCATACTGAAGGGCTAGTTGTTGTCGTGGTCGATTTGAGGGGAGCATTGGTACCGAATCGTGTCCGCAACTAAGCGAGGCTCACTTGGTTTTCACATTAGAGGTTATGACCACTTGTCCAGAGGAAGAGTGTATCCCTTTGAGTAGTTATTAGCCATGTGAACATATGTTGCAGATGGTATTTCCATATCGAAGAAGACCATGTCGAGTGCTAAGAAGGTCTAGGGACGGGGCCGGAGCCATCCACCCGCGAAGCTAAGCTGTTTAGTCTACCAGAGTTGAGAGGGTTGAAAGGGACCGCCATCATGAAGACAAGTACCAGTGACCAACAATGTGTTGGATGTTGCATTTGCTATCTCTTAAAGTAGCTTATCATCTAGTAACATTAGATGATGGTACGAAGGCCGTTTCATATTGTTGAAGAGGACGAACCATACAGTTCTAAGAATTGTGTAACACAGACTTTGTAGCGAGGCTCTCAATTGAGGCTCCAAAGAGTTACTAGTGTTGCTCGAGGAGGCATAACTAAACCTATAGGTTAATGGATAGTGCATAGGTGCTAAAAAGCAGTATCATAAAACTAAGCAGCCTTGAGTCTTAGACGTTGCATTCATCCTAGGTGTCGCGCAAAACATACGAATGTGAAAACTTTCAAGACACTTGTGGAATGGCCAGCTCTTTCTGAGTTCATAAGTGTTGTGATTAAGATTCTCGGCGATGTAGATCTGAGGAATTCCTCGGCGCGCTGGTCGATAATCTGTCGCATTGAGATCCACTCACCTATAATGGAAGTGACACAACCAACACAAAGTAAGAACATAAATCTGCCTTCAAGGTACGTTACACAATGTTACATTTCGTATAGGAGAGTACTCAATAAACGCCGAATGCCAACCCAAACTCCTTCGCTACCGAAACGTGTATTTGTACAAACAAGCTCCATTACCAGTGAGCGTCCTGTTCTTTTCAACGTCGCCATCAAATCCTCCGTCGACCCAGAATATGGCGTATCAGCCGATTTTGTAAATGATATTCCCTCACGCGCTGGACTCCGGATTGTACACCAGTGCTCTATCTTGTCGCATTCCCTCGAGCACACCAACCAATCCACCTCTTCGCATCCTCTCAAGCACGACTGTCATTCCTTCTTTCGCATGTCCCATTTGACTTTCTGTTTTTCGACTGGCAATCGCCTCGATGCTGCGTTGAATCCCAGACTTGCTCCAACTGGCTAGGAAACTCTTCTTTGGCTCCTCTTCTGCATCCGCAGCGGCAGCCTCGCCCTTTCGCTGAGCTCTTGCTCTCAATCGATCGCCTAGTCGGCTCTTAAACATGACAGTTGTTGTGACGCCAGTGGTGCCTTTCTCGACATTGAGATCATCGTCCTCGTCAGCAGCAATCTGCCTTCTATATTCCTGCCGTTCGACCACGCTGAGTATTCCCGTCCAATCCAAGTTTTTGCTTTCGGTCTTCATCCAGCCTTCTTTTACATCAATCGTACTCGTCTCGAGAATGAAGCTTTCCGACCTGCCACCGCTAACGTTGCCCAGTACACTTTTCGGCAACAGCTTCAACACCGCAGATGGCAGACGCGATGATTTGCGATGAACGCGCATCGTTTGCAAACGTCCATCTTCATCTATAGATCGCGAGATGACATCGGTCGATAGCACGTGCGTGCTGTATGGATTTGGGTATCGAAGGAAGTATGCGAGGGTAACGGCGGGGAAGGAGTAGGAGTAATCGTAGGAGGTCTCGTAGAATTTGACCATTATGAAGATATATTATTCATTTGAGTTGGTTGGAATTGTTGTCTGTAGATGGGGAAGTGTCCAAGAGGAGGGGGAAGGAGTATGATGATGCAGCGCCTCGATCACAGGTGAACCGTCGTCGAGGTTTATTTGCTCGGTTAAGGACCAATACCCATGTGGATCTAGAAGCTCGTATAAATCCGGGGTAAATTCGAGAGAGCACGATCTGTCGGTCTCTTTTTCATGCACAAATTCATAATAAAAGTAAAGACGAACTTAACTATTCAGTTGCATGTTAGTTTTACTTCATTTTCATTCAAGCCTCAACTTTATACGAATGTAAACAGGAGATTCTTGTTCTTTGTTACGAAAAGCAAGAATGGTCTGACGACGCCAATAATCATGTGATTATGACATTCACCGCCCAGCGGCAGAATTTTATATCCCACCTCAAAAGAACAGCAGAGTCACAACCCAATTTACCCCTCCAAATTCAACAAACTCGAAATGGCAGATTCCACATCAGAAATTCCAATCCCTATTAGGGTGCAAGAAAATGCGACAGAACCTACTTCGACCGGACAAAAGATTGATCCTTGGAATGTACAAGGAGAAATCGGTGCAGATGGAGTCGCGAAAGCAATTAACTACAACACCTTGATTGAGGAATTCGGCACCAAGAAAATACTGGCGGAAGATTTGGAAAGGTTCGAAAAAGTCACAGGTCACAAACCTCATAGGTTTATGCGGAGAGGAATTGTATTCAGTCATCGAGATTTGAACTTGATTTTGGACCGGCACGAGAGAGGGGAGACATTCTTCTTGTACACAGGGAGAGGGCCAAGCAGTGACAGCATGCATATAGGACATACCGTTCCTTTCGAGTTCACCAAGTAAGAAGTGTTAATGTTTTCTTATGATTTTACTATTGCTATGTTTACAATTGAGGTTTCGAATATGTACTGATGACTCACTCAGATGGTTGCAAGAGGTCTTTGATGTCCCGCTGGTTATCATGATGACAGACGACGAGAAATTCATATTCTCCGAAAAGCGAACTATTGAAGAGGTCATGAGCTACACAGCTGGGAATGCGAAGGATATTATTGCCGTTGGGTTCGACCCGAAGAAGACGTTCATATTCAGTGATTACGATTACATGGGAGGCGCATTTTACAAAAATGTTACGAGAATGTCAAAGATGATTACATTAAACACGGCAAGAGCGGTTTTTGGGTTTAATGATAGGTGAGTAATCTGAATCTTTCTAGAAACTTTGCTAATCCAATTCAGTTCCTGTATTGGAAAGATTCATTTTGGAGCTGTCCAAGGCGCAACATCCTTTGCAAACTCTTTCCCGCACATTTTCGGCGATGACGATTCCAAAACATCACAGATTCCAGCTATGATTCCATGCGCTATTGATCAGGACCCTTATTTTCGTTTGACCCGAGATGTAGCAGCCCGTCTACATTACGCAAAGCCTGCTCTGATCCACGCGCGATTCCTGGACGCATTACAAGGTCCAGGCTCTAAGATGAGTTCCTCTGTCGACACCTCTGCAATTTTTATGTACGACGAGCCAAACAAGATCAAGAATAAAATCAACAAGTACGCTTTTTCCGGAGGACAAGACACCATGGAAGAACAACGGGAGAAGGGTGGCGACACAGAAAAAGATGTGGCTTACCAGTACCTGACGTTCTTCTTAGAAGATGACGAGGAGCTCGAAAAGATCGGCAACGACTACCGGACTGGAAAAATGCTGACCGGCGAGCTTAAAGCCAAGTGCATATCTGAGCTCCAAGTTTATGTAAAAGGATTCCAAGAGCGAAGAGCCCAGGTGACTGACGAAGTCGTGGCCGATTTCTTTTCAGCCAAAAAGCTCGAGTGGAAAGGCAACCCAAATCCAACCGTTGTCGCAAAAGAGGGAGGTGAGGCTGGAGCATCAGCAGAAGGAGATGGAAAGTTGTCGAAAAGTCAATTGAAAAAGATAGAGAAGGAAAAGATCTTTGCTCAGCGCAAAGCAGAAAAAGAGGCCGCTAAGACGGCGAAGGCCGGCGGCAGTTAGGATACAACTTCGTCAACAACGAATCAACGATACCCAAGAATGGCTTTTGCATGTTTCGGAAATGCTAATGCGTAGGCTGCTTCTGTGTTGCTCTCTGTCCACATTCACAATCAATGATTTCTCCCTTCGTCATCAATTGGAGTTTCTAATATGGTGCAAGGGTTTTCAACATAGAGCCAGATGCGTCTGTTTTGGTATTGCTGTACGCTTCCGGAGCATGTCTAGGATTCTATTTCTGGACATGTTCTCAGAGGCATGGTATCGACTGTACGCTGCAACAAACTTTCGGAGTTACGTTGCATCTGAGTCCGGCCTATATGTCGAGAATATCTCTTACTTCTCACATGAAGCCTGCGAGTACTATGATACGAAGGCATCAACGTGTTGTGGAAGCCAACACAGTTTGAACAATCCCTCGCTCTTCTTCTGTATCTTGAGATCTTCATTTGTCTTTTCATTGCTTTATATACTCAGTCAAGTTGCTTCTACCCTGTTTCATTTGATACTCGGCAATTTACTTTCTACTAATATTATAACTGAGACCGCTCAAAGGGTAGATGGCCCACTGTTATCTGACCCAGCGGTACGTGGTAAACGAATTGGGGCAGGTACATAAATTGAACTCAGCCTGGTTGAAAGGCATTCAAACTCAATGTTATGTTTTGGTGCTCTAGCCAATGCGTGGGCTAGTTCGCTGGGCGGTCTGGATATTTCAATGCTCCCTTGCTCACACTGTGGGTCACATAAGCTGACTGGGCCCCCACTCTTTACCTAGATAAAATTCTACGGCGATTTTCTCGCATAGTATTACTTTTTACTGGCAATACTCGCAGTACCTAACCAAAGCAGGAATAGTCAAGGTAAATACTCAACTACTCGAGCCTATGCAGCTCACTAGACTCTAGTCAATTCAAGGCAAACTCGAAACAATCGTAATTCAAATAAGCGATTTGTGGTATCTTCCGATACACTACTGTCCCCTTTGTGCGTAATGGGGATCATCCTATTTGTTGGTCTTTCAGGGCATGTGCAGTGGCATTTTTTGAACGTAGAATCCACAAGTGCATATGCTGTGAGAAAGCGTCAGACTAATACTCATATAACTTCACATTCGCCTCCAATTTCAAATTCCAAGCTGGCTTTAGTTCATCCCGTTCAAAGATATTGCATGTAAACCCAAACACTAGCTAATCACATCTCACCAACCAACGCAATGACTTCCAAACCAACCATCCTTCTCATCGGCGGCGGCTGGCATTTCCCAATCAGCTACTCCAAGCTCACCCAAGCCCTCGAAACCGCCGGCTACGAAGTCCACGTCCCTCTCCACCCCTCCATGAACGGCGCCCGTCCTCCCACCGCTTCCCTCGCCGAAGACACAGCTGCTACACGCACATACGCGGTTAATCTTATCGAAAAAGGCCACACCATCGCGGCCCTCATGCATTCCTACGGCGGCCAAGTGGGCACCAACGCTCTCCACGGTCTCGGCACCACATCTCGTGCCTCCCAAGGCCTTACTGGGGGAGTCTCGCATCTCATCTACATGACGGCCTTCGCGCTGCCAGAAAACGGGTCTATGGCCGGCAAGGTCGAGGAGATGGGAGATTCGGCGCTGATGCCTTTAGCGTTTGATTTCGCGGATGACAAAACGGTCGTTAGTCGCGATCCGAAGATGTTAATCGTCGGCCCTGGGGACGAGGAGGAGATTGAGGCGTATGTGAGTACGTTTGGGAGGTGGAATGGTCAGGCTATGTATGATACGATTGAGAGGTGTGCGTGGAGGGAGATTCCGGTTAGTTTTGTGGTTACGACGATGGATATGACGGTGCCGGTTACGTATCAGAGGAGCATGATTGAGTATATAAGGGGAGAGGGGGTGCAGGTGGGGGTTTTTGAGGTTGAGACGGGACATTGTCCCGGGTTGACGGGGACGGGGGAGGTTGTGGGGTTTGTGGGGGAGATTTTGGGGAGGTAGGGGGTGGAGGGGGAGGGAGAGGTGGGAGAGCACTACACTTCACAGTATCGAGGAGAGTTTTTTCATTCGGGAGCGAGATACGGTGCCATGGACTCCGAGCGCCGTGTTCCCAGCGAGTGTTGGCTACTACATGTGATGACAGCGTATCAACTCTCAGGTAATGACGGCTCATGGAATGTGGCAGTCGTAGTCAACAAATTCCAAGAACATTAAATAGGTCATTTTTTTCCCGTCCTAACACTAGAAAAATAATCAAATCTCTCAACACCATCAATTTGATTCCGGACACAGATCTGCAGCATCTCACCCACCAACTAAGAGATAGACCACTTTCCTTATCTCACGAACTGATAATGTAGGACTCAGGTGAGACTAATTACCCTATACTACTATACGTAATCGAAACATACTACGAGCGATTAGCCAGCTATAAGTATGTAGTTCGGACAACTGGTAATCAATCAATTACTGTAAGTTTAGCTATCTATCACAGTCATGCACGTTCGGAAAATTAACAGCCTAAATATTGGGCACCGCCTTGATTTAGAGCCTCGAACATTAAGGTTGCTGAAATTTTGTGTTTTTATCTAGGAGTCTGATGGATATCAAGGGTTGTGAATGTTTGAAGTTACTACTAATGAAGATTGTTATTGTATGAGAGAGTGTTTGTTTTATGAGACATGATATGAAAATGAAAGGGTTTACCAAGCCTCCCAGGGTTTTAGATAGGTGTGTTAATAGTATAAAAATATTGGTGAGGTTACTAAATCAACTCTTCATATCCCCTACTAAACACGGCTAATATGTCTATTTCACCTCTTAATTAAACCGTAGGGACCTGCTAGTGCTTATCATACAAATCAATGTCACAGTGAACTCCTCAATTCCACAATCGGTGTGAAATTCAATAGTTACGAGCTTTTCTCCGTGAAATATAAAGGATATATTCTTAAGCGACCTTTTGGAGATTTGTAACAAGAAGAGGAGCGATGGCGGGGAACTCAGGGTAGAATAGATTGTGAAATAAGAGTCTTGCTTGCCTATAAATACCTCATTCAGTGCAAATTCAAATTTCCACACGATCAGCACTTGCGTGGCGTGAGTTATATCAGATATAAATACGTCGGCTCCATCACAACATCCACCTACCCATTCCATATCTTCCCTAAAAATCCTTAGCATTAACCAGCGATCTATATTGCATCTTAAAGCTTCAAGTGCGAAATTTCAGATGTATCAAGACCAGGATACGCTATAACAGGGTACATAAAGGCACAGATAACAGCGGCTCCCAAGATTGTAATGTGGAAACCAGATGTGATATCTCAACTATCTATTCGCTCGCCAGCAATTTTTCTAAATACTCTTTACATCACCCAAATAAACTAGATATGGTATCTCAACTTCAAACTCATACATCCTCGCCAGAAATGCCTATACCCACGCTTATACAAACGCCAGAAATCGAACCCAAAACTCCATGATCAATCCTCATGATCTTCACACCCAAACACCTCCACACTGGCGCACTCTACAGCCCCAAAGGCGGCACCTCATACATAAGATTATCCCAATTCCCCTCGCCCTCCCCGACGACCTCTTTAACCACCAGAAGCTGTCGCACCCCACAATACGCACCGCGGGTGGCCGTGCGGTTCGCCGTCACGTAGTGGCCTTTGGCATGCCAGTATGCGTCGTCCATGCGGGGTGTGCCTTTGATGGTGGCTCTCTTTGCATGTGCAGAGCGTGATGTTGGAGGGGGTGCCATACTTGAAACCCACACCTTGTCTTCAATTATTTCGCCCTCAATCTCCGTGCGTCTCGCGTTAAATACAGGCATTTTAGCAAGCCAGTTCGCGAGTCTCTGGATGGGTGAGAAAAGCCGCTCAACGCGGCGGGCGAAGTGGAGGCGTGATTGGGTGCCTGCATCATAGGAAACACGAACATGTGGGTTCATGTAGATACCCTTATCATATCCATTCAACTCATCCCATATCGCCGGACTCGTAGGAAATGAAGGTAACGCCATGATATCCGCATGAATCAGACAGCACTCCGAGGAATCCCAAAACGGTTCCGGCTCGCTCCTGAATTTCAGCGGGAGGTTTGGCGAGGAGATTTGCGGTTGGAGGTAACGCGCGTCGAATGCGGTGATGCCTCCCCAACAGGATTTCACACGTACGGCGTCTTTGCCGGCGAGTACGTCGTTGCGTGATATCGCATCGCCTTCGCCTGCGAACCAGGGGAAGATGGGCACGCCGATGCTGTAGCCCTCTGCGTCGCGCGTCGCAAAGGTATCGTACATTTTCCACCACCCGACGAAATCTGCTCCACAGGCTGCTTTGTACATTGCATTCCCGGTTTTCTCGTCTACATTCGTGCCCCAGATTAATCTTGTCGCATCTGCTGCATCAAAATATACATCGTTGATAAATAGCACTTTATCAAAGTCCCCAGCTTTCCCAGTTTGCAATGGAATAAGTGCTTTATTCCTGACTTCCGCAAGATACGCAATCCGCTTAACTCGTGATTCCCCCGTAGGGAGTTTCGTCCGCGGCAGACTAGCCATGTCTAAAGGGTTCTCCGACTCGGATACTAAAGCGTGTTCGCATTCTAACATGCCACCTAGCTGTTCCAGCGCCTGCGTCGGCCCGCCATAGATACTAACAAACACTCTTTCCTTCCCGATCAAATCGACGAGTTGCAGTAGACTGCGCCCCCATGCCCCGGTGATCAGATCTCCATCGATGATGTTCGCGGCGATGTAGACGCGTTCGTGCGCTGGGACTGTGAAGGGTGGAGGAGAGGTGTAGGAGGCGTTGAGGAGGAGCTGCCAGAGGAGGAAGATGGTGAGGAGAGGGAGGAGGTAGATAGGTCGGAGACAGAGACGACATGCTCGTCGGACGGTGCGTAGATAGCTGTTTCGAGGCCGACGGAGGGGTTTGTCTTTGAATTCGTCGGGGGAGAGGGAGTCGGTGGATGTTCGGGGGAGGATGTGGTATTGGGGGCTGCTTGAGGGCATTGCGAGGGAGGACGGGGTCCTCGAGGAGGATATCTAGATCATGAAGTATTTGTAGGTTGATAGGAAAACGATGACTTCTGGATGAAGAGGCGCATGGTAAGATTCTGCTCGAGGGGTGTGGTTGTCGTCCTTGGCTGCTGTTGAGGCGTTGGTGATCGGCGCAAGGATGTTTGTACGCGTACGAAGTACGAGGAGAGTGGAGTGCGGCGCAATATTCAGGGGTCAAAATATATCAAGGCCGGCGTCTTCTCTTGATATATCCATGATGGCACTTCATTTTCGAATTGATAGATCGAGATCTAGCAAACTCTTGAACGTTAATCGTTAAATTGCAATTAAATTTGCACGGTACAAAATCATACTATTCCCTCAAACTAAACACAGGGTCTAACTGACAGCTCCCCACCGTACTTGTCACGAGTCAGTCGCCGAGTCCCTAAACTAACCTCTAAGCTACACATCTAGCTGCCATTCTAGAATCCTTAGAAATTTTTAACCGCAAATAACTTCACATCCCCTTAACCTCCAAAGTAAAATCTCACAACACTAACACACAACCTCTCATGTCCAGTCCCGCATATCCAAATACCTACTGTTGAAGCTCTCTGCCTCCTCTCCATGCTAAGGGACTGTTCGTTCAAAAAAGTCGTTTCTAAGCCTTATCATCGTGTAGGTTACCTCTAGTAAACTTACTTCGGAGTAAAAGTAAAACTGTAGCGATTCGTTTAGATAGACTCTCTCTTTAAGGAAGATACACAAAGTCTACTGTTATAACAAAGGTCGAAAATATAACAAGAAGTATAAAATCCTAGTATTAGTAGCGGACGCAAAACTCGAGGTTAAAAAGAGAACTTAAGACCTGTTTTTTTGATTTTCTATACAAATCAAAACTGGAGTCAGAATTCCGTGAGTCTCCTAGTACTGAAGAATTGTCACCAAAAATTACGAGGGTGGCCAGCTGGAGTCCTATTTAACATAATTACTAATACAAAGAGTCCTGCCAATAACTCGAAGAAGCGCTCTGCAGTCTTGGGTAAACGGGCCCTAAGGATCGCGTCTCAGCAGATAATACTCGACACGCAAATCTTCTCTAGCATCTATAAAGAATGTTGTAGACTCCTGGATCGAGGGTTCAGGAGACGCACACTGTATTCTATACGCTCCGCTTGTCTGCTGGATTGAAGAAACTTCACATATGTATTAGTCGTATGGACTTAGATCCTCGATTTAACAATGGAAAATGCATCCATGTGATTTGATTTTGGTAATTCGATAGACTAGCTTATTTAAACGTAATTAAGATACTTTCCAAAACACCCCCTCCGGTACTCCAGTCCCAAGTTCCCAGCGTTGAAGAGTTAATTGCCCTCGCCATACCCCAACACACCTCTTGTTTAGCGTGACTACGAGAAAGGCTCATCCTAATAATAATCTCTATACGCGTCATAAACCTCCCGATACCTCAACTCCAAAACAAACTCCTCTTCACTTTGCACATGATTCCAAATCCCATCCCTCTCCACTCCCCTATCAACAAGCAGATCACGCATCGAATCCAGCCCCTCCTCCACCACCACCGCCATCGCCCTCCCTCCGATCTCAGGCCTATCGATAACCGCCCCATTTCCCCACAGGAGCTGCAACATCTCCACATCCTCTCGCTGGACAGCCAGGACAACCGGCGGCGTCGACCCGAGATTAACATCCGCACCGTGCTCTATCAACAGTCTTGCAATACCGAGATGACGGTGACGTACTGCAGCCATAAGCGGTGTATTAAACGGGTTATGGTTGGGATCCGCACCATGATCAAGCATGAGGCGTACCATATCCAGGTTCCCGACCTCGACGGCGCGAACGAGGGGGTGAAGTCGCCATTGTTGCCAGTATCCCCTCGGTGTGTTCGAACGTGCAGATCGCTCCTGGCAGTCTGTATGTATATTGTTGAGATATGGCGCCCCGCCATGATCGATGTGGTATTTCACCATAACCAGGTTATTTACCCCCGCACTGCGATCCAGTTGCAGAATCATACTATCCTTTCGACAACAGAGCTTGACGCGATAAAAGGACAACGCTTTCTTCTCTGGACTCAGTATCGCAATCAATCGCTCGTATATCTCTGGAGTGGGAGCCTGGATCAATGCATGTGGATATTCAAACTTCATCCAGTAAGAAGTTGGGTCGTCATCCCATGGAGCTCCGAGATCGAGGAGGAAGTTGATACGATCCGTGCTCGCGTGATCTCGTGAAGCCCTAACCACGTACTCCATGAAGACGGCTGGATCATAGATGCCCACATACTGGTCTTTTGTTTCAATTCCAAACTCTACTTTGTTGACTAGCTTGAACATTTCTACTCCCCCGTGGACCAGCGCAAGCCGATTTCGATCCATACCACTCTGAGCAGCAGCAGTATCGATGTGGGCGTGGGAGGTTTCAAGTCCACTATGATAGCCTTCCCATGGCTTTAATTGGTAAAATTTTCTCGCCAAGTCGATATCTCCGAGATAGATGGCTGCTTCGAGGAGTAGACGTTTTAGAGCTGCGTCTCCATCAGAAAGAGCAGAGTAATTGGGCGTAGAATCGATGTAGTTGGACGAGTCGTCAACAGATAGGCAGGGTGGGTACTGCGGCAGAAGGCGTTCGTAACAGCAGCAGTACTCCCAAAACCCAACTTGACACAGCGTGTCGATATAGTATCGCCTTGCCGTGTCACTTTTATCATTAAGCGTCTTACCTAGCCAGTCAGCCGCACGGTGAATGAGATGCTCAGGACATAGAGGGTGCAGATTAGGCTGGGTATAGATGCGGTGGGAAAGGTATCGTTTGAGAAACGTCAACCACGCAGAGTCTCGCCCGACAGGTCGTTGTGGGTTCGAGTATCTGAACGGATTACCTTTCTCTCGCATGGCATGCACTGATTCGTCAAGAAACCGTGTACGAAACATGTTCTCTTCGATAAGAGTTCTGAAATGCCCTATTAGCTGTTGTTAGTATGTAAGAACCAAGGGACGGATTATGACCTACGATTGACAAGTCTTAACCTGAGGGCTCCCTTGAGTGAACGTACACGGATAGAGAAGTGTATAATCTCTTCAAGCAGCTCGAGAGGAAGAGTAACGGGCTCTATCGTCTTCTCCATAGCGATGGAAACCCCTCTTTCTTCTTGGAAAAAAACACGACTCTTTTGTAGTGCCGATCGACGCAATATGTTCGGGCACACGGTAGAAGTAATGGATGATGTTGCAACTGATGGGAGAAGGTCCGAGGGAACTAGGGGATAAGGGGTGGCTATATATAGTCGTAAATTTCGTAGCGACAGCCTATAGGCAGTTGATACTCGTGTAGGACTTAGCCGGCAGAAGGATCAAACCAGCAACTCTCGGGGAGGGTGCCAGTACACCTGACGGTCAACTAACGGACTTACCGGTACCTAGCATCCATGATTTTGACGCCTGGTGTACTCCGTATGGATTTTGTGCAATAACTTCGTTAACTTACTCCGAACCTGATAACTGCATGGCACAGTAGTCCATCGTGATATGCTTGCGTTATGTGATAATGTTTAGAGAATAAGGAAGTCGAGGCTGGATGCTAGATAGTTGCGGCACGTGACTAGCTAGTCGAGATTAGGCTAGCCTCTCTGTTGGAAATCCACCCCTTTAAATTCATCCAATTCCATCCATTTAAAAAGAGGCAGCCATTATCTGTTATATGTTTCGTAACCGACGTCGAGACCGGATGTGGGAGATTGCGATGAACTTCGGATTCGAAGCAGAGAAGCGTTAAGGTGATCAGAAACTCAGAATCATACTTTCAACAACAGACATGGCTTGTACAGCATCTGTTCGGGTCTGTCCACGTAACCAACGATAAGTCTATAACCTTACGTCCAGGCTTAATTTAAGTAATATGGCCGGAACTCGTATTTGAAGAAAATTATTGCCGCCTTGCCAATGTAGTGTAGGTCACCGTCCAAAATTCCGTGTCCAATGTAGCCGTGCAATTTGTATACCACAATCGCTAGATACTATAGCGGACCTCTATTCGAACTCTCAGCAATCTTATAACAAGTGTTATAAAGCAGAGTGTTCACGGGCATGGCTGCCTAGCTTGTTACTCCTGTAGGCTGTGCCTCACACCGACTTGTTGGTTTTATAGCACAATCCTACCTAGCTACACCTAGCCTACCTACCTAATCTAGATACCACCTCCTTCCATCCCATCCCAACATCTACATCACCATTCCTTTCAACGTTGCAAGACTACATATATCACAAACAAGCATAACACTCACCACCCACACCCTCAAAACCCAACCCAATAATCTCTCCCCCTAAAACACAAAACACAATGCCACAAACCCCCCACCTCCCCCCCGAGCTCCTCGAGCACATAATTCATTTCTCGATCCGCGCAGGGTCACTCAAGGAAGCTCTGAGACTACGCCTCGTGAGTAGTACGTTACGCACCGGCCCTCCCCGTCGCTCCCCAAAAGCTAATCCTAGCAAGGAGATTTCAAAACGCTAGTAGAGCAGAACATGTTCCGGACGCGCTTCCTCGATGATTCCGTGAGGGCGTTGCGGGCGCAGGGTCCGGCGTTTGGGGAGCCTGATTTGGGGTTCTTGAAGAGATATCTGGCGTTTTGTGTTAATGCTGGGCATGAGGTGGTGTGTCCGGGACATTTGATCAATCGTGCGGCGGATTGGCTAACCAGACCACCTAACGACGACAGTCAAGAGACGAGACGGCGGCATGTCGATGCGCTCTGTCAGGTCGGGTTTTGGGAGATGTGTTGTGAGGAGCGGATTGTGGGGGATAAGTGTGTGGATGAGAATGGGAATAGGGTGATGACTGATGCTGAGATGGCCTTGTGTCATGTGCTGATGGAGATGGCGTTTTTTACTGGGGATTGGGAGGCGGTGAGGGGTCTTTAGGGGAGGGGTTTTGGGGGGGGGGAGGTGGTGTGAGTAGGAGTAACAAGCTCGATCTGCCAGGCAGCCAGGTGGGTTCAGGGTGTCTCTTATTACTTCATAATCCTAAAGAATACCTGGATGGTAGTAGTAAATCTCATTAATCAATTTCACCACCACCAATTCCTAAGAATGATAATCATACAAACACCAACCACCAATCCCCTATTCCTTCCCTATTCATCCACGCTGAATACCACGCTCACTACCTAACACCAGACTAACAATCTTCATCCTAGTCCCTCCCATTTTTCATCCCTATTCCCCATCACCGATGCCCCTGGTTCCCCACAATTATATACACATCCCCCCTATTCCTCTTCACAAAAAAGCATATAAAGCAGGCAGAACAACCACAGTAACAAGTACAGACGCGAGCAAAACCCTGCACGCAAAACGAACCAAAAATCAGCATGTAAAGGCGCAGCAGGGGAGGAATATCAATTAAAAGGACAAAAGGCTTAGAACAAGGATAGAGTGTGATATGAAAGCCTTACGCGTCGCGTCGTCCACCACATAGTCTCGTGATGAATCCTCCAATCCAATCAACAAAAACCACCCGCCAGAAGGCTTTGAGGAAGTTCCTAGACTTGACTTCCTTGTTGGAAGGCATGGAGTTGGGCGTAAGTGGTCGGTCCGCTGTGGGAGAGACGGCCTTTTGCTTCTTTCTAGATACTAGCTCCGAATTTCCTTCGTTCGTCGAAGTTGCACTGCTCTCTCCCTTGGTCAAAGTCTCAGCCGTATCAGCTTCTGAGGGTCGCAAGCTTGATCGAGGGGTAGCTTCCTGTAAAGTGATCGTTGGCCCTTGAATGTTGACGGAATCTTGTTGTCCATGGCCTAGCTGTCTCTCCCCACCGACAATAAATGGAGTGGCAACAGCTGGGGCGGTGTTTGGAAATAAACTGTTCCCAGCCTTCGGAGAGGCTTTACCAGGACTCTGGCGAGGAGAAACATGATCGATTTCTATTGTAGGTTGATCGGTTGTTGGACTTTGGTCTCCTCCTGAATCAGTCTGCGAGCCACCGAGAGTGAAATCCTTTATAGATCGGGAAGAGCCCTGCCTTCTCTCCATCAAGCTCGGACGCGATGACTCCGGTTTAGCCTCTGGTACAGAGTCGTCTGGGACACCATCACTGTTTATAGAAAGATGCTCTGGAGGGCTTTGGCTGGCGATAGGCATGTCTTTGTTATTCTCTGTGCTAAATGCATGACTTTTGTCTGTAGGAGAGATCGGTGAGCTTTCGCCGAGTAGCTCCTTACTGGGTGTTGTATCAATATCGGATTTCGATTTTTGCTCGCTTGGAAGTTCCTTCTTGTTTGCTGTAGTTTCCAGAGGATTAGGATTAGGCGTTGGTTTGGGAATTTTATGATGTATAACAGATTCAGAGGACGCATCATCAGTTATTGGCTTCTTGATCTCGTCCGCGGCTGAAGAAATGGGAGCCTCGGCCTTGCTAATTGAGCCATCCTGCCCCGATGCAGGCTCGCTGCTTGAACTCTTCCGCCCGATGCTATGCCCAGATTCTTCATTGAGATCTTGCATGGAACTAACACTTCTCAAGGCGCTGTTTCTGTGACGCCTTGTATTCAATGAGACATTGTCCAACTCTTGGTCTTCGCTGATGGCGTGAAGTGAGGGAGACGAGTTTCCAAGAAGTCTCGGCGACGGCATGTCTAATCTCTCAAAAGAACGACTACTAGCAATTGTACCTATTGCTGGAGATCCGGGAGAGCCAGGCAAGGTATTGTCTGGTGGTAATTGTCTCTCAAGTGTATGGATCTGCGCAAATACACCATCACGATCGGTCGGGAATCGAACTAGTGTAGGATCATTAAAGTTTGCCCTTAGATCGTGCGCCGGATTGATCAGAGTCGAAGGCGAGGAAAGTCTTCGGCTCTCCAAACTATCAGCGACTTTATCGGTAGGGCCAGGACACTCGTGCGGGAATAGTGGAACTCGATCCTCTTCTGGAGTTGGTGGATAATCAAATTCATCATCGTCATCAACGATATTCAAGTTTGGTGTATATTCGGTCTCGGTCTTCAAGGTGTCAGCGCGATATCAGATCGTGGTGTTGAATATGGACTTACAATTATGTTTTCATCTAATTTCGCGGCAACATCAGCTACTTCAGCTGCCGTACTTGCCACTTCTGGGATAGGAGTGTTTGACAACCTTCGATACCCAATTCGTCCGGCTTCCTCATCAGAAATCGGTGGGGTAGATTGTCCTCGGTCAAGGAAGGCCGCCGTCTCAGCAACCTCAGCAGCAACATTCGCTATATCTGGCGTTCGAGCTCCTTCCCGAGCCTCTGAGTCCTCTGCCTGCAGAGCGTCTATACGAGGTGTGTGCTTTGCTGCAAATGGCGATTGGACCGGTTCCTTCGTCGGTGGTGCCTCAGCTTCGGTATTGGTGGGTTGACGAATTTCAGGCACACTGTCCTCCGTAACATTTTTATCCAGGTTCTCCGACCCGTTGACAAGGTTATCTGCAACATTGCCTACCACTTTTGTATTCGTTTTCACTGGGGTTTGGGTATCTATATCCGTGGATTCTGAATCCTCGTTGGGTGACGATGGAATGTCGGTGTTCTTTTTGCCTTGCTGGAATTCGGCAGAACTCACGTAATCTGCAGGGACAGAAAGAAGGTTGTTTCTATTGCCAATATTGTCGGTCACTAGATGCAAACGACAGTTAGAATAATGCAACTCAATCCGAGATCACCGAATAAAAAACCATCCATCATCCGATGTGTTTCAAATCACTAAGTATCCATAGAAAGGAGCGTAACCTACCAGTTGGAGCTTCCTCGTTCAACACCCACCATTCACCCTCTCCCACCCGGAACTTGTATTGGTATTGTTTCCCTTCCTGAACCTCGACTTCCTTTGTAAACTCAAGTTCGCCATCCGCCTTCGTCTTATGTTCCATCTCCTGAGGATCCCATTCCGGATGTGAGAAGGAGCCTGCCAGATAGATTGGCGGCTGTGTGCCAGGTGTCGAGAACCTGATTGTCACCGTCGAGGTACGATCTGAGGTTGCCATGATGGCATCAGGATGTGCTTCTATTCGTCGATGGTATATTCGAAATGGGTGAGTCGCAATATGGATACACGACTGATCGAAGGGATTGCGGAAACGATAGATGAGAGAGCTTTAGTCTTCAGATATGTCAAGAGGTGGTATGGAGGAAGGAACGATGGTGAGGCTGGGCTGATGTTTGCGAGGCTAGGAATGGTAAGCTGATGCTAGTGAACATAGTAAACTACGATTGGAAATGCAAATAGAAACACATGTAAGGAGAGATGGAAATCAGGGTCTTGAAAGCGCAGATGAAGGTGTTTTATCCATACCCCGCGCATGTCATACGACCGGGCTAATAATCATGCAGCTTGCGTCAGATGCCATGGCCTGCATTTGACGATAACACATACAGATTTTGTGTTTGTTGGTAGGTAACTTTTGGAATTCACTTACATTGACGCAAACGAGAGGATCTCAATCCAACAAAAAGATTAACATGTGCTAGAGAGGCGAGACAGAAAAGTTGGCGGCGCCACGAACTTCGAAAGACCAGGACGACGCAGGGCTGACAAGGCTATGTCGAGATGCAGCTGTATCTGGAAAGGTGTATTGAACTGCTGGTTTGTAGATTGATGTTTTGACGATGTAATGGAAGACCTGGACGGGTGCGGAATAATACGACGTAGACAGCGATTCCTCAGCCGTTGAGCTCTTGTCTCATACAATACTTCATCATCTCGCCGCAGCGGAGTTCTTGGTCCAGACGTTGCGAGCTCCCCCACATGTATGCAGCCATATCCAAGGTTTGCTGTGTTGCGTGCATCGCATTTCCCTGGCATTCCAACTTTTGCATGCATGGCCGTTGATACGTTGACTCTGGATAAGCAAACGAGATAGCTGCACCCCGATACGAACCAATGATCTAATACAGCAGCAGCCATCAGATGATAAGACCACCCACTGAGATGCTATGGGCACCTTTCTCCGCCCAACAGTTAGCGATGACACCAGAGGTTCGGTATCCAACGACGTGGTATTATTCCACTGCTCTGGCAGACATTTTATACCGTCGAAAAACAATGGAGATCCCCCGATCACAGAGAAAATGATACAATGCAAAATGTCTCGAATTCTTCTAGAAAGCCGATGCAGGGTAATTTCAAGCTACTCCTAGTTTTGAGCTATGCGTTGGTTCGCGACTCGGGCCGCCGCCGATCAGCTCTGTGAGCAAGCTCGTTCTCGCCATGCTGTTCCCTCTCCCGCTTCGGTTCATTCCAGGAACAAAAGATGTACATACGGAGCCTCACTCCGAGCGTTTCAACATCAGCAAACAGTGGCGGCGGGTTTGAGTCGTCCAATCCCCAACCGAACGCTCAAACTCTATTTTGCTTCCTTCGACCGTTCCCTCCGAAGATGTGCAACAAAACATCATCTCTGTCCATTTAAGGCGTTGCGGTCGGAGCAATTTGTCCTGGTCGATTTGGTTGTTACCCAAGTAAAGATCCGTTCGTTGGTATCGTTCCATGGTGTGGGGCCATCTTGTTCGTGTTTTTGGGTAGATGGGAAAGCTGCCAGTTCTAACGAGGAATCCTAGGGTCCAGATGAGAATGGTAAGGTGTACAAGCTCCCAGTTCTTTTTTTACCCAGTCATGAGACTCCATCTCAAGCCAACCCGAAACACATATTTCCATCCTTCACAGAATCTTCGGATATGGACTTGCGTTCCGGAAATATTATATTATTTGTTCTTACAGATTCTGCAGGCGAATGGAATATTTATGGATGATGATTTTGTCCTCCTCGGCTCCAATCCGACCCCAACTCAGCAGGTCTTTGGGCGTCTCCCCTAATCACCGTTTCTGTGCCTCCAATCTCAACGAAGCTTTTGCGGCCTTCGCCCTCCATTTCAACTGTATTGTTCGGAGGAGTTTCGAATTTGTTATGTGGAACTATAGGCACTTGTGGTGGGCTTTGCGGAATATGCACAGGTTGAGCTATGATCTGTACTGGAGTTTTCTGTTCAGTCGACTGTGGAACCTGATATTGTGCAAACTGTGGCTGCAATTGGGTCTGCGAAGGCGCCATCAACGGCTGTACTTGGTGATTCTGCTGACTCTGCTGCGGCTTTAGAACTCGCTTTTTGGCTTTTGATTTACTGTGTCTCCACAGACAGAATATAACAGCCATGGAGATGAAACCAAGTACAAATATTGCGCCGATGACCACGCCGATAATCAGTCCAATGCTGACCCTCTTCGGCTTGGGCGTACTGCTGCTTGCCGCAGCTGAGGGACGGGTAGTAACGGTGGTTGTTGGATTAGTCCTTCTCGATGTTGTAAGTCCGGCACCTGCTGTCGCGGTAGCTGGGTAGAAAGCGGTCATGCTCGAAACTGATGCTGAAAGGACAGACAGAGCAACGTCTAGACAGGTCGAGATGGCCCAAGTCTGATAGTCGCTTATTTCAGTTGATGTACATGATTGCGCCAGGCAGGTTGTCAGGAAATTTTGCACATTTGTCGTTTCACTCGCGGGTCCGCATTGGCACAAGTTGTCGTCAGCTGCACATCCGGAAAGGTCAACGGCTCCATTGAAACAAGTTTGCTGATGTTCAGTTAGAAAACGAGAGGGGACACGGATATAGAAGATGCGAAAACGTACAGCACATGATGGCATCTGCGTCTGACCCAAGGTACCAAGGGGTAGCTCAATGACCAGCAGCAAGAAGAGCGGTAGCGAAGAATAAAAGCCCCTCATGTCTTCCAGCAAACGCAGCAACAAGATATAAAACGAATGTACGTTGCAGTAACACGAGCCAAAAAATACGGTCAGAAAAGAGGAACACTGAAAAAGACGACACAAATTGACGCGGTCACGAAAGGGATGGTAAAGTAACAATGTGCGAGTGACCTCGATACAAATGGCTGAAGTCCGAAGGCTTGCATATATTGTCCCGCTTTGACATGGGTAGCTGTCTCATACTTTCAGCTCTTTGGCTGGATAACGACCCAAAACCCGTGGAAAAGAACGGTTTTGGCGTATCAAGGTCCGAGGTTTATCTCCTCAAATCTTATGGGACAGGAAATGTCCGTAAATAGGTCGCGAATCTTCGTGAAGTCGCAGGAAAAGATTTGCCAAGAGGATTGAAAAGTCGAGCGTTTGCTGTGGGCACCTTTCTCGCTGAACCTTCACCGAAGCGACGATGGCTTGTTTGAAGGTAAGACTTCATTGTATCGTTATGGAATTAAGCAGGTAAGTGGCTGCAACCGCTTGTATCTTGAGAATGCCCCTCCGGAGTTTGGAATTCTTTAACATGCCATCTTCGCCAGGCGCATTTCACAACCGCTGGGGGCTGTCCAAGGCTTCACACAGCTATATTTGTAATGAATGAAGACTACAGCAGTACTGACGACAGCGGCCTTTGACTGTTACAAGGTCTCGAGTCGAACCTCTTGATGAAGCAGGATGTATAGACTTTCATTGAGCATGATGGAGGAAATTTGAAGTCAAAATAGGTGTGGCTAGTGTCATGAGCAAGCCATGCGTTCAGACCATCGGCCCGATGTCAGGGCCGGATCTGGTCCATTGACGAAAAGTAGCCCTTCCTTTCTACACACCTTCATGCTTCATCTATGGATGTTTTGACACAGAAAAACGAATTCGCATTAGAGTGCCTTCGTACACAATGTTTATCAACTTCTTGGGCCAGACGGTTAATTATGAGAATATCACGGTCCGGCTCCTGCCTAGGATCTCAATTGACCCATTGGGGGGAACATGACTGAGGTGATCAATGTCACAATTTACACACTATTGAGGCTTTGCTAGATATCACTTATTCATACGAGGGCTGGTGGGCTTTTTCAGAGAACAGAAGTCATCCGGCAGAATGGAAATCATTCATAACTCATTTTCATTGACGATCGTAAAGAGTAAGGTAAGCCGTAAACTCTACACTTCAGCACCCTATGATTCCTCTATCTGACCACTTCTAGATCCTCCTCCTCGCTCAGAGTCCCCACAGTCTTAGATAATCCCAATTCAGTGGTCTGGACCATTTACGTAGCCAAGTTGGCGTTGATCCAGGTGACGTAGTTACCGAGTCTAGTGTAGACTCCTGGGAATCCAGCCTCAGCGCATCCTTGACCCCAAGAAACAACACCGATCAAGACACCAGTGCTGGTGTTGATGATTGGACCACCACTGTCACCTGAGCACGAATCCTTTCCTCCCGCAGCCAGACCAGCACAGAACATGTTGGTTGTGACGGAAGAGGTACCGTAGCTAGCCTGGCAAGATGATCGGGAGATCACTGGCACTGAAACGTATCTCAAAGAGGCTGGAAGAGAGTTCGAGTTCTCGCTTGTTGTACCCCCTATTGTATATCAAGTCAGTATTGAGTCAGTCGCAAAATGGATGACTATGCTTACATCCAGCGGTAGTTGTAGAAGTACCAGCAGCTGGGTCTGAACCTTGGGCTGGAAGAGTGGCATATTTGATGGTGCTGCTTGTTGGAAGGGCAGTTGCCAACTTCCAAACGGCAACATCGTTGTTGATGGTGGAGGAGCTGTAAGATGGGTTGACGACGATGGATGAAACACTAACTAAAGTACCACCAGAGGCCCAAGTCTAGAAAGATGGTCAGTGTGAAAATAGATCATAAGGCGAATAGTGACTTACGAGAGTTCCGGCGCGGACTTTGACAGAGGAAGCAGACTGTCCCACCGAGCAGTGGGCGGCGGTCACCACGGTCTTGCTATTGATGAGAACACCACCACAGAAGTGAGATCCACTCTTTTGCAAGCTGACGATGTAGGGAAATTGGCCAGAGGAAGCGGCAGATCCACCAACGATTTGGCTGGCACCACCTACACTGGTGCTTGGTGGAATTGGGACTGGGTCGCGTTCAAAGATTGGCTTTGGGTTAGGAGAGAAGACCTCAGTTGGCGCAGCATTGAGAGCTGGCAACATGGCGAGCATAGTTGCCAAAAATGCAAGTGTTGGCGCCATCTTGAAAGCTGGTCGGGTCAAGAACTGGAGTCTGAGAATGGAGGAGAACGAAGTGAGTGAGTGAGGAGATGTTCAGAGATACTTCGCTGATGACTTTACGTAGGTGGAATACTCCTCGACTTATATACAACTTCTGGCACTATTCATAGGAAGTGTACCTGCTAGTCAGTCCTTGGCATTCTGTTCTATCAGGCATATCCAGCGAAGCTTGAGGAAACAAGTTCGCCAATCTCCTTCCTATTGCGCGATGTCAAGATAGAACAACTGATTTGCTCAAAAGTATAAGCTCCAAACGGTATCCAAAAGTAGAAGGCGAATACTAGGAAAGCACCACTCCTCCTACTTCCAGACGTGCATAACGGGAGGCGACTGGACGTTGATGGACTTGGAGCACCACCATCTCCAGAGCTAACTAAAATGACACTGCGTCCGGCGGTTAAAGATCTTTAGCATGTATGGTTATCTCGGCATGACTGGCTATTCGCCGTCTCTGGGGTATTTCGCTACCCTGAGGCGAAAGTCGCCTATGACATCCAGGACGTCGCTCATTGATATTAAGCATGCAAGGCATATGAACACTAGTTCCCCAAGTCGTCTAAAAGAATATCTGTACGACAGCAGCTTTCAGTTATCTTGCAACGCAATGTCGCACTGAAATAACAACAGCGATGTCTTCTGGTCTGGATTTCGCATGTTTTCCTGCCCACAATTGAGATATATCACGATCTATGGTCGGGCGGCCCCGCCTTGATCAACTACCGGCCTTCCCTACTCGTAAGGCGGTGCCGGATTACAGGTCTTGGTATTCTGCATCTCACAACATGTATGGATATCTGATCTCTTGGCAATGTGAATCCGGCGACATAATTACGTTATTCGTCAACGGCAGTTTGGCGGCTCCGTGGCTGCAAATACAAGGAATGTACCTCCAACTTTATGCGGTCCTGAGAATCACCTTCTCTATTTAGGACTCGATACCGTGCTACATCGATAACGAGGAGATCAAATTCCTGCAGGAGGACGTGGTGGCATCTGATGCTGGCCGGATACAGGCACCCAAAGGATTGTAACTAGTAAGTCTCGCAGCCTCGAATGGAAAGACCAAGGTAAAACCCAGTGTCGATTATCTCAAAGGTATTCAAAGCGGGTTGGTTTTTGACCAAGAATAACTAAAATATCACTACAACTTCATGGGTGTCTATTAGCATATAGTGTGTATGCGGGAGCAAGAAAGTAAGCTCAGATTGATGAAGGCTTAATGGTCTTGGCGCATACAGATGGTGGCGATCGTGGGTTTATCACTGATTAGGTGCTCAATAGACACAAGGATCCTGGGGAACCCCACAACTTCCAACCTCGGCGGGAACGCGACTCTGAGATATGCCTGCATCTTCACAACACTGATTCCACGCAACCCACGCACAACCGCCATGATAATGCGAAGAACTTCTAGAAGAATGGCAATCCTTCCTTTTTCGAGCTTCTGCCTCCTGCAGATCATACATTTGCTCCGGGACAGCGAGGTCGCGGCACAGTTGTTTGTCGAATCAGAGGACATATCACGACATGGTTGAGTCTGTGCCAGATCAGCTGGATGGTGTGACCTCGAATCATCGACTTTGGGCTTCCCCATTCAACAACAGCTCACAATGATACTCGCGGAAGGAAGGACTTGGCAATACTTTCTTGCTCTGATACCCTCTGGTACCTCCATTCATTGGCCGCTTGTCTACCTAGTTCGAAATCATTACAAGCATCAATGACATGTGAGACCATAGCTAGCACTTGGGTATGTGGTTCAGGTCAATAACTTTTGCAGATTTCTTATCTTCTAACTATTTTCTAAGCAAAGGTGCTCTTGGACAAAACAAGTGGACACAAGGTGCAGATGGCTACAACAAAGAAGGCAATAACCATATTCGTGGGGGCTATTCTCCACGCAGAGGGCAGCCAGCTGTAATCTTTCCGCTCTTTCGACACCCGGTGAGATCGCACAGCCTCTGAGCCTTTGCGTTGGACCTCCAATGTTTTCAGAACACTCTTCCATCCGTCGGCGGCTCGGCGAGCGTGTTGAAATGGTACGCTTGGATCAGGGTCGAAGAGTGAAGTTGAGTAAACTTCGCAAGATACCCATCCAGTGTACTTCAACTCATTGAATATGACATGACATATCTGGTCAACCGGTCCCTTTAGAAAACAGTTGCCTTTTGGATCATCAGCAAAGAGCCGCGCATTACGACTCCATGTCATTCGAGGATCTTGACCATCGACATGTAACGGGTGGTCCTTTGTAATCGGCGATGATAGTCTTTCCGCATCGCCCGTTTGTACCAAGAAGAGCTTTTCGGGCCTCTTTCCAATATAGGACGACATCCTGCTGAGAGATTTCTTGAGCTCCAAGTCTCCGCCATCTAACCGACCAGAAGGCGTAGTCGGATCCGCCCAGATCCTGCCTGCAATTTGGAAGGTGTCTAGACAAATTCCAAAGTTGGGTCGGTTCACACGCAAGACAACCTCCCAAGCTTGCTCCCAGGTGTCTACAAATCTCCCCCATGCCATAGCTTCATACACGAGGCGCACCGGTGGTTTCTGTGCCAATCCCAAGTCAGCAATCTCGGTCATATCAGCAACAATGGCCTCAATGTCGCCCGTTATGCCCTCGGCTTGGAAGTTCGTTGGCACATGTATGAGGTCTGTGCCCAAGATTGCAATCAGGTCGAACCATAGTCGCAATTTTGCGAGTTGCGCAGCGTGGGCTTGACGATCAATTAGACCTACACAAGCGAAGTGTCAGTCGGCTATTACGCTTCTACGTTGAGAGGCGTATGTAATTGAGAGAAACGTTTCCTACCACCAAAGAATAGAAGAGGCTGAAGATCTATGATTTCAAGCTTGCGAGCGTCACAAATTGCTCGGATCTGATGAGCCGCACCAATTCGATTCTCATTGTTGAGGCCGCCTGGAAGTGCAGCTGCAATTGTCTCCAGATCTTCGATGAAGAGTTCAATTCCACGGAAACCGCTCGCTTGAAGGGCGTCGCATTTGTGCTCGAATGAGTGGACTGATGCACGTCCAACTGATAGCGAAAGAATTCCAAGATTGAGAGACATGATTACAATTGGTGGTACCACTTGTCGACTAACAGCCGAAATCTGGTGTTTATTCGAGGACTTGAGAAAGAAGTAAACTGGACACTCGTATCGAGTTGATAAACATTTGCGTGGATGGACTTTATGTTACCTCGATCCGACCCCTTTCCTTCCTTGTCGCCATGTGCAACACGCAACCTACACGCAATATATTACAGCAATGAGATTTCCAGTCTCGATGCAGCGAATAGGCTTCTCTATTCGCGACAAAAGCTTGTTCGAAAGTCGTACTCGGGGCTGGGCCGGGTACACTGCAGAAAGCCATCTCCAATTGTTAGGTTGGAGGACGGGCTTCATTTCTCGCCAAGATATGATTGACGGGCCTGTACGGCTCATTCAACTAATATTGCTCTCGTTGTGGCCGGCGTGGCACGATCATCACTTCTTTAGCATGATCTGAGAACAAGTATTGACTATCACATCAAATTTCAAGCTCAAAGTTTCACTTTAATGTGCAGTATATTCAACCCTGTCTATTCTAACATGTACGAACTTGTTAAATTACTTTACACGACATAACACACTCTTTACGATACGCCAGCCCCCTCGTCCCAGGATCGACTTCTACTCCGATGTTTCTACGCTTTCTGTTACATCTTCTTCGCCACCCATTTTTCGATGCTTGAAATTTGCTATCGTCTCGGGTAGAACAAGAAGACTAGTCAAGAAGCTGAGGATACCTTTGGTTGACGTCAGGAATCAATTGAGTCAAAGTTCGGGGATCGAGGCTTACCCAGGGTCAGAGTCATAACATTCCACGAAAATTTGGAGATCACTAAGCCGGCTGGTAATGTTAGCGTCACAGGTATTTATCATCACAAAGTTGTGACTTACCAAATATCGGGCCTATGAAAGCTCCTCCAGCATATGCTATATCGAACAAGGCGTACTTCGGGTTGTCAGAAATTGTCAAAAATGGTCAGCATTGATACAGCACTCACAGCTTGTGCAAATGCACCATATTGGCCGAATCGCCCTGGACTTTCCTCTTCCAGTTCCTCTACCGCTGCAAATACCTCTGTCAGGACTGGAGTCATAATCATACACATCGCAATCCCAATCATTACTAAAAGTATAATGAGAACAATTTTGCTCTCGGTGTCGTTGTGGTCTGAGAGTCTTAGAAGTATTGCTGCAGTTCCACATACGAGATAACCGGAGAGGGCGATGATCGCATTACCAAAGCGTCCGCAGAAATATCCTGTGAACCTCAATTAGTTCTGTAAAGAAATGCTAAAGATTCTCAGAAAGAACGCCAATTTTTGTACTTACCAATCAAAGGCGCGAGAACGGATGGAATCATAAGAGTCATGAACATGAGCCCGGACTGCCCAGAACCGTAGCCAAATATTGCCTTCAGCCTAATTGGCAGTGTCGCCTCTATTGAAGCCACCAGCAGTGCCTGGACAAAGGCACAGACTAGACTTATCATAAGCCTCCTTGAGGTCACCAGTATGTCGTATGCAGAATCTCGCTTGTGTTCGATTGTGTGTTCGCGATTCCCTTCACCGAAGTCAGTCATTGGCAAACATCCCAATTTTTGTGTGGTTCTTTACCTTCAAGCAAGGGTCTTCGCGCGCCCTCTTCGTCGGCGTCATTTTGCAACGCGAGCAACTGTCTTGCTTCTCGCTTCTCGATGATTAAAAGCCGATAGACTAAGTCTACCACCAGCAGCCCAGAAGCTATGGCAAACACCGCATGGTAACCAGCAGAAGCATACAGCAGACCACCAACAACTGGCCCAGCCATAAAACCGCAGCTGAACGCAATGTTTACCCAACCCATAATCTCAGCCACATGGTCGCCTCCAACTGTATCCGTAAGCAAGGCAAGCCCGACGCTCCAAACAGCCGCTGAAGCCACGCCTTGAACAAATCGTGCTATACAAAGTGTGGCCACATTTTGGGCTAGCCACATGGCCACAGTGGATAATAGGAGCAATCCGAGGCCGCCTAACAGAGAGGATCTCCGCTCTTTGGAATTGTCTGTTATCTGTCAGCTTTTACTTCCGGGACTTGCTCTTGAGGAACATATTAAGGCCGGCATTTGTACCCGCAATCCAGCCGAATAAAACTTGTCGCCGTTAGCCAGCTTTTAAACCTTGAGAAGCTTCTAGGAATGCTTACAGCATCCTCCTATTACTCCTGCGCCCATCAATCCTATGAGAATGGAAGTGAAAATCTGGACTGCGCCGTAAATATGTTAGAATCATCTCGTTGGCATAACTCCATCGATTGCTTACTATGGTTATCCGCCACGAATCCACGTTCTTGCAAGAGCGTCGGAAAAACAGGTATCAATAAGCTGGTTTTCGAATATGCGATTAGTCGAGTCCTTAACGCGACAGAGCAGTAGCGTACCCATAAAGAAATGTATCCTGCAGAGAAATGAGTTCATCAGCTAAGTTCATATTCTCCACGCTGTTTGATTCTACTCACAGTGAAAATCGCAACAGCTACCGACAGAACTATAAAAACTGGGTGCGAACGAATGGGAAATAGAAACGGCAGTGTATTGCGTTTCCCCATTTTGAAATTTACACGAAAAAGATGATGAAGATCTGGTTCTGGCTTTTACTGAGAAGAGAAGTAACAAAATGTCTACAAGTCGAAAGTACGTGCTGTTGCTTAGGAGACCCAAAGAAAGACATCAGTCAGGATCTTTTTCTTCAGCACATCTTACGGGGGCAAACTGCTCGGTACACGGGTGTCTGCGAGCCTACCAGCAGCTCAACATGCGTCGTATGCAAGTGCCTTCACTGCTGGGACCAATTGAAAACAGGTTTTCGGGATCTACGGCCTCGAGAGACGATCCATTTTAGAATGAAGTAGCAAGCCGAGGAAAGTTCCGAATTTCGAGGTCGGTGCTATCCGACGTTCTGGTCTCAGGTTCCACCACTGCAGATATTCAATTGTTTCTCATGTATTGCGCAATGCCGTGCCACCAAGCATGCAAAGGGGTATGCGAGGGAGCTGGCCGATTCAGCTAGCACCCGTATGTTCTCGGCTGTGTGCAGGATCATCTCATCACCAAAGATGAACAGATGTGTGACTTACACCTTGCCGGAGCACATATACAAGAGTGGCCCGTACCGCTTCGAGTCGTTCAGGGCAGCCTCAATTTCCCGAGCCTGCTATCAGGCCACTGATTGGCGTAGTAAAGTGTTACATCTTTTCTCGAGTTCGCCAATCGGGTCTCGTACTGAAACACGAGCTCAATACTTTGTGCAGAGAGTAGTACGATCCGCAAAAGCTCTATGAAATGTTTCAATCATTGATGATTGCCAAGGAAAGGTTGAAGTGGGGCGATTTGCAAGTGCGACATCGTATCACTGCAGTTTGATTAAGTGCCAGTATGTCGGGATTTCATTAAGTAATGATCTCTTCTCGTATCACGCAGCTCCCAGCTATGATGCCTTCATTTGCTTGGGGAAGAGATTTATTGCTGTACAAATTCGGCAAGCCCTGGCTTTCTCGTACCTTTTGTGGCAATCCATCGAAAACAATTTGAAGCTGGGATATTGCAATCTTTCCGAGGGCTGACTGGAAGAAGAAAGCATGTTATTGAAGGGCTTGTCACGAAGCTTTGTCAGCAAGTCACGCATTGTGAAAGTAAACATGAGTATATTATAATGTCAGGAGCTACAGACTGTATGTCTCAAAGATCTTCAGCGTCGTTCTTCTAGCCCAAAATATTACATTCTTCTCTCTTTAGTCAATCAACATTCATATGTCAAAATTTCACACACCATGACGGAATCACATTCTTTTGTTCACGAGTTGCTCATTTCTGTATATCAACGATTAAGTTCTGCTGTTGCTTCGATTCTTCGACGTTACAAACGCTCGAAACGAAGTTCAAATTCTAAAAAACACTCACTCCCTAAAGAGACCTTAAGCGAGCATGTATCAGTCACCAAATCAACACTAGGCACCCGCATGTCTGATCTCGAACAACTAGCTGAAGAGGCTGGCGTGGATCTTTCGACGGTCTGGCAGGCGGCATTGGCAGCGACTCTTCACTTCTATAACCCATCTGAAGCTTTGAGCTTCGCATTTAATGACGGCAGCAATGCATCGTCCGCAGGTTCGGACAATGAAGCTAGTATCTGCAGTCTTCGCGTAGAGCCAGCTGAGACTACTATCGAGCTTTTGCAGAGACTATACGATAGTGCTGAGAGCACTGAGACGGAAGATAATGCGTCTCCCACTCCTCAGATCAGCTGGAAACGTGTTGGTGATGCTGACGCACCAGCATGTAAAGCTGGGATCCAAATTCACAATCGTGGTACCATACAGGGCAATTCTATCGGGAATCAAAAGGTACTTCCAGTCAATCTTATTTTTCATGAGGATTCTCGCTTATTTCTTACTTTAGGTTGACGTTTTGTTCAAAATAACTACGACAAAAAGCGGAAATATCAGAGCAAAACTACAGTACTCGCAAGAGAAGGTGCCGGAAAGTTTAGCTTTGAGTATGCTTAACACATTTGACCTCGTTCTCAAAAGTATGCGCAAGGCCCCTTTGATATCAATCGAAGAATTCAATGTCTGTTCGCCACACGACCGCAAAATCATTCAAAAGTTCACGGCTTCTGTGTCTGAACCAGAAACAAGATGTATCCACGAGATCATCATCGAACGGTGTAAAGCAACCCCAAATGCGATTGCTATCACATCTTCTCACGAGGATAACATGACTTATGGGGAACTCGATCATCTCACATCACAACTCGCGCATAGACTCATCGCACTGGGCGTCAAACCAGAAACTTTCGTGCTCAGCTGTTTCGAGAAGTCAATTTGGGCTATCATTGCTCGCCTAGCTATCCTGCGGGCAGGAGGTGCTTATATCATGGTCGATGCAAAGAACCCGCCGAATTACCTAGACTCTATCACTCGAAGAGCTGATGTGAGGATCATGCTGACCTCGCCAAAATTCAAAGACCAATTCATTGATCTGGTACCTACCGTTCTTGAGATTTCGAGGAACACTCTTCAAGCTCTTCCATTCAATTCTTTACCACCCGTGGTAAAAGTCAACGCCCAAAACGCATGTCTCATTCTCTTTACTTCGGGTAGCACTGGACATCCAAAAGGAATAGTACAAACCCATCAGTCGTACGCAACTGCCATCCGAGACTACGCTCGAATGCTCAACCTGGGACCACACAGTCGTATGTTGCAATTCGACGATTACACCTTCGACATCAGCAACAACGACTACTTCGCACCCCTCATGACCGGCGGCACCTGTTGCGTTCCTCGCCCATGCAGCACTATCCCCCAACTCGTCCGCGAAATCAACGAAACAAACGCAACCTCCACCTTCCTCACCCCCACCGTCGCCATCCAACTCCCACCCTCCCTCGTCCCCTCCATGAAACTCCTCTGCGTCGGCGGCGAAGCCATGTCCGCCGACCTCCTCAAGAAATGGTCTCCTCACGCCAAAGTCATAAACCAATACGGCATGGGCGAAGTCGCCACCTTCTGCGCCTACGATGACCATCCGTCGCCATTATCCGCTTCCTCAATCGGCAAGCCAGGCTGCAACACCATCTGGCTCGTCTCGCTCTCCTCCCCCGAACGTCTCACCCCCGTCGGCGCCGTCGGCGAAGTCCTCATCGAAGGCCCCAACCTCGGACGCGGCTACCTCGACCCCCTAATCCGCACCACCGGCGCGCGCTTCCTCCCCACCACGCCCTCCTGGTTCGAATCCATCCATCCAGACCGCAAACCCTCGCAATTCTACCTCTCCGGCGACCTCGCCCGGTACACCCCCTCGGGGACCCTCGAGTTCGTAGGCCGCAAAGACCTCATGCTCAAACTCGACGGGTGCCGCATCGACGCCGTAGAAGTCGAACACTGCGCGCGCGCCAGCTTACACGCGAAAGACGCCATCGTCGTCGACCTGCTCGGCGCCGTTGAAGAAGACTCGTCGCCCGTGCTCACCGCGTACCTGTATCTCCACGACCATCCCTTTGCCGCGGCGGCCGCCGCCGACTCGACGGGCTTTCTCCCGTCTGAGAAGTGTGCGGTTGCGACGAAGAAGGTTGAGGGTGTGGAGAGGGCGCTGCGCGGGATTCTGCCGGGCCATATGGTGCCGGCGAGGTGGGTGGTTGTTAGTCGGGTGCCGAGGACGGGGAGTCGGAAGACGGATCGGAAGATGTTGAGGGGGGAGGCTGAAGGGTGGTGGAGGGCTCAGAGGGGGTGAGGTTGGGGGTGTAGATATGGTGGGGGGGGGTGGAAAAGTTTTGAGTTTTGTTTTGTAAGAGGAGGAGGATTTCCTTTGTTAAAGGTTGTTTTAGGTTAATATAATTTTGTTTTAATATCTAGTAGCTTAAGGATCGAAGTGTCAAGAAGCTAGTTACTCTCTCTCAAAAAGTCATTTCGAAAAACTATTCGTTACTTGCTCAGAGGTGACCTGTATATAGTGCCGTGTAGTGAAGGTCTAGCTTAAAACTTAAGTTCGCGAAAATATATATTTTAAGTAAAGTAATATCCCTCGATATAGTACTAAAACGCGACCTTTTCCCTTAGTAGAAATATTATAAGATTATTAAGTAGATTTAGAGCTTTTATAATCTTGTAAAATAATTAAATAAAAGTTATTTATCGTCGAGAAATACGAGAAAAGGGACGATTTTCTTTAAGAAAAGAAAAGTTCTTTCGGTCTTAAAGTTTTCTCGCTTAAGGCTCTTCGGCTATACTTTTAAGGCGAAAAAGTAAAAACCCTACTATCGAACGACTTACTTAAAAATCCGACTTCTACTCTCTACTTTAAAGTTTAAAAGCTATAATTAATTAGTAAAATATATATTAAAGACGTATTTTTACTCTAGTAATTCTCTAAAGGGCTAAAGAGCGAAAAATATAGCTAATCTATAGTATTTAAGATAAGTTAAAATATATGTTTTCGCGAACTTAAGTTTTGAGCCAGACCTTTACTATATAGCACTATACCTATAGGCTAGGACGAGTAGCGGTGTCACTATCTCGCGGGGTAAAAACCCGCAAAAGTCTTTCGTTTCATTTCCCCCTTTAAGTTTATTTACCTTCCATCATCCCCTCCCAACAAATCCTCCCATCTAACATCTCAGATAGTAAATGAACAAATCAGCAGCTCTCCCCCAAACTACTTTCTCCCACATAATATTCGCTAGCCAGAACATCTCCCATCAGGTGATAGAATCCGCCCTTCCGCATCGCGTCATAGTCTAGGTCGTTTGCCATCGTCGTCCCATTCTGTATCAATCCCCTATGCTGATATAACACTTCAAGATGACATCTCAAACTTACAAGCGCCTGGCATAAGCCAAAATAAGGGAGGCGGGCGCCTCTGTCCTAGGAACAGTGCGTGCAAATACGGTCACAAAATGTACGACGATCTCACTGCTGTATCGGTAAATTTGGTTTATACCTACAAATCACCAGCTATAAAGGGAATACGCTCTAGTGCGTAGGTTGGTCTCTGTGCGTGGACTTTACGCGTTCAACAAAAGGGTCATATCCCCCCACGGGAGCCATCAAGGATGGATCCAATCGAAAGGCAATAGCAAATCTTTACCTAAACTGCGCCATCAACCAAGGAATCAGAGAGAAACAGGGTTGTCAATTTGTCAAATCATGTTGCCATCTCACAGTAACAATGCAGGTGAAAGTAACAGAGGCGTAAAATAAAGGAGCTCCATCCGATTCATTCTCAATTAGACTAATGATTCACCGAACTATTTTTAAAAGGGAACTACCTAAGCAATCGCTCCTGATCAGTCCCTTCCATTCCCATTTCATTCCCCACAAACCCACGCTAAAATTCAGACAGACCACAAAAAGCAAAAGCTGAATACAATCCTGCCCCACCTGAGATGGAGAGATATCATCTTCGCCAGAAGTTCAAGACCTCCGACTAACATTATCCCACCTCAATGAGAATATCAATACACTTCCCTTTGCATCACCGTGCTCGTAAATTATCTCACCCATTGAGTTTAAATTTACAATTCCTCCTTGATCTTGTCACCAGCCTTTTGGGCAGCCTCTCCAGCTCTGTTAGAAGCATAAGTGGCACCCTCCTTGGCGGCATCAGCAGCCTTTTGGCCTTGATATTGAGCTTCACTGTTGGCCTTTGAGGCACCAATGCTCAGCTGGCTCATGACCCATGAGGCAGCATTAGAAAGCTTAGCATAAAGGGTTCCTGAAGGAGTGGTGGAACCATATTGGAACCAGTTACGTTGGTTACGGGCATAGGCGATGAGCTGGTTCTTGGTAGACCCCTGGGGAACGTTGAATCCGTAACTATCAAGGTAGTTCTTGAGCTCAGACTCAGTCCAGGTGTCGAAAACAGAGTCCTTGGCGGAATCGGTCTGCTTGGCGAGGTATGAGGTGACTGAGGCATATGCTGGGCCGCTCGACTTGGATGCAGATGCGTAAGAGTCCTGAGCAGCCGACATGAGTTGTTCACGGGTAGCACCTGCTTGGTTTCCGATCTTCTTGGCGGCCTTGTCACCGTTGGAAGCAAGGTAAGCCCTGAGAATAATTAGTCACATGTTCAAATATCGCAGGGAAGTTGCCTTACTTGAGGTTCTCGATAGTCCATGTGTCAAAGGTCCAGGCAGACCATCCAGTGGCAGCCTTGTGCTGGTTCAAACGGACAGCAGCGATGAGATCATCTTTCTTTCCGCTTTGTGGGACTGGTACACCTCGGGCATCCAAGAATGCCTTCAAGCGAGAATCGCTCCAGGTGGAGATACCAGAGTTGAAAAGATCAGAAGCCTTCAATGATGCACTGTCAGTTGCCTTGGCAAATTGGTTTGCTGCGCTAGATGTAGCGGCTCCAAAAGCGGAGGATGCTGAGTCGACGACATTGTCACCAGTGAGGCTTGCGCGGTGCTTGCGGGCAATAGCCAAAAGCTCATTGCGCTTGCTTCCTTGTGGAACGTTGATACCGTTCTTGTCGGCCCACTCCTTGATCTGAGAATCACTCCATGAATCGAGTAGCTTGTCAGAAAGAGTTTGGGAGGCAGCGGCAGCAGACTTGGAAGCTGAGGCTTGGGTGTCAGATGCCTTCAAGCTTGCAACACGAGCATTTCGGCGAATGGTGGCAATCATCTTGTCACGGGTTGTTGGCTGAGGAGCTGGAATACCATGGCTATCAAGCCACTCCTTGAGGTCTAGGAACGGTTAGCTTAGATGTCACTTCAAAAAGATTCAACGCGTACCAGACTCTGCCCATGTAGAGTATAGCCAGTTTCCTGGGTATGCGGTGGTTTCGCCAGCCTTTTGAGCGACCGTCTCATAGTTGTTTCGGAGAGCTGTAAGATAGGTATCACGCTTTCTTGGTTGAGGGACAGGGATGCCGTGTTTGTCGGCAAATGCCTTCAATTGGGAGTCTGATTGCTTGTTAGTGATCACGCTAACAACAGTGATGTCGTGTATATTTACCAGTCCAGCTATAAACCGTTAGTATTTGTTTTGAGCAAGAATTTGATTACTTTGGCTTACCTGTCAAAAATCCAGTCCTTGATACTAGTCCAAGCATCCTCGGACTTGTCCTCTGTCTCGTACCAAGCACCCTTTACTGAGCTGATCAAGCTATCCTTGTTTGCATTCGCAGCGTCCTTGGTTTGGATACCCTTTTGCTGTAAATAAGCGTTCAATTGATCCACACTCCAGTCGTTGTATGGTGTTGAAACTTTAGATTGCCAGTTATCCTTTACGCTGTTCTCGAGATCCTTTCGGTCTGCGGGAGTTGGATATGGGATGTCGTGATCCGACAACCATCTCTCAAGCTCGGTCTGATGCCATTTGTTGTAGACTATCGCATGTCAGTGAATGAATTCAGGCCATATGTTGGTATTGTTGAGGTTGGGTCTATGACGTTTGAGGTAATTGACCGCCTCTCACAACATTTACAACAACAGCTTCAAACAAGAGCTCGAGAGCCTGGGAAGCTTTCTGGAGCTGCCCGAAGCTTCAATACAAGTTCATGAAGCTATAAACAGTTCTCAGAAACGTAGAGAGATAGGTAACATACCAGCTTTGCTGAACCAGCTGCTAGCCAGAGTAGACTCTGCTGCAAGGCCGAGCAGTAAGGCCTGGGAAAAGAACTTCATGCTGAATAGAGTTCTCGTGTTTCGATTATCCTTTCAGTATGTAAATCTTCGATCTGTTTGATGGAAGAATGGATGATGGGCTTTGGGAAAATATGGAAGAACAGAAGAAATTGCGTCTCGAGCAAAGGGCGAACAAACGAGGCCAGGGTGCACCGCTTCGCTGGTGACGTAGATGTTGATTCCACGTTTTGCAGGCATCCAGAACGCGAAAGACGTTGGAGTATTTCGTGTGGCTGAGGTGTCTATTGGCTGCAAGTGATGCCACCGGAGATCTGGCCTTTCACAAAGAGGATTTGCTGCCAAACAGGGAATATATTGGCAAGATGATCGACCGATACACCAGTTGTGGCTTTGTTTACTTTCATGTGGCAGCGGCGATTGGAAAGTATGACGTTGTTGAAATGCCATGCGCCACATGCACGGACCATGAAGCACGAGATGACTTTAATTGGCAGAGACTTACTAGGTGGAGCATGATCTCCGTTGACCTTTCATTGGATTGGGTTTATGAAGATATACTTTTCACCATTTTATGTGGCGATAGCGGTTACTTTGAGATTTCAGTGTTTTAATCTATGTATAGACTTGAACGGCACAATTGAAGCTCTGTTACGAGTATTGCGATCACGTGATTCATAGAAGAAATGTATCATTGATCCTACGGAGTGCATGCGGGGTCATGACAACAGCGGATGCGACAACATGCAGATGAGAAGACGGTGAGTGAGTGCATTTTATACTATACTACAGGGGTGATAAATCCGCCAAGATTTCTGGTAGTTTCTATTACAAGCAGTGGCTCAGCCAATGAAGTCATTGGAATACAAGGTACGGCCAATGGGACATGAAGGTTACCGTCCCTGTAAAAATATCTTGGCGTAGCTAATACGCCGGCGACGAAGTAGCTTGCTTCATTCCGAGTCGGGGTCCGGCCTCCGCCTCTTACTTTCCAAGGTTGGCTGTTGCTGAAAACCTCAAGGCATGAGCCACCTTGACTTTGTCTTGGGATGAGTTGCTAATGGTCCATCTGTTACCCGTCAATTTCCCGAACTAAAGTGTTGACAACTACGCAGCTACCAGAAGCTCCCATTGAAGTTGAAGTTCTTTCAATTGATTGTCAGCGGGACTTGGAAGGAAATAAAGTAGGTTCTGAAGAAGCCCTCAAATACTTTGATTCAAGTCTATAAATTGGCTCTTCAATCAATTCCTCTTCAGCTGCTTCCTGCATACTCATCTGCTCCACTTTCGAAACTTCCCCAAATTGCACCAGTGAACCAAATCAAGTATCTTCTTCGACTTAAGACAGTACTATTCTGAAAACGTATGAAGCTATTGATACTGAAGCAAGAAGCAAGCGGTGTAGTTCATGTACTTAAAGTAGTGCGGTGTCACTGGTTCAGGGTCTTACTAGTAGTAGTGTTGGGGTAAAGTTGGAAGTCTGTGAGTTTCTGCGCTAGCATGAACTGCCACGGTGTACTTGGAGTTGCACGGTGACAGTTACAGCCATTAGTCCTTTACTTAGGAAGTTGACGGCTTTCACCCAGCTGCGGAATAGAGAAATCCAGTTACATGTTCAACACCTGGACAAGCTCCCGTTGCCTTAGGCTCGAAATCACGCATCCGATTCGACTCATCGACCGCATCTCGAATCTTCCCGGTCCGGTTTGACAGCAAAAATAGTGAGGTCACCAGCCACATCCGACCCACCATCCCCTCTCCAAAAGCGGGGAACATGTGGCGCAGCTCGCAAGAGGCTCGACAAATCCTCCCCCCAGCGCAGGCTTGGCGAAAATATGCAACCAGGAAATGATGTCAGGCCCCCAGTCTTCCCATCCTCTTCGGCAAGCAGAGACAGATGACACGCGGAGAATTTGACGTCTCGTGTGAAGAATATATCCAATTGAAGTGCCGGAGCTATATTAATTCACCTGCTGTCAAACCAGCAACCCTGGATTTAGACGCGATCTGCGGGGGTGTGCCTGACATTGGCGGGGCTGTAGGGAAAGGTATGACGAAGATTCATTCTCAAGTTGGATGTCTTTGTGTTTGAAAATTGCCTTCCAAGCGAATGAATGGGAGGGAAAAGCGGCATTTGATTGTAAGACTGTTCCAGATGTTGCAGCAATGGGAATGCCTTGATATTGCGTTTGATCAGTGCCGCTTTCCCGTCGGTTTTACTATCATGGATTAATGCCAATGAGATTGAGATCTTGGTCTGTACGGATATGGATGGATACGTGAATACAAAGGATTAAAACAGGTTTCGTAGGAGGGCTCAGTAAGCTGGGATTGAGTATATAAGTTCCAGTCTCGACCCCCAAGAACGATATTCTCATCTGCACAAACACAAACGAGCAACTCAACAAACTGCAACCAATATCCAAACTCAATCAACACCAATCTCAATAAATCTTCATAAACAACCATCATCATGTCTGGAATCGTCAACAAGATCAAGGATGTTCTCCACCACGACAAGTCCTCATCCACTACTCACTCAGGTACTGCTGAGGGAGTCGCTGGACCGCACGGTAGCCGCGCCGCCAATGCTGCTGATCCAAGAATCGACAGTGATATGGATGGATCAAGACACACTGGAGCTACCACCGGTACTACTGGAGGCCTAACTGGCACCCACGGTACTCACACCACCGGTACTACTTCAACCGGATACGGAGCTTCCAACTCTACTGCCGGACCACACAGCGTAAGTACTTCCAAACAAGAACAAGCAAAGAAACTATCACTAACATGTACTCAGTCAAACATGGCCAACAAAGTTGACCCTCGCGTCGACAGTGATCTTGATGGATCAAGGAACATGGGAGCTGCCAGCGGTACTACCGGAGGCTACTCATCTGGAACCTCAGGTTTGACTGGTACCAGCCACGGTACTTCAGGCTTGACTGGTTCCAACCACGGAAGCTCAGGCTTGACCGGTACCAATCACGGAACAACTGGCATTGGAAACTCTTCTGCTCACACCTCTTCCACCACTTCCACCACCCCACACAACTCCAACTTGTTGAACAAGGTCGACCCAAGAGTCGACTCAACAACCTCTGGTGCATACAGCGGAACTCACGCTGGTAACACCGGCACCACCGGAACTCACTCTGGAACCGGTGCCTTCTCAGGTACCGGAACCACTGGCGGTCTCAGCAACTCCTCCAACGCAGGACCACACAACTCCAGCATGGCCAACAAAGCCGATCCTCGCGTCGACTCTGACCTCGACGGTCGTGGAAACAGACACGGTGCTTCCCACGGAGGTATCTTGGGCGCAAGCGGCTCTCACGCCACTGCTGGCTCAGGAACCGCCCAGAACACCGCCGGTCCTCACAACTCTGATATGTTGAACAAGGTTGACCCAGTAAGTCTAGCACCTATCAGTTCTGAAGAACACCACTAACACATACAACAGCGCGTCGACTCTGACCGTGATGGCTCTAAGACCTACATGGGCAACCAGACTCACGCGTAAGAACATTCCCTCAGGTATTTTTCTCCCACCCTACCTCATCATTGCCTAACAATCTTAGTAGTACACATACAGAAGTCCACGATGCATCGAAAGTGCCACCGTCAGTCTTAGCCGCTCATCTGGGCGAACCTGAGATCTTGCATGACGGGGTGCCGAAATCATCTGGCGTGTCTGACCAGGAGAAATATTTGGGCAGCGAAAGCGGGTTATGATTATGATACCATTGCAGTTGTACGATAGATATAGTGCCGACAGATCCTACGGGACTGTGATATGATTAGATGATAATCTTATAATTTTCTTCTGAGACGAACTTACTTTCATTCCCTTGTGACTGTGGCTTTGACTTGAAAATTCTTCGTTGTGGTTACAGGTGGCTTGATCAAGTGTAATTTTCAGGTGGATTCATTTTCAATTATTCATGTTTGACTGGCGTGCCTCGTCCTCCTCTCACCTTATCACGATTCCTTTCCATCCTACATGTTTTTCCTCAGCCAGTAATCAAATTGTCGAACCTCCCCAAAAGTTGCGCATCTTTTTACGAAGTCTTTCAACGAAACCCTAGCCAATTCTCGGGAGCATATCTCAAGAACGTCTGATCAACCGGCCTGGGAAACCAGCTGCGGAGGGGAGAATGGATTCGAAATCGTCGGATTCGTAATCCTCCTACAGCTCAAATCGTAGTCTTCCAAGATTAATTTTTGAGACAAAATCGTTCGCAGTCTTCTTGGGGACGCCATCACGTGCCTGCAGGATATCTGAATGGGTCGCTAGGTCAATGCCAATAATTAATTCTATTGGGTGTATCACTATTCTGCCCCATAGGGGTGCGGAACCGCACTTGATGGGATAATAAATGGTCTTGGCTGACCCAGCGTTCGAAACAGAATTCAACAGATCACTCAAGATCAAACCCGCCCGCCCATATGTAACAAAAATCTCCATTTTCCTGCTCAACAACTGCCTAGCGGCCACCCTGAAATCCCGACTCATAGCCCTGTAAAAAAACGAGGGAAATACCAGCCAGACCACGACCATTTCTCATCCCAGTACCGAGCCACGATTCCTCGACAAACTCGTAATGTGGCGCTTAGATCGTCAGAGAAAGCTGTTGAAGATGGGCAGGGAGCTGCGAGATCTCCGTAGCATTCTGTGCGAATGTGGCCCTATTCAAAAATTAGCCTCGAACTTATCAATTAGAAGAAGAAGAAAATCTGAAGGCGGTAGTGATTCTTACTATGAGAATATGTCAGTATCGGTACAGAAATGTAGTGGACGAGGGAATCAATCATACCAGCTCAATCAAAGTTTCTTCATCCAAGCCAGCAAGGCCGAACTCAGTGCCATCTGCAAGTCCCAAGATGTCCGGGCTCTGACACTCCTTCTTAGATTCGTCACTCGTGGTGGGCGCGTCGAGGGAATCTCTCTTCTTGTTATCGAAACGATAATCGCCGGACAAGAAATCTCGTTTGCCCGCAAGCGCCTTGAAGCAATGATTGGTTGTGTGATCGACGGCGACAGCGCCCTGAAGTGTTTTGCACGACCTGGCTCTATATGTTCCAAGCACAAGATACCAATCTGTCGGAATACCTAGATAGCTGACGCTATAGGCTCCCGCATAGGAACTTGTCACGCTACAGCATGTATTCGGATTCAAGCCGCCGCATTTGAGGTAGGTACCGCCGTGACAGGTATCTGAGTCGACCCAGAAATATACGTCAACTGCAGAGACCGTAGCGATGTTTGCTGCCACTGCTCCAAAAATGATCTGGGAGAACTTCATGATGGAGGTTGATTGGATAAAGATCTTGAGAAGTGTCGATTTAGCAATGAAATAGAACTCAGAATGATGAGATGAAGAGACCAAAATTCATGGGCGGAGTTGAGAGATCTTCTTATAGATGTCTATACTCTAACTATGGGTCTCTACTCTGGATACCTTAGGCCTTGAATTGAAGCTTTTCATCGTAGGTGCTTATACTTCAACCTCGTGGGCGCCAAGTGTTAAGGATGGACAGTAACGAACTGGTAGTTGAGCATCGATATACCTATCAAGGTATCAATTTCGAAAACTGCCAGACCTACGAAAGTGGAAAGTGGCACAACATCTTGGCAAGGCGCGTCGAGCACAGGGCGTACCAAGTGACCGAGAACAACAATCACATTTTTCGCGGCCAAGAAGTTGACCACGAACGTAATGTGCTCATGAAGATCAGAAATGGAATAATGCGAACAAACCGCCGTGGATTAGAACCGCCGAGGGCAGGAATCGTAATTTTGCTGCCAAGAGCTTCACCGTGAAGGTGATCTGCTCATGAAGATCACAAAGAATGGATACTCGTAAAGCCGTAAACGAGAAAGACGACATGAGTTCCCGACGAGCCGGCTAACTAATGTTAACTCCCCTATGGAAATGCCGCATTTTCCTTGACGATATATCAGTGCGGCGGTAGCAAATGACTAAGTACCTTGCTTCTTCCAATCTACTACTCAATTGGGACTAAACGCTTTATAATTGTATACGCTGAGATACGCTCTCACTAATGTGTCTTTCAAGGTTACAGTCATATTCGGCTCGAGCCGCTGTCAAGTCTGTGGGGTTTGTGCCTCTAGAGAAGGCGTCCTCGGGAGATCTCCAAGTGCCGCATTTCTATAGCGGAATTGATATTATTGTCTCCTATGTTCTCGAGCAAGCAATGCCACTCTGCAGTTTTGGGTTTGTAGCCACCGATAAACTCTTCAGTCACTCGGTGAAGTTGTGTCACAAGATATTGTCGGTATACTAGATATCACGTTGCTCGGTAATAAGCTATTGTAGTATTGTAGTATGGTGATAATTAAGGTAAGTAGATGGGAAGGAAGCTCCCATTCAGTATCTGTAGTAGCATCACAGTTGAGTGATACTAGCTATATTGGGAATTGCCTATATGGATTTAAACTAACAATTATCGAGGCCAATACAATTCGTGATAGGCGCAAATAAGCGAGTGTTGAGAACACCAAAATTATATACGATTATAACAACTCGCCAAAGCAGTCAAACTCTTAGCGATTTCTTAGATTCTCAGATTATTTTTGCTGCCATGTAAAGGTACTGAACAAATATCACCGTCGTGGAAGAAGCATAGCGAAAAAGGGTTGGAAAATAGTCGAACCTCGGTATCATTTCAGCACCAATAGATATGAGTATATTGAGTGAGTATGTATTGTGCAGAGTGACTGTAGATCTCGCCCAGTGCCAAGGAGACACCACGAGCGGTCTGAAATTGAGATACCTTGCTGATTATGATTCGTTAGATAGCGGAGTGCTTATAACGGGCTTTGCGTACACAAGCTAGAACACTCGTACTACTCTAACTACATTTAGCGCCAAGTTGAGGGGTTATTATCCATTTCAAACTCAGCACGAGATCTACTGCCGAAAATGAGACAAATACGACAAATACGAGTAACTCCGAGAGCCAATATCAGCCGTTGACTCCTATAAAAAATATACAATACGCATCACCACAACAATCATGCATGGACGTCAGAATGGCCATAGACCCCATATACTCGAGTTATAATATACGAGTTACTTAATCAAAATGTATGATACGGTTTATATTACCATAGAAGAGAAGAAGTGTTGGTCAATAGGGTAGGTCATTCTGAAGTTGAGATTAAGTCGGTATTTGGAAAGTCAGACATATATCAAGAGTCTGACAAACTCCGTTTGCAATAACTCGCCCTCGATTATACATTGGAGACGACGATCAGCATGCTAAATTGCAAGTACAGGAGGTAGGGAAGTGATTTCGAGGCCGAGTGACCAAACCAACTACTACGAGAACTCTAGAAGCTCATAACACGTACTCGTAATTATTGACCTTGGTCGATAATTCATACAGGGTAGTCCCCTCACATTAACAGCAGCTCTTATGGGGTTCTGCTCATCACCCTGACCCAAGTTCCGGCGCCGTTGATGAGCAGTCGGATAGACCCGCTTGGCCTTCAGCGTAGAGCTGCTAAGACTGCGCATTATCACCCTGTACTCGCAGAAATCCAGCCATCTTATCGAAAAGCTAAAAAGAGTCGAGCCGAGCAGTAATTTTGCGAGGCATAAATCTGAAAATCAAAGGAAATGATGCCGAGGATCTGAGAAGTAAGGATGGTAGCCCTCTCTTGAGCGACAGCACCAACACTTAATGCCGCTAGGTATTGTGCGTTGATCATCTTTCTATAAGAAGGTCTGGCTCGCACCAAACATCCATGACTCTTCATCCTCAGTAAACCCAACTGTCTTCTACTTTTGTTTGATATTTTCCCCTGAATTGTCAACCTCTCAGACTGTTTATTCACTTTCATCATGAAGTTCTCTCAAGTCATCTTCGGCGTAGCCGCTGCAGCATCCGCCGTCTCCGCAATCGATATTTGGATGTACTTGGAAGACAAAGCTTGTGAAAACCATTACGTTGCCATGGTCTGTACGGGTGTTAACCCCGGCGCCTGTTGTTACTATGATGGCGCTGGTGCCAACAGCGTCGGGTTCAGAGCGATCCCCAAAGGATGGAGGCTCGATCTTACAGGTTACTCGACCAAAGAGTGCAAAGGTCTCCTACATTCCGTCGGCATGGTTGGTCCAACAGACTGGTGTTTCAAGGACGACACAGGGAAGAATAAGAATTATCGCTCAGGCAATTACTATTTCTCTTCTTCTCCCAAAAAGCGGTCGGAGGCGGAGAGTTCTTGTGTAAGGGCAGACACCATGGTTCTTCCCGATGGAACAAAGCTTGATGTTTCGAGCTTGGACGAGGTAGCCGCTCTAGAACTGGTATGTTAAATCTTTTGCGCTGGCAGTTTCTGTTGTACTTGTACTAACACTCTTATAGTAAGCAAGACCAACATTCCGAGATATTCTATCCATTCCACTATTTACTAAGTTCTAACCTATTGTGTTTATAGGAATGCAAACATCGCAAACGTTACAGTCCTCGCTGATGTCCCGGCTCAATACCTTAGTCTTGAGATCAAGTGAGCATCATGTTGCGACAGTATGATGAGCTGGGTGACGCTTGGAGTGCTTATGCAGAGAAATGGTGGTAGGACGGAGTGCAAGGTTTGGTTGGCATTGGCTTGACTTGATTTATGATTCTCTGATGGTCAGGTTTCGACCTGCCATAACCTTATACAAAGTGGTCAGAGTTTTTGGGGAGTAGCATATTGGTGGAAAAGTCCAGGGGAGAGGGTTGGGTTGGAAAGGTCCTGATAGGCTTCTTGTTGTGTGCTGACAATTGTATTCACTTCTCTACACCCTTTTATACACAAACAAACTTTCACAACACAATTTTGATAAAATATCTGGTACTTTTGATCTGTGAAACTATGATAAGACTGCAACAACTGTGTACCAGCGCGTCATGTCTATGACAAGTTTACAAATACTATATGATTAACCTATCTTACTATCTGAGAAAGTACTTCTGTGTTATTTTGTGACATATATAAAGATTAGACTTATATCTAAAGACCGGTTCTCAATACATGAATAGTATTAAAAGCGAAGCGATGCACCTAATCGAATTGCAGAGTCTGAGATTTTGAGGAATCGAAGATGAACTATTCACACAAAAGGATATAATAATGCAGTAACTCTATCACTATGCTGTGCTTCCCGAGTCCTGAACACCAAGGTAGAATTTACTTTTCGTTGTATTGTTTCACCGAGTTCGCCGATCTCGGTTTTCGACCGAAACTTCGAATCGAGTCTCCATCGTCTGCGTAACGCTATTTTCGATATTATTAGATTGCTCCTATGCTACTCGTGGGCTTTTGAACGGTGCTTCCGTGTTAAAAGTACCCACGCCGACCATTGTGGCCTGACAGTCCTGTCGCACAGCCCGGCAAGGCAAGGTCAATGATCGTCCCCACTCGAGGTACTTGCAAATGGGTTTACGAGGCACGCGGTGGACAGAAAAGTCCGGATTTTACAAACTCGCTGCGATTGAGATGCCTTAACAACGGTAGGACCTATAGGCTCCAAATTAATTTCCACGATACTAGTGTGCTCCCAGACTATTCTGGTTCTTTTTACTTATTTTTGTGATTTTTTTGTGGTTGAGTTATACCACAAATTACGGATTTGAAAAATCCGGACTTTTCTGTACACCGCGTGCCAGGTAGATTTAAGCATAAGTTCCCCACAGACCAGCTCTACAAAATCTGCAGTTAAGCCCTTGTCGTGATATTGTCACGGAGCTAGGCGAGCTATTAGCGCCACCGAGGGGATGTTCAAGGCTTCAAGCGCAGGGCGTTTGTAACAACTGTAAATCTTACCGACCCAACGAAACAAAAGAGAAATGACAACAAGTATCGTCACTACTAGAGCATGGCTTCAATTTCTTGGCTAAGGTAGCTTCGTCGTGACATACCTAGTCACTGAGCTAGACGAGCTGTTAGCGCCACCGAGGAATGTTCAAGCGTAAAGTAATTGTAATAACTATAAATCTCCATTTTTCGATTCTGTCTAGACGCCAATCTTACCGACCTAACGAAACAAAAAAGAAATGATAACAAGCATCATTACTACTGTGGCAAGACTTTAGTTACTTGGCTGAGCTAGCTTCCCTGACTCTGTACAAGCAAAAGTGGGTTTGTTAAGTGAAAGCCAATGTTTGACTAATGTACATCCGGTCCAGTATATCACAGGCTGTACTCGGTGAAGTTAAATGTGTATTCTCTTCGCTTTACTTAATCAACGTCAAGGTTAATTTGATCCATAATCAGGGGTATTTGACTAATACAACTATATAGTCTCTATAGGCATTAAGTGCTAAGAGTAGTAGAAAACCGTCTCGAAGAGAGGCGTTCTAAGTAGGAATAGTAATATAGATCTACACTTAAGGTATCTTCGCTAGTTAAACAACGACCCAAGCCTCAACAAAGGTGTGCCCTATAACACTACCTAGTACCTTGGCAGAAGCGGAGAGAACACACATTTGACTTCACCGAGTACAGACACTCATCGGAAATTTCCCTTTCTATTCATCGTCTCTTCGTGTCATCACCAGAAGGAAATGATTCCCACAGTTCCATCCTACAATTGTATTACCATTGGCTGGCTCGTGGCTACTAGGTTAAGTAATGTTAGCATTGTTGGCTTTATCGCCAGCCAAGCCAATGCGAAGCCTTTCTTTCACGATTATCAGTTTTTATCCTCAAAAAGGAATGAGGGGTTTGCAAACCTTGGCTGGTATTAATCCAAAGGTTTAAAACTTAAAACAGCCAACTCTTCTTCACAAACCATTGTGAATACACCAGAAATCTTCGGTTTCACTGTTTCAAACTCACCCAGCCACCTCTTCTCAACACAGCATCCCAAAAGACACCACTATCGTCCTTCTCAATCACATCCGCCACTCTCGCCTACCAAACATGAAGTTCCTCGGTCTCGCATTTTCTATGATGCTTGCCCTCGCGGCAGCTGCTCCTCCCAGCAGTCCCAATGAAGCAAACTCGGTAAGACAGAAATGCAATGACCATGAAATATAGATTTGCTTACTCACATTCTGGCGCAGGTAATCGAGGAGAGAGCTTGCTTGAAAGCTAGAAAATACGGCTGCCCTTGCGGCACTAATGTGCCTGGCACCAAATGCTGCAATACCAGCGGCATTTCGGGTGGGTGCGATTGCACCCAGGGAAATAACCAGGGCTGGTGCTGGAAGTGATTCCCTGAGATGTAGATTCTGATCTAATCTCCATATGTGTACACAAAGATATTATTGGGGGCTTTGGGTGGGAGATGTTAGAGTTCAAGTGCTTTGATAATACACATTGCCACACACATATATCTCTTCTCCTCGATCTTGCTGGAAGTATTTCGCGTGATAACTCACTTTTCGGCTTAGATCCACATACCTGTAAATATGTCGCTCGATAAGATTTCCTCAAGAGTGCACCTCGTTGTTCAGACGTCTGTATAAAAGTGTCGGCCATGGATTTACGTGTCCCCATTCTGGTTTTGATATTGTAGGAGAGAGATCAATGAGCAGCTGTAACGGCATCTGATGAACTGGAGAGGTTGTCATGATGGGCTGTGGGTGGTGTACATTTATGGTCCCCCCAGGCGAACCACATTTCAACGCTTCCAACCGCCTCGTGAAGCACATGCATGATGTTGTAGACCTGCGCATGGCAGAGGGTTGGTGAGCTATAGAATGGAAGTAAGAGATACTTGATGGGTGAGAGTAGGAAGATTCCAGATTCCATCCTGGAGCGGCAATGCTGACTAATTAAGGGGGAGAGAACTTTTCAACATAATCCTGGACTCAGCCAACTCCACGGGTAATCAGATTTCGGGCCTCAAAAAGCCATTCCAGACTCGTCTCCCGGCTACCTTCCGAACGATATCCAAAGCCCAATCAGGAACGATAATACCTCTGATATCGAACAATCACGTGATATTACAGTTCCAGGTACGGGGTTCGGAATCCGTTATTTTCACGTGACAACCCGGCTGCAGCCCAACATGCAATGCGGTCCAACCTCTGCACGGAAGCCTGTCGGAGCGTCCTGCCACTGCGTCTCAGTTGTGCGGAAAGAGAAGCAGCACAATCGTGACATTTACCCTATTGGCTTGTTTTCGCGACAACACATCACCGCACTCATGCACAATTTATTTCTGGTGAAATGGGCCGCGACCGTGCAGTCACGATGAATATTTTCCAACCTCGCCGGCGCCTTTCCACTTTCTTCCTTTAATTTTCTTTTTTTGGTTCTCATGTTATTTTTGCGCTGGAGTTTTGCTAGGTTTGTGTTCTTCAGAGAGATTGTTTATCACAAACTAATGTCAAGCGCAGGTTGTTGAGTGAGCGTTTGCTGTTTTCGAGTTTGCTTTGATTTTCGCAGTCATGGAGCCAGATGTCCTTGTGTTCATGCCCAAGAGAGGCGATGTAACACTCAAACTTATTCGAAATGTCCAACAGGAAATCGACTCGCCATCTTCAAGCAGGTCATCATCGTTCTCCTCAGACTCCTCTAGCCGCAGTGGAAGCTCTTCGACAGTCGGCAAGGCTAGCACATCTTTTGAGGACAGAAATGGAGGGGTTGATGGAAATGCGCCGCCGGGCTCAGAGGAGATCGATATCGACGAGAACGAATTTTTCTTCGCGCCCGACCCACCAGTAGGTGACGATAGCCCATTATATCCCCCTCCACCTCGAGCGCGTCGAGGCTCCGATGAGTCGTCGAGACGTGATCGATCAGCCAGTCCGCCTGCCTCATTCTGGGCATCTCTCAAACGTCAACAGAAAGAGCATGGCCTAATCAACCCGATTGAGGATCCGGTTAAGAACCCAGTCAAGGTTTCGGTAAAACGTTCACGGCCAAAAAAGACTATAACAGTCCAGCAAGAAGTACATTGTGTTGTTTCGTCCCGCCACATGATGCTTGCAAGTGAACATTTCGAAAAGCTCTTGAGTAGTGAGACCCGCGAAGGAAGAACACTGAAATCCACTGGTCATGTCACAATTCCAATGACGGTGGATCCGGATACCTTGATCATTCTGCTCCAAATCATTCATGGTAAAACTCGAGAGGTGCCGCGTCAAGTCTCATTAGATCTTCTTCGTAAGCTTGCCATAATGGTGAACGATTTTGGAATGTTAGCGTCAGTCGAGTTCTTTGCCGACACATGGATTGATCATTCGAAGAGGGAAGGGTTGCCGGCTTCTTACACGGAAGATGTTTTGTCATGGCTTTTTGTATCTTTTGTGTTCGGGCGACCTGAGGAGTTCAAGGACATGGCGAATATTAGTCAACGAGAGTGTGACGAGAAATTTGTCGACAATGCACAGGAAATTCATTTACCTGGTGGTATTGTTGGTAAGTTTATATTCGTTCGGGGCACACTGAGATCATACTAACTGCTATAGATGCAATCAAGCAGGGCCGTCAAACCGCGATCAACACAGTGATTTCCGTAATCCATAAACTCATCACCAAATATATGGACGGTACGACGCACTGCGAAGTAGGAATGGATGATAACATGCGATTTGCGTGCGACGCTATGCTTCTCGGTTCTTTGATGAAAGGATCTCATAAAATTGGAATTTGGCCAAAGCCAGAGGCTCCCTTCAACGGCCAGAAATATAATGAACTTGCAAAGGCAATCCGTGGAATCAAAATGCTTGACGTCTGTGGCAAGAGCGCGGGTCGAAAATGGAGTAGCTATGGGGGGTTTGAAGGGAATGCTCATGAGCTTGAGAATTTTATCGACAATGAGCTCAAGGCTGTCGAGGAGAATCTTGGGAGCTTGGATCTGGAATCTTTCAGCAGCGAGAAGTAAGTATCCCAATGAGTGATGGTCGCTAAAGCTAATATATCACAGTGTCGGTACCTGGCAAAATTTCAAAAGCTATATTGTGCCGCAGGCAACACCACCACAATCACCAAAGGTTGAACGTCGTGAGGCTACCCCTAGTCAAGATTCTGTTACTTCCCCGCGAGAAAGAATCATGTCACCGAAACCTGTAGCGCCACAACAAGAGATATCAAGAAGTATACACTCATCGCTACAACAAGAGGTGTTGGGAAGCAGACAGGGATCGCCACAACCAGAGGTTTTAAGGAATACGCATATATCGTCTCAACCAGAGATTCTCAGAAACACTCGCATGTCACCACAGCCAGAGGCTCCGAGACACACCTATGTATCGCCGCAACCAGAAAACCCAAGACACGCACAAGTATCCTCGCAGCCGGAGATCCAAAGAAACTCGCACGTATCGTCACAACCAGAGTCTCCGATACATGCACATGTATCCCAACAACCAGAAAATCCAAGACGGGTACAGGTATCGTCACAACCAGAAGTTCCAAGAAATACCCGTGTGTCACCGCAGCCAGAGATTCAAAGACAGATATATGTATCGCCACAACCAGAAATGCCAAGACACGTACAAATTTTGTCACAATCAGAGTCTCCAAGATACAGTTACGCATCGCCGCAGCCAGAAGGTCTCAGAAGTGTACATGCATCCTCGCAACAAGAAGTTCCAAGAAGCACGCACGCATCACCACAACCAGAGTCTCCAAGGCATACACATGTATCACCGCAAATAGAGAATTCAAGGAACACATACGTGCCGCCCCAGCCAGAAGTCCTAAGAAACACATACGTAGCGCCACAACCCGAAGTCAAAAGGAACACGCACATATTGCCACAGCCAGATATTCGGAGATCTACGAATGTAGAAAGCGAGCTGCCAACCAGACGAGATTCCCAATTAAACCAAAATTCGCAAGGAATCATGGGACGACCTCGGGGATCTAGTGGTGAAGAAGACATCAAACATGTACAACGTGAAGAAATTCGCAAGGCACAAGTATTAAGGGATCGTCCAGCGTCTATGATCGAACAACCCGCTTCTACAGCACCTAAAGAAGGTATACGACACTCTTACATGCATCAAGTCAACAAGCCTCGCCAAGCTGAGGACGACACAGGCAGTCGGACCGAAAGACCAATAGAGCCCGTCAAAAAGGGGTTCTTCGCCGAGGTCAAATCAACAGTCCTTCCAGAAATGGTACAACAGAGTCCGAATGAAGAACGATCAAACCCTCTTGGAAAAACTCCTAGTCCAGCGGCAAGCAAAGAGAAGATCGTCTACCCTTCAATTTTCGAACCTCCTAAAACCGAATTACCCAAAATTCCCTCCAAGACACCCCATCATCAGCTTCCAAAACGCGATCCCAGCCCACCGACGTCGCATTTCGATTACACCATTAGAAAAGCACACATGATAGCGACAGCGAGACCTGAGATTAATAGTCAAGCGAGCAGTGAGACTATCAGGTCAAATCACACGGTCGCATCTACTCACTCGCTCGCGTCTACTCACTCGACCGCATCTAACCACACAGTCACATCCAACGCGCCAAAAACAACCAAAGAGAGTATAACGAACAGCATCAATTTCCGCCAACCGCCGAAAGAAGAACCGCAGGATATGGGCATTGGGGGCGGCGCCACGACGGAGGAGGAGAGCGATATCTGGATCCCGCCGAATACACAGGGGTATAAAGCGCGGAAGAGTAATAAGAAGAGGTTTGCTGTTAATCGGTTCTGAGAAAACGTCTAATCTGAGAGAATTTGGTATGAGAAGCGAGGGGGAATTCGTTTGTGATAATGAGGAATGAAGGGGATATGAATAACGATATATGATGAACGACAAATAACGAACGACGTAACGATTATGAGGAATGAAGAATCAAGAATGAATTTTAGAGAAAAGCCGTAGGGCATGAGGGGTGGAAATTGGGATTGCAAATTGAATGGGTACGGGTATGGAAATATGGGGTTTGGGTTTTTGTTTTTCTTATTGGGGATATGTTGATATGAATGGATTTTTGTGTGGGTGATTGTATGATTGTGGATTCATTTTCTGTTTTGAATGTTGGTTTCTTGAAGAGGGATTTTGGTTATGATATTGTTGTGGGATTTCGTCAGGTTTTACAGTCTACTTTAGTTTAAGTTTTGAGGATACCCTTCTGGTTTGAATGATGTTTTAAATGATAAGTTACAATCTCTTCTCCTACACTACTACCCCATACGTCCCACTTTCAAGGCAAGTTATATGACATCTTATTGCAAGATGAAACGTAGCTGAGCAGAAGGGTTGAGACGAGAACTGGGAGCATGCCTTGCTGAGATAGAACGCCTGATTTAATGGTATGAGAGGAAAGGCACTAGATGCTTTGAGAGTTTTTACGAAGAATGAGGTAGATAAGATTCTATGTGCTGGTGTGTCTATGGAGGTATTGAGAATGGTAGGCTTGGTAGGTTGTTTACTTGATACATTTTTATTAATTTACAAATCAAACAGAAGTGTAGTCCCTGTGACGATCAGAAAAATTACACATTGGTCATTCGATCGGCTACTTAGAACGAAGCTGCGTTTCTTAACAATCAAAAAGTCATTATTATAAAACCAAACACAAATAAAGGACACATATCACACATACTAAGAACTACAAAATCCGTTCAACCTCCAGCTTTTGAAAGTTCTTATTTATATTCGTTTGATGTGAGAATGCTAGTATATTGAAAAGCGGTCGTGACATATTCTGCAACGTGAGGGTTCAAATAGTAAATGATAATTTGAAATAAAGTAGACAGACACGAGGTTTGTAGTTGACGTTTCGTTGTTGAGTGAGAGCTTGAGAAGATGGTGAGATGGAATGCACGGGATGGCAGTTGAAAGAGATGTTTCCACCGTGATAGGGGAGTTTCAGTTATTCCTCTAATCCGGTAATTGGAAGCAAGCGGCATCACTTCAAGAATGATATAGAGGAGTGACATATGAGAGAAGAGGTTCACTTTTCTTCTTGACTTAGGCAAGTCGGGTAGACTTAATATTGTAGACATTGCTATGCAAGGCCTTATAGTTTTGCTGTGAGGTTATAAATGTATCAAATACAGCAACCCACCACAGGGTTTATAGCTTCACGACGAAATTTAGAGCTAGGAATCTAGACAGCAGATGAGATGGCAAGTCTGAGATATTTTTCACGTGGTATGTATGAGTTGTGACTGTGCAGCATGCACTTGGCAATTTCTTTTCCAGTCATCAAGAAAGTTCCGTGTAATCGTATTTACCTGACTAGAGCCGAACTTGAGTGTTGGCAATCGAATCAGTCCGCTACGTATAAATACGAATCCAAATATAAGCCAGGAATGTGCCTCGGATAATTTACCTGGTAAAGCGATTATGGTAAGTGACTCACCCCAGGAAATCATTGATTCCATTTTTTACTACACGATTGAATTGGGAACATGTGAAATCCCAAGAAGAAACGACCAGCAAACTGCACAAAAGTGGCCTACAATATTTGATCTAGCAAAAGCAGCCTAGGCAAACCTCTTGAGCCTGGCGTTTTAATTATGATGCTTCGAGATGAGACAAACTTCCTTGATATTTTTATTCTTCTTAAGAGAATAGAATGTCAAAGGGAGCTCGATCTTTTCTACCTTTACCTGTGAGAGAAGTATTGTCTCGAATTCAGAGAAGGAAAAGGAACTTGTGAATTACTAGCCACAAACTATCTTTCGTCACCGTACTACTAAAAAACCTGACATTAAGAACAAGAGACAAGAAAATATACAGGATTTGATCTTCTTAACGCCTACCGCAGTAAAGTAAGAAAGCGAATTTTTAGAATAGAGACCGTGAAAAATCAGAAAATCAGCGCCTTTTAGAAAAGAATCCCACTTAATTCCTATTAATCAATAAGACGTTCAGTAGACTTATAGGAAAGAGTAGAATGTTGTGAGACACTAAATACAATTCTGCGAGCACATGAACCAGTTTTGCTCTCTCTTTTTGATTCTGGTTTTAATCATTAGTGTTTTCATATCCTAGTTAAGTTTTCTTTTGAAATAGAGGTGTATTTCCTTCCTAGGTAGAATCGTAAACTGTGTCAACAAATTACAACAACCAAACCCGAGAATTTGAGTGCCCGTTAGATTGAGAAACCCGATCCGCGACGCCCCCCCTCAATTATCACATACAAAGGCACAGATTTCAGAGACGTCTTCTGAAGAATCAAATTCAGCATACGCCTGATTTTCAACCCCCTCCAACCCTGTCTATTCTGAGCTCGACAACCGACCGGAGTTGGTCTACTAACCTCTCATCTCCCTTCCTCTAGATTTCGGCACCAGAACCTAGATCGTTGTGCAACATGTCTGGTTTATGGGCCGTATATTATAATGCAAATGACTAAGGTAATTGAGTAAAGAAAAAAGTAGAAAGAACTATTACTGTAAAACCCCGTCACCTCTAAACACTATTAAAACGCCGGACTTTAGTCAACAACTTCGTGTCTCTCCACCGTTGAATTACGCCATCGGAAACCAGAATTTATCTTCGCAATAGATCTGGCCCCTAGAACTGATCTTGTAATACAATAAAATCATATTCATGAAATAGTATACAATGCACGGATGATATTCCACTCCGTTCCAAATGTACTTGAACACATATGGGACTCTGGTTATCCAAATTATTCTTTCTAATGGAGATAATGGTATCGATTGTAAGATCAGGCTACCTACTATTGTATAGACATGTTGATTTTGGAACGTATACGCGCAACGGACACTGGAATTTCAGTGCCGAGATAGCTTTTTTCACTTGAAAATCTGCTACATGAATTCCAGGTCTCGCAAAGGATCTTTGAACTTGATACAATAGCCCATTTTAATCATCAAACAAAAGTTCTTGTTTGTACTCTCAGACCGGTGCGATTGGGGTTGTCTCGATCACTAGAATCGCTGGGCTAAATCAGCTGCTTCTGTGAAGAACACTTCAAACCATCACCTCCACCACAGAAATAAAAACAAACCTCACCAGCCAACCATTTAAAAACACATTCAGGCATCAGTCATAACAACAAATCATCCCCTCAAAACACATCCCTGCGCTCTTTCCACGAGCACAAAAACCAAGGTCACAAGACACATCCAATAGCTCTCACAAGTGCATTAAGCAACGCGAACCTCAAGAGCGTGCTCTAGTCAACATCGACGGCGGCACTTGCCACGACACAGGTCGAGAGCGGATTCCTGAACGGTGCCAGCCGGTATGCAATTGTGTCTTGAGGCCCAGAGTGCTGGAGGCATGAAAGTTGGCATATGCATGGTTTGCAAGTACACAAATCATTGTCTGACGGGTAAGACGGTACCCCAGGTATTGATCCGTTGGTAAGCGGGAGCTCGGGAGCTGTCTGAATGTCAGTGAAGGGTCTTGGAAAAGGCGACGGGTACGGGGAAATCCCAAATCGCGGTGGCGATATACTTATCAGTCGATCGTTGACACTGACAAGACAGAAAAGCAAATCTGTCAGCGTTTCCCCACCGTCTGTCGAGCGGGTACTAGAAAGTTAAGAATGCTGAGAGCACCCGGGTGACTCGGCCATCCTATATGACTTGGCAAAGATGGCACAAGTTCGCCGACTTGAAGTACTTGGGTAGGTTTATCATGAGTGCCGCAGACATCTTCTGAACCTGGTTTTTAAGGCGGCGGAACACTAAAACCGGCCGGCACAGCTTACCTTTTTAAATTGATAATTAATTCGGGGTTAGACTAAAAGCTCTAAACTCAATAACAATTATACTTTAACACCGAGTCTACAGTATAGCTAACTCGAAATTTAGATTATTAGTCTTGTTGTGGTGCTAATTCTCGATAACTCGCTTTACTCACCAAAATTCAGGGCGCGCGGCACTCATAATAAACCTACCCAAGTATCGTAAGAATAAAAACGAATACGTTGACCAATTAACTCGAATGGAATACGCACCAATCACGATCTCCCGCCTACGGCAGATACCGCGGCCGGTGGTCTGGTTCAGATATCTCCACGGCCTTGTGCCTTGTTGAATTGATCGACGCATAGAGGCTTGGAAAACAGACCGTCCTCGGGCATTTTTGACATCCAACGCCAAAACGGATAGATCGGGGTCGGTACTTCGGCTAGGGTCAACGCTATTCGACCTGACAGTTGTGATCGGGTTCGGGTGCCAAGGTAGTGCTCGATATCTGGTTGTCTATATTTTAGCATAACCGAGTCTTGAAATGACATATGGAAGCGGACCGACGTTACCCCTCATTCTAGCAATGAGGCCAGATCGTTCGAAAAACAGTAAGGCAAATATAAACCTGTTTGGAGTTGTAGTCAGGTAATACTGTTATGAATATCGATGACTTTGATGCTTCATTATTCATGAATTTGGGTAACCCTAAACTAGTCGACTGAGAGTTGTTTGGTGGGTCTGTAAACAAGATCATAATCCGAATGCGTTTTATATGCCCAGCGCGGCAATAAACCCTGTAAAAAGTCAATCAGCAATCATTGAGACAAGTTAATTTCATGCCCACAAAAAAAGATAGATACTTTAAATCATACGAGAAGAGGAGCCATCTTTGAGCCGCCAACCCAGTAAGATTGAAAAGATACGCTGCCAGTGTACTGAAGTTCGCAGGGCTGGATATAGTGTATAGTAGCTTTTTCGCAAGTTCGATTATGGGTAGACATCGGGAAGCGGTCAGAATACACTACTGCTGAA